TGAAATAACCCATTAAGTCGTTCCTATATGTCTGGCTCAATCCGGGTATTGGGTAAATACGTGGTAAACCTAGATGTTATATCACGAATCACACGAGTTCTATCACAACTTGTATATCGAGTTATATATCGAGTTCATAATCAGGAGTACTATAGGACGAGTTGCACTCTATTGTTCAAAACAAAAAAGTATATAAAAATTCTGTCTTCTTTGTTAGACAATTTTTAGTTTAATAATGATAAAAATTATTTTTAAGTTTTTTCCTTATACACCATATATCCAATTAATTATTAAACTTTTATTTTACAAGTATAAGTAAAGTGCCGATTAAAGTGCTTTAACGACTAGAGCACTCATTAAATTTTGACACTTGGTTTAATAACTAAATTTACGAATAATTTACATTTCAAACATTAATGTTGCGAGTACAAAATAATTAATTAAGATGACGTTAAAATATTTAACAATTTAATAATACATAATTTTAAAATAATATATAATTAAGGTGGTACCGAAATGGTTTTTAGTGATGAACCTATGGTACAGAAGGATATTGTAAAATTAGTAGATCCTCATCCTTATCATCCTTTTTCAGAAAGTTCCTTCCTTCTTCATAACCTCATTTTGATAAATATTATCAATAATGAATACAATGTTTAGGCCATATCAAATAAAGTACTAAAGCAATAATCCCATGGAAGATTAACAGTATTAAAATAAGAACGCATATGGTTCTGCCAGAACACCAGATTCCATCAGTGTCAGCAGCACACAACATGTTAGGACGATTCCAACGATTCCAACCGAATGCGCGCTTATAACGACCATATGAATTGATGGCGTGCTTTGGTTTAAAGAAGGCTGTAAAATAAATATGTATATTTTTTATTTTTTGAATGATTTATGAAAGGAGATTAAGGATAAGGGGCATCCAGTGTAGCCAATTTTTAGATAAGAGACATCCAGTTCTCGTTTAATTAGTTGGCAGGCTTCGTTTAAATTTCAAAATTATTGCAGCTTCTGAATGATTCGATGATATCCCCAAGTTGAATCGAATTATACAAGAAGGTATGGGATTAACACAAGACCATGCGAATTAAATATTGCCATATTTTTCAGCCTACTATCATTTTGGGCATCAAAACCTTTGTTCATTTTACCTTTTTTCTTGTCAAGATGACTATTCAGTTTTTCCACAATTTTATTCCAATCAAAACCAAAAGCCAAAGTCTTCCACATCGAAAATCCCATATTTATGTTTTTGATATTATCCATTTCTTTTCCTTGCATAATTTCATTTATCATATCAACGAGTTCATTTAACAATTTGTTTGGACCTTTCTTTATTAATTCTTCAAAATCAAAAATTTCGGCATTTTTTAACGCCGAAATATGCTCATTTGAATGTTCTGAATTTACAATTTGATTGTAAATTTCCAAAGCTTTTTTGTGTGCCGAATGGAGGATAGAAAGATCAAAGGTGCTTTTAAATTTTGATCTTTTTTGAGCAGAACTTTCAACTTGATTAAACATTGTTTTTGCTTGTTCTATTAATATTTTTAGATTTTTCTTTAAATCGTTTGTTAATCCTTTTGTCTAAAAATTTTTTAAAAAAATATATCTTTTTTTAAGTCTATAAAAGTTCCCGATTTTTTTAAAAATTTTAAAAAACAATGCCCATGTTCCAACTGAATTTAATAATATCAATAATAGATATTTCGAAACAAAAAAATTTTCGAAAATCGAAAATCGAAATTTCGAAACATCTCTGATATCAATAAGAAACTCATATAAGAACCTCTCCATAATCTCTCATATTAGGTGTTACTTTAATATTATATTTATTACTCAGTTAAGCCGTTTTTCAAAAGTTATTTTATCAATAAGGAAGATATTCCAGCTGAGCAGTAATTCCAATAGCTTAGACTGTATGGAGGTACGACTGCCGGGAGCCAGGATTTGAGCCCGAATTTTCTGAATATTTAAATTTACAAACCACTTTACAAATTTCAATTTTATTTTCAATCTTATTTAATTTTTGATCTAATCCCTTCAATTTAACAAAGTCAATTTGTTTGTTAATTTCACTTTGGCATTCATTCTCGCCCACATTTTCATCAAGATTTTCATTGGTTTCAATTTTAACAAGTGAAAATTGTTTAAGGTTGACAATTAAAATGAAAATTAGAATAAAATTGCGCATTATTCAAATTATAAAAATATTTAAAATTAAAAAATAAATAAAAAAAGTTGAAAATGATTGTTATTTAAAGGAAGCTTAGAGACAATTCAATTAAGAAATACAAATGTTTTTCTCAAATTTTAAAAAATAAATTTAAAAATAAATAAATTTTAAAAGGGCACAAATAAAGCCCTTTTTAATAATAGAATATTATTACATCATCTCTAATAAAGTGCATTAAATATTTCACGTGTTGCACTTTTAAAAATAAAGTGCCGCGCAGTGTTATGAATTTTTTCAAAATCAGGCTTATTTTTGATTTTTTTAATTATAGACTTGCACTTTTATAAAAATTTAAACTCCAAAATGTTTTTTAAATTTAGCCAGTCTCTAGCAGTTCCTGAAAACCAAGGGTGAACGCAATTGTAGATTTTTTTCAAATGTGTCTTCCCCTGATGAAAACACACACTTTGGGATTTTCCCGTTTGGGACTTATCCAGCTGACTTTTAAAAAATTAGTATGTTCTATTGCCCATAAATCCTAAGGCAATAACTTTTTAACATAGTACATTACCGATAGGATTGGACACGAATTTTACCTAACCGGAACTAGAAACCGATATTTTTTGTCGAATTAACCGGAGCCTAAACCCAAAAAACGCTGTCAAACACCGAAAAAAACCCCGAGTTTGTGTCCAATCCTAATTATAAATAATCAAATAAACAAAAATCCATTTTTAATCCCTTCTATAAATTAATTAAGCTCATGCTTTAAGCGCTTTATAAACCCCAATAATAACACAATACACTTCTGACCCAAATTTCCACAAAATTATTGCTGCGAGGAAAGACATTGTTGCAAACATGAATAACAACATTAAATCCTTGCAACTCAAACTATTGTATAAAACAGGCTGTACGGATGGAATGTTGCTTGCTTGCTTATTTAATAATCGGCCTTGACCAGTCTCTGACCTTGCAACTAAAAAAATATTTTTATAGTCTTAAATAAAATTGGCAAATCGAACTTCGTTCCCCCTCCCATCCCTTCCATGAAGTGGGAAAATGATCCGCGTTAATCTATGGCGATAAGTGCACAGCTCTGCTTTTTTGACCCAATGTCCGGTATTGTGCGTTTGTACACTAAGGTTGGCGGATCCGAAAAAAAATCCTAATATTTGGAACTTACTTATTACCTATAGTATTAATATACCCCCAACTTCGGCTTATACCCCCAACTTCAATTTACCAAGAAATATTAAAACAAGACCGATTGGTATTTGTTCAAAATAAACAGGTTTCAATCTGTACAAGGTCTGTAAGGTTCTCTCCTCGAAAATTCCATTATTGTTAAATATCATTGCATCACTAAGCTGTAATTTAACGTTATACTTATTATAATTTAAAATATTAGTTCAATACCATACTGGTGTATATTGTCCAAAATAATAGCAGCATTCAATTTCAGGATAACATAAAATTCAGAGGAGGCGTTAAATAGAATTGGAATTATTACTTAATTACTGTAAATACTCTAATTGAAGCTCTGGGCTTATATTTTTTAATGGGTCTGTTCAGATGGGCTTATATTAGAGGTATGTTCTACAAGAGGTGGGCTTCAATTAGAGTAGTTACGGTATATTTATTTTATTTATTTGTTTCATCAAACCAATGGCTTACATACCGTATTTATTCTAATTGAATGGCAGCCATTCTATTTTTCAATACCCCAAAAAATTGTCATTCAATTGGAGGTGCCATTCAAATGGAGGTGCCATTCAATTAGAATAAATACGGTATATTAGTCAAAAACAGACCAAAAAATTAATAAAGCTGAGTATAAGCAAGCTATTCAAATAATAAATTAAAAATTGGTTTGCGCAATCTTCTTCTAGGCTTTCAAGTAGATGCGATATATCTCAAAATTAATTTATACTTAATACGTTCCGCATACTATTTTGTAATAATTAAAAAGATGACAGATACTTATAAAAACAAAATATGATTAAATACCAGGGGCTGTGAAATTTTTAAAATACTTTTTTAAATTTAAAAATTTTAAAAATAATTGGGCTCAGCCGGTGATCGAAACCGGGACCTCTTGCACCCTAAGCAAGAATCATACCACTAGACCACTGAGCCGACATAAGGAGAATAAAATAAATTTTACATGAAAGCGCTGATCAATTGATTAAAGGTGATCAAAGCGCTTAGCAATCATACGCGATCAATTCCTTTAGTAAATGAAAATTAGTTATAGAGAAATAATTGAATGTAAATTATATAAATGAATCAAATTCCATAAAGTCAGCACTTCCTCAACTCGATAGAGTATATCAGCATAATTAACCCATCTATCCGCTCCGATAATTCCTTCGAAGTTTATTAAAATTTATAAAAGTTTTATTAAAAATTTCAAAAATTTACTCACTCTGCTACTTGGGCGAAACGGAACCGGATTTCAAAATATTTTTTATTTATATTGTCTATGGCCAATATTACATAATAAAAAATAAAAGTGCAACACTTGAGAATGGCGGCATTTAAAGATGCCCTTAATCACTAAATCAGATTATGAAATATTTCATAGGCCTGTCTATAATTTTTCTCAAGCAATGTTTATATAAGAATGAGAAAGTGCCATTTATTAAATTTTAAGTTTTGCTTTCAAATAAATATAAAATAGCTAAATTCAGTATTTAATGTGCCACCCTTCTACTATTTTTTGATATATTTTTTAAATAATTATTTTACCGTTGTCTTTTACATTGAAATCGTAGAAGATATGGAAGGCCTACTACTCCGAAGATAACTTGATTGTTCCACAATCCAACCCGTGATTTGATAATAGCTTCTGAAAGCCCAGGACAACTTAATTCCTTTTTAAATTTAATTTCTCTATTTAGTCAGAAACATATCAAGCTTCAAAAATATTTTTAAATAATTCCCCATATTCTACAGAATCTGAAGATGCGCATCTATTTATTTTTATGTTTATTATTAATTTTATTTAAAATTGTTTTGAATGTCAAACCAAAAAAGGTTCCAACATACTACGATATATTGAACGTCAAAAAGGAAGCTCCACATAATGAGATTGTGAAATCATTTAGAAAATTGGCACTGAAATATCATCCAGACAAAAATAAAGGTCCAGAAGCTACCAAAATTATGCAAGGCATTAATGAAGCTTATAATACCCTTGAAGATGAGGATAAAAGGAAAGAATACGATTTGAAATTGGCACGTAAACCGCTGAATAAATATTATAAAAAACGGAAAAATACTGCAAATGGAGAGGCTGGATCTTCTGGAACTAATAAAAGAACAAGAGGTTTGATTTCTACTTGAATAAAAATAAATTGAAAGTTTCAAAACTATAATTGTAAGATGGTAAAATGACGTATTATTTTCCGCCTACCCTATGAAACTTAGGACATGAATCAAAATCTGAAACGGTGAGGTGGTAGTAGATAGACTGGGAGAACATTGTAATAGTAGCTATATGGGCGTTGAAGAAACCGGAATCAGCCAGGATATCCTAAAACTTTATATCCCATCCAAAAACCTATCAAAACCGAAGGCATTGCGGTTGTATAATAAACTTACTATAGTAAAACTACAATTTTAGTCTCCTTATTTTAGCAAATGCTCCACAACGCCATCTAACACCTATGATTTTCACTACAGAATCATCTAATTATATATTCATTGCATACCCTGACAGGATTGCTGTAGTACATCGAGGAACTTTATATATTGACAATACCAGAAAAATTACAATTAATGGGGGTTATAATAATTTTGAAATTTATGGAAATAACTTGAAGCTTAGCGATCAATTTTTTGGCTTTGTTGTTGAGAATAGTAGATCATTTAAATTTATTATTTATGGTTCAGCTAATAAAGTTAGCAGAAAAGATGTCAGTAGTTTCAATTTTAAATTCGATCAGTCACCACCCTCCTCACAGCTAAATGATGTAATAATTAATGGAAATTCTAATAAATTTGAGGTAATTATTTTTTATTTTAATAAGAGATCTCATTATTAGTATCTATTTGACCTCAGTTAGCATATAAATCAGATGATGCTAGAGGTATTAGTTTCAGAGCCGTTGATCTCAGAGTTCTCTTCCCGGAGATCCAGATAATAGATCATATCTGAATTCTCAGAATTCTCAGTATTTCGGTCACAGAGTTCCGATCTTGATATCTTATGTTAAAGGTATTCAACAAGCTCAAAGTAAGCAATTCTAAAGTATGAGTTAAAGGTGATCATTTTATTGCTCCCTCGTCGGGTTTGGCCTCATTTTTAGCGGACCGGCCCGATCGAGTCTTTTTCGAGTGAAAAATTTGCACCCGACTCGTTCTTCGGGCCGGGCCGGATCGAGCTCCCAACCCTACACCCTTTTCCCATCTGCCTTCCACTATTTGAATGACTAAAATATTATTTAAGATTTATATTGAATATCATCCCAGAAAAACTGGTTCAAATCTTATCGAAATACATGGAAGTGAAAATACCATTCAATTTTCTGGACGTAATATAAATTTTAATGGCCAAAAATTTAAAATGGGTGATGATCAAATCTCGAAAGAATATTTTAATTCTGGACAACCAACACAAAATTCTAATCCCTTCAAAGGAAAAACACACACTTTTAATTTTGGTGGAGCTCAGCCAGGATATAATTACTTCCCTGGAGAAACCTCACAGAATCAAAATAAATTTGGAACACAAAGCCAAACATGGGAATTTGGAGAAGCATCAAAATCCCCCAAAAATGTTCCAAAAACATCTAATTTATTCCCAGAAACACCCAGCAAATTTGGTGAGCAAAGAGATGATGAAAGTATAGATTTGGAATTAAAATTATGAAACGTTTAAAATAAAATTGGAAGATTGTTTAGAAAATTATGATGTGTATTTAAAATAATTTATGTCTAAAGATACTATTTAAAATTATATTTTTCAATTTCCGTAAATTCTTGCAAGAATTTAGACAGAATCTGATAAATTTTGGTTTATGTTTTATAGATATGGGCCAATATTTTTAAACATTAAAAAGCCCCCTCCAAAGCAGGGGACGGTCCCATGTACAAAACGGCACACGGACACTCCAAAATTTTTTCTCATGGTCACCTAGCGCACTGCCATCAGGCAAACACTATTAGACGCACAGCCACCGAAGCGCACTGCCACCAATAGTGTTTGTCTGAACGCACAGCCACTGATGTCTATCAATCAGTGGCGTCCTACTTGGATGCTTTTAAGATATTTCTCAAATTCTTTACCATTTCCAAAAATTTTAATATTAATCTACATAAGGGGATGTGAAGCTATTATTATTTTTCTCAATTCCTTCTGGTTAAGTTTATCCTTATTACCTGGGTAAAGAATTATAGATTTACAGGATTTATTCAAATAAATACGTCAGTTTAGAAACAACACCATCTTTGTTTTCCAAAGGCCATTAAAGCTTCTAACTTGATAAGTTCTTGAACATGGTCATCCTCTCGTTGTTGAAGTTTCCTAATATTATAAATAAATAATGCCTTATAAAGCCGTATTATTAAAGAAATTTTACGTTGCTATAGTTTCCATGCATTCTTTGATTCCTTGACCTGTAAAAGCACTTGTCTCGAAGAACATCATGCCAAATTCCTGAATTATTTTTAATTTTTTTTATAAAATTTATAAGAATACATCAGCCAAGTCCTTCCCGTGCCCAAAAGTTATTGTTCTGGATTGTTCATTTGGGTACAAATCCACTTTATTTCCTACTAAACAAAGAATGCATCCATCATCAACACCATTGCGAACCGATTCAATCCAATTACGAACATTTACAAATGAAGTTTCCTGTTATAGGTGAATAAATTGAGTTCAGGATAGTAGTAAACTACTCAAGATGGGCCCATGGTGGCCAAAAACTTTTGTTTCTTCGAGCCCAGTGTCAATCTAAGCTTCCTTGATATTTAGAAATCTTTATTGCCCTAGAGGATACCCATAATACTATTTGGTCTTATAGAGGGGATGAATACTATAAGGCTGGTTGAACTACATATTTTGCCTGCCTTAGGCATTCATAGGTCATATAAAAGAAGGGCTAGTATTAATAAAGTTCAAAACTAACGGAAGTAACATCATACATCAAAATTACACCATCTGCTTTACGGAAATATTGTTTAGTGATTGAACGAAATCTAGATTGAAAAGCTCTTCTATATTCCGTAAAAATAATAAACCTTTCCTGCCCTGCAGTATCCCACAATTGAAGTGCTACAAGTCGATCATCTATACTCATTGTTTTGACAGTAAAATCAACCCCTAAAATTGGCATTTTCTGATTTTTGGATTCAAAAAACTGAAATAATTTAATAACCTATAGTCGCACAAAACAATGGCTTGAAACGGTTATAACAAAATCTTTAAATAAAAATTCAAAATAAACTCCAATCCAGTTACCTATGTAAAACACAGGTCTTCCCAACAGCAGAATCTCCAACCAGTACAATTTTGAATATTCTTTCTGGACAGTATGGATCCTATAAAAAGATAGGTATTTTAAAAAGCAGTTCTCCGGAACTGGATTTCCCGTGAGTAATTATTCAATCAGCCTAGAAGCCCGGAATTCGATCAAAATTTGGAAATAAATTAACGTAAATGCTATAATTAAAGCTCCGGGCATCCATTATTGGTGGGACCCTCGGGTGGGTTTAGATATGGGCTTTTAATAAAGCCGGGCTGTAATTAGTTTATTTACGGAAGATTAAATCGACAGACTAAGTCTTATCTCAGATTACAGTCATGAAATTTCTTATACTTATACAGACTATATACTTCGAATATCTCATTTATTTTCATAAACCTGTAAAATTTTACAAAACTTTACCAATTGTCCACGTGAATTTTGCCGATTGAGGAGCTTAATTTTTCAAATATTTAATCATCTCTACTTAAACCTCTTACTAAATTTCCACAAAATGAGCGTCTATTATAATTTGCCCTATCGTATTCATAATTTTGAGGAGGATCGGAGCACGAAGAATCTATTGTAGTTGTAGTATTAGTCTCTTCACTAAGCATTACTTGTGCTCGAAGCTTAAATTAAGGGGGATTATCTAAGAATTTTTTAACTTTAATAAAGCCCTGCTCTAAAAAATTTAAAAAATGAATATACTCCATTTATGCTTTCCGGTCCTTGAGTGCTCGAAACTAGTGGATTTTGAACTGCCAGAGGGGTACAAGACAAAAAATCATCAAAATTTGATATGGTTGTGTTTGTATCTACATTGTATGAAGGCGAAAAACCTTGAAATATTTATTTGTTCATGGCAAAATATCAAACTTTATACTTGTATCAATGAAGCTAAAAGGTGCCGGTGCTTCAAAGGGAGAAGCTAAGCCTCCTCCACCACATTCAGCATTAGGGTCATTTTCTATTGCAATTGTTAAGCGACTTTTACTGGCAGATTTTGGGCTCTGTAAAGAAAAATTTTTAAGCAAATTTAACCTCCCCCCCCCCTCTCCCACCTCCATGAAAAAATTTCGGGGAGGGAGAACCCATCCCCTTTCGCCGTTCTCCTACCCCTCTCCCCTCAATAAATCATTTATTCCAAATATTCATAAACAAAATTTACTAATTGATGTCTTGCTTCATGTTCTCCATCATATCCCAAAGGTATTGTTCGGAATTCACAAATGTCATTTTGCATTGTCTTCGTTATTGATCCTTTAAACGTGGCGTGAATTGAAATTCCCAAAAATTCAATTTAAAAAATATTTTAGGTAAGCCTTTTTACTTTTTATTGAAGTGTAGATTCAGTCAATCTGCTCTCGTTTTTATTCAGCTTACCGCTCGCATCCATAACGTAAAAGGAATATTAAAAGAGTAAAATCATCGACTCTTCCTTTTTTTATTACCAGCCGCTCTCTTCTTCCAGTTGAATTATTGAAGGAAGCTTTTAGCTGGGATTTATTTTTAGACCTTTATTTTGAAATCACTTAGGCAGTATCAAATATGTATAAATTTTCGAAAAAATTTTCTAAAAAATTTCATTGGCACTCAATTGAAAATTCCAATCAATATCTTCTCTATTACCCTTCAATTTAACCAAAATCTAACCAAACTCCATTTTATTAAGCTTAATTTGTTGAGAAATCTTTTTACAATTTTTGTATCTCCTTATACAGCTGAGAAAATAATGAAGGTTTACATCAGTTATATTGCTGGATGACAAAATATTGCACTTTAATAATAAAATAAAAAATTGGAAGATGCTAAATTAAAGATATAATTTGCCGAGTTTAAGATATCCATGGAAATCAACAGATTTGTGTTGATTGATCCGAATGGCTCTCCAACGCATTATCTCTATTATCGCTATTATGTAAAAAAAAGCCTGGACGGTCTAAGACAAGGAAAGCCTGGACGGCCTTACACAATTTCAAGCTGTACATTCATCGAGATTGAAATGCTTTAAGTAAGATTAGAAGGCTTGGATGAATCACAGGTTAATCTTTCTAAATTATTGCTTACTTCAGTCAAAGCTAGCAGGGAAATTACTTCCTGATAAGCTAAATTAAACTGATTTTTAATTTGAATATAAATTTAACATTTAAAGCAAATGATGGTAGTCCAGTAAATTTATTGGAAAGGTTACGGTCTGGCTTGAAGAAAGAGCACAAATTTTGAGTTTTAAATTCACTATTGTTTCAAGAATTTAACTAAAAAATTTGAGTTAACTAATAAAATCTTTAGCTTCGCTGGCTAGTAAAGAAATTTTAGCACCTCGAGCCACCAAAATTTTAAAATAATAATTTACAGTTGAATAAAATAAAGTTCGGAATCTACCCTCGACAATTTTAAATATTTTTCGTTTTTGACCATTTTTAAAAACAATGGGTTGTAGATATATTGTGTATTTCACGCCTTTAGTTATTTTTAAAAAATAGGGAGAAGTGCAAAGTAAAAGAGAAAAGGAAATAACAGAAGGAATAAGAAAGAGAAAAGAATAAGAAAGAGAAAAAAAATAAGAAAAAGAAAGGGAAATAATCAAAGCGCGTATAAATGATTAGTGTTCTCTAGTCTTCTCTACTAACCGTCTAAAATTTGTTAATTCTCAAACTTGTCAATGATGTTTGGATTAAGTGTAACATAGCCTCTGTTGCCTCCGTTGGTGATTGACTTCGGGGCCCAATTGGTGCTGTGACTTTGTTGTTTCCGTTGGTGTTTGCCTTCGGGGCCTCATTGGTGCAGTGACTTTGTGGCTTCCGTTGGTGGTTGACTTGGAGCTTTATAGGTGTTGTGGCTTATGGCATTCGTTGGTGTTTTCCTTTGGGCCTTGGGTCGATTTTTGGATGGTCCATATGCCGTTTTGTATATGGATCGGGCCCTCCTCGAAGGGTATTTTTAATCTTGTTGACTGTTTATGTAGGCCTTTTTCATATATACATTAATATACCTCTTAATCACCATATCCTCTTTGGTCTATCCTTTTCTATAAAATTTGAACCCCTTAATAAAAACTTGACGTAATTGTCTGTCTTCTATTTTCAAAGTTTATTAAAACTACAAATTAAAACGCTTCTTAGTCTATAAATAATTTTATTCCTCATTTTTACCGCCTTTCAAAGCTACAATTTAATCAATCATTAATTAATACATGTTGCTATTTTAGAAAAAATAAAAAAAAGATTTTATAAAGCAAAGAATGTATTTTTTATGCATTCACGTGTTAAGCCCAACAAACACTCAATATATAATATTTCTTTTATTCTTTTTTATAAAGACAATAGTGTATAAATTTCCCTTTTTAAATTTTTTACTGTTCATTTATATCCCCAAGATTTTTTAAGCTAATTCAATAAAAATCCAAAGATTTACCAAGTGGAAAGTGAAAGAATGTGAAAGGGAAATTTTTTTATTTCGTTTGTTGTTTGTCCACAAAAATTTTCTTTTTGGAAGAAGCAATTGCTTTTATTCATTTTCCCCCGTATCAATCATTCCGCTCCATTCGTTCATTGACACATACTTTATCTAAACAAATAAGACCCCCAAGGGGAATTTATTTAGTAAAGCCTGTCCATATGGAATGCTCAATCTGCTACTATTTTTAGCGGCAGGCAATACCCACCATTTACCTCTTCTCTTTACCTTCATAAAAGACAATAGAAATGCCAGAAGGGATAGGTGTCAACAAAAACAAATAAATGCTCTATATCTAATTTTTTTAATGCGAATTTAATAAAATTTTTAGATTTGTGTCGATTCGGTTCGTTTTCGAGCCTTTCGAGCTGAAAAGCCTCGGCTCGCTCAATCGAGTTTCGGGTCAAGCGAGCCGGCAACTAGTGTTGCAGTTTTCGATTCGAGCCGACGTTCGGTGCATATTTTTCGAGCTGTGTTTTTTTCGATTCGGTTCGTTTTCGAGCTTTTCGAGCTGAAAAGCCTCGGGTCGTGCGAGCTGGCAACCCTAGTCATGATATCCAGACGGATATCTGAAGATTTCAAGGATCCGTCAAACTTTTCCGACTATACAAATTAATTCCTAACCTTTAATTTTCTTTCACATATTTTCTAAAAAATTGTTTTGTTTCCCAAAATTCCTGTCATTTTTCATCCCTTCTAATTTAACATAAAAAATTTTTCCATCATTTGGGGCTAATTGTCAATTATAGAAAATGGACGTAGCTAAAAAATGAACAAAAATAAAAATGAGGGAGTGTGTGTGTTTTTTATGTATTGCTTAATCGGACAAATGGCTAAATTCCCAAATTTAATCCTAACAAAAAAAGCTTTAAAAAATCTATTAAAAACGAGATTTGTTTCTAAAATAAAATTTTTATTGTGATAACGACCCAGCTGTGACCCAAAAAAGTTGGTGTAGATATTTTAATTAAATTGGGGCTTTTTTAAATTTAATTTGTGCTAATTAAATTTTTTAAATTGTCAGCTCTTAATTTAGAAATAAAAACGAATTTTATTATACTAACATCAGATTTATTTAGTTGAGAAGAAATTTATTTTATTTTGATTTAAAATTATACTGTGTTTTTTAATTTCCGCGTTTTGGATTATCTTAATTTTTTGCTTGAGAATTTTGACTTAAAAATCACTTTTCCATACGTGTATCTGATATCTCGATTTCGCTGAACCATAATTCCTGAATGTGATATTACCCATTGTTCTCCGGTTCCAAACCGGAAGAACAATGGGCAAGATTAAATTTAGGAATTCTGATTTTTGAAAATAAAATTTTTAGTTCAGGAGCGGTTCCAATTTTTGATAAATGTGAAAGCCTAATTGGTTATGAGCAGGATTAAGGTGGATATAATCCGATTTATAGGAATAAAGGGTTGTTGAAAAGATTCCCACAAATCTACTTAATTCTCACAAAATCATGGATACTCTACAGAAGTTTTTACACCTTTGTTCCCCTAGATTCCTCATCAAACGAAAATTTTGAAAATAAAATTTTGGGTTCAAGAGCGGTTCCATTTTTTACGTTTCCGCAATATCATTTCCGCTTGTTATTCTACATTTTTATTCTACATTTCATTCATTTAGTCATCAGTTCAGGGAACTTATGGTCTAAAGCTTACTCATATTGGTCTATTTTGAAATATTTTTCCTTATGACCAAAAACGACCTTTCCAAAATTTTTATTATAAGTTTTCTTTTACCTCAGCAATGTTTGTCTTCATAATTTCCTGACTTTTCCCTTCCCCCCTCAATAACTTCCTTCCATTTTTTCTTCTTCCATCAATATCACAACGAAAATTTCCCTTTTTTTAACATTTTTTCTAAGGTTTCCCCCCCCCCATTCCCCCAATTTCCATTTAGCCTACTTTTTCTCCCCCTTATTCCACAAATAACCTAAAACATTGCTAATTTAACTCAAAGGCTTTCTGTCCTCCTTACTCATTTTCAGTGCCAAAATTACGCTTTATTGCCTCGCCCATTTTACTTAAAATACCTTTCTTTGTGTTTCTCATTGTCATTTTTTTGTCACAATTATTTTTAGAAACGGAAATGGCATGTTGAATTTTTTAAATTTAATAAAGTACAAAAAAGATTGTTTGTTTTCCTTTTATTTTTTAAATTTATTTCAAATAAAAAAAATATTTTACGTAATTTACAAGAACTACAATAACCCTCTCTAATATATAACCTTTCGGGCCGAATTTAGGGAGTGGGCGAATTTTCGGGACCGAAATTAGCTGACCTTTGAAGGGAAATGAAATAAGAGGTGTGCGATTTTGGAGAGAATGGCAGTATTTTCGCTCCATTTTTATTGGGTTTCATTAAATTAGCTTTCTGTAAAATATTTTACACGTACCCGAATACAAGATTTATCTAATAGAGCAATTGGTTTTATAGTATAAGACACCCCTATCTTTGCGTTTATTACACACACTCTATACAAGAGAGCTGTGAAAAAACTCGTGTCGAAAAGATTCTGGGTTTCGGCTACTCCGTATCTTCCCTTGACCATATGAAAGCTTCCATAATTCTCTATAAGGTCGTTTAAAGTTCCCTAGCAAAGTATTTTACCTATACCTAACTTACTAGCTAAAATTCTTATATCTTATCCAAAATTTATTAAAGCCAAGTATTATCAACGTAAATAATAATAAATTACAAGCTTTACTAACCTGATTTTCAATTTAATTGCTCACCAAAAATAAATCTCCAATTTAATTAATAGTTAGTTTTTGTGTTTTAATCAAAAGGATTTTTTAGATTAATTTTTATTTATTCTTTTTCCGTCCACAATTTTAATCTTTGAATTTTTTATCTCAAAATTGCTTCAAATGGAAATCTCAAATTCTTTTTCTCCCCTAAATTTAACCCAAAAACCTCAAAAAACAAGCTTTGACATTTTTGAAACTCCCCATATTTCATTTGTCACCACTTTAATAAATGGGGCAGCAGAAGCAATGAATTATTTGGATGAAAATATTACTAATGGTAACGAGAGTACCGAGGATTTTATGCAAGAAAAAATTATTAATGTAAGGAATTTTTGATTTATTCGAAAATAATTTTCAACAAAATTTTTTTAAAAATGCCTAAAATTGTGATAAATAGGGCATAATTCCCTTAATCCTCATATCCCTATAATTCTTCTTCCCTTAATCATCGAGATCCACATTCATTCCCTACATTCTTTTAATTCCCTGCATTTTCCTGCATTCATTCCGCATTAATAGACGGGTTAATAACCGGATTCTTAAATTACTCTAACCACATAAAAACACCATTTTTGAGCTCTTTATTAAGGCATACATTAATGATAGAAAACTAAATCTCTAAAATCAAATTTTTTAAGGATTGTGTTTTTCTACCAACAACAGAAAATTTTCTCATGATTTTCACATTTTCGATGATTTTTTGCCTTTCAGTTGTTGGAAATTCTATTGTCATCGTTGTTATCCTACAGGTATTATCAAAATTTCTATTAATGAAATTGAAACAATAATCAACTATTACAGTGTATACCAGGGATGGGTGGGGCGGGTTTCGGGTCGAGTTTTAAAAATTTTTCTTCGGATCGAGTTTTGGGTCGAGAAATATTCCCGGGTTTCAGTTTTCTTTTTTTTCCATCTCTGGTATATCCGGTAATCTTATTAAATTACCCAAAAATAATCTTTGATTTGCCATTTTTAAAATTAAAAATTCCCAACTGAATGTTTCTTAATCTTTAATTTTTATTCAAGCAAAAATCTATGCATTCTGTAACAAATTTATACCTGCTAAATTTGGCCTTAAGTGACTTGCTTCTGAGCGTAGTTTGTGAGTAATATTTTATTAAATATTCATGGAAAAAAATAAAAATAACTTTAAATTAATAATTAATGACTAGCTTTAATAAAATAAAATTTTTTAAAAATTTAATTTAAAGGTATGCCCCCAACCCTGGTCAGTTCCTTAGTTTATTGCTGGGTATTTGGCGATTTACTTTGTAAACTATTGGCATATCTACAACGTAGATTTAATTTTTATCTAAATTTTAAAGATTTTTTATTTACAGCAGTTGTCGTAACAGGTATAATTTAATTTTGAGAAAAATTTTAAAAATTATATAATGCTAAATTTTTATATGCATAATATATATTAATTGAATATGCAAATTAAAAATACCAGAGAATTTTGTAGGTTATATTTCTCTAACCAACATTACACTAATACAGGGTGTCCCAACTAAAAAGCACTATTTTAAAAATTAATAACTTTTTACTATCTTGACGGATTTTAAGATTTTTGGTATTTTATATCTATAATTTATGAGAATTATTTTTGACATAAAAATTTTGTCTAAATTCGAACCCTAACCCTAGATAATTTCGTACTCTACCGTTCTGTTTTTCCCTTTTTCCGCACATGCATTCTTACTCCCTTTTGTTTTTTTTGAGCAGCGATAGACACTAGAGTAAACACTAGGCGATAGACACTACATTTTCAATACATTATCCACCAGTGCTGGGTATGGCTCCGGGAGCTAGCTCCGGAGCCCGGCTCCGGAGCCGGCTCCGGCGGAGCCGGAGCCGGAGCCGGAGCTAAGATTTTGAAAACCCCGGAGCCGGAGCTGGAGCCGGAGCCAAGAATTTCAAACCCCGGAGCCCGGAGCCGGAGCCGGAGCCAAGGTTTTCCAATTCCCCACGGCTCCGGCTATACACCCCTAAAGATGGGTTAGAGAAAAAGAAGTAAGCAAAGACGGTAGGCGAGAAAAGAAAAGGAAGAGAAAATTGAGACGGGTAAAAAAGATTTTCTTTCCTTTACTTTGTAAAGTAGTTGTGGTTGAATGGATAGTGAGTTAGGTTCCGAATTTTATCCGGTTATAGGTTCGAAAAATATTACAAAAAATGATTAAATAACTGTTTTGCTTTGGAAAATAGATTATAATAAGCATTTTTTAAATAAATAAAGCTGGATAAATTTTTTAAATTGATTAATTTTAGTCTCCTGTGAGTCAAATTTTTCAAAATTTTTGCCTGCGGCGCAAAAAAGGAAGATTTTTGGCTTAAGGATCTTCCAAAATTCTCAAAATTTTCGCCTGCGGCGCAAAAAAGGAAGATTTTTGGCTTAAGGATCTTCCAAAATTCACAAAATTTTTGCCTGCGGCGCAAAAACCAAGTGATAATGAGAGGATAAATCCAACATATCCAACATACTCTTCTTAATCCTCTGATATCACTCGATATCCCCCTTTATCTACCCAAATCCCCCAATGAAAAATAATTAATTGATTTTCCAGCCGGAGCCCGGAGCCAACATGGAGCGGCTCCGAAAATCGCCGGCTCCGGAGCCCGGAGCCGGAGCCGGAGCCAAGATTTTGAAACCCCGGAGCTCGGAGCCGGAGCCGGAGCCAAGATTTTGAAACCCCGGAGCCCGGAGCCGGAGCCGGAGCCAACAAATGGCAAATACCCAGCACTGGTATCCACTCTTCGCCATACGCAGGAAAATAAATGCACTAAGATAGCACACAATGAAAAGAGGGAAAAAAGAGAACGGTTGAGTACGAAATTGAAATACAGGGTTAGGGTTCGAATTTAGACATTATTTTTATGTCAAAAAAATTCTCATAAATTATAGATATAAAATACCAAAGATCATTAAAATCCGTCAAGATATTAAAAAGTTATTAATTTTCAAAATAGTGCTTTTTAGTTGGGACACCCTGTACATTAAATTAGTGTCATGTATACCTACCAAATTTACCTACCAAATTTTAATCCCTACCAAATTTTAAAATAACACATATAAAGAATTTATATAAAATTCTTATAACAGCCTCAGCCTATACTCTTGCTGCAATAGCATTAGAACGTTATTATGCAATATGTCGTCCTCTACAATCGCGAATATGGCATACCCGTACACACGCAAAATTTATGATTAGCCTTGTTTGGTCAGTAATTTGTATACTTTAGTTTGGCTATGATTTTGGCAATTATAATATCCATAAATTTGTTTTCAATTTTTCAGGCTAGCCTCTATCATCGTTAATTTATTTATGTTATTTATGTATGAAGAAAGAAAATTTAATACAAATGGCCTTAACTGTTCCCCAAAATTTAAACCTCTAGTTCATTTTAGCTATCAGGTCTAGACTCATTTTCCACTTTAAAAATTAATTTTTAAAGATTTACATGACTGTCATGCTTCTAGTTATTCCGTTGGTTGCCATGACTGTTCTGTAAGAATTTTAATTCTTTCTGAACCAAAGTATACTCATAATTTTTAGATATGGCAGCGTTATTCGCACTCTTAGCTCAGGGATTTTTGTCGATCTTGCTTCTAAAGAAGTTGTTGACAGTATGTCTTTTTAATTCTGATACAAAAAATATTTCAAATTTTAATTAGAAGCCGATAATCTCGAAAATCGGCAACAGAATCTTTCAAACAGTAAATGGTACAAGAGGCCTAGCCTAGAAGGAGGCTGCTCAAAAGGCAGCAGACTATCTCTAGTGGCAATGATAAAAAATGAATTAAAACTAGGCTTAAGAGAACCAACAATAGCTACCTCATGTTTGCGTCAAAAGAGAACAAGTAATGGCCAAGTTGTGGAAGTCAATCTAAGATCTACCCAAGCTGAAAAAAGTGCAATTGCTAAAAAGAGGTGATCGAGCAAAATAATTTTTAATTGATTTTTAAAAGTTTTCCCGTACTCCGCAATACATAAAGTGTACTAGAGAATTAACTACTAGAGAATTAATTTGCTTAATATTAATTATTATATCTTTATCTGAAATATCTTTATCTGAAATATGTTTATCTGAAAATATTTTTATCTGAAATATCAATATCTTTATCCGAAATACTATAAAATTATGAGTAATTTACATAATATTAATTATTTCAATAAATCTATCTTAATAATAGAGAATTATAAGTAATTTACATAATATTAATTATTTCAATATTTTTATCTGAAGTACTAGATAATAAATCTACATAATATTAATTATTTCAATAAATCTATCTTAATAAGAGAGAATTATAAGTAATTTACATAATATTAATTATTTCAATATCTTTATCTGAAATACTATAAAATTAATTTACTTAATATTAATTATTTCAATAAATCTATCTTAATAATAGAGAATTATAAGTAATTTACTTAATATTAATTATTTCAATATTTTTATCTCAAAGACTATAAAATTAATTTACTTAATATTAATTATTTCAATAAATCTATCTTAATAATAGAGAATTATAAGTAATTTACATAATATTAATTATTTCAATATTTTTATCTCAAATACTATAAAATTAATTTACTTAATATTAATTATTTCAATAAATCTATCTTAATAATAGAGAATTATAAGTAATTTATATAATATTAATTATTTCAATATTTTTATCTTAAGTACTAGAGAATAAATCTACATAATATTAATTATTTCAATAAATCTATCTTAATAAGAGAGAATTATAAGTAATTTACATAATATTAATTATTTCAATATCTTTATCTGAAATACTATAAAATTAATTTACTTAATATTAATTATTTCAATATCTTTATCTGAAATATAGAGAATTATGAATAATTTACATAATATTAATTATTTCAATATTTTTATCTTAAGTACTAGAGAATAAATCTACATAATATTAATTATTTCAATATCCTTATCGGAAATACTATAAAATTAATTTACATAATATTAATTATTTCAATATTCTTATCTGAAATATAGAGAATTAATTTACATAATATTAATTATTCCAATAATTTTATCTGAAATAATAGAGAAGTGTGTGTTATGCTTCTCTAATTGATTAACAAGTTAGACTTTGGAGCTATTCGAGTTTGAATAATTATAGTACTGTTTAGCTTATTTGAGTCACAAATTATTTTGTTAATTTAGGCTTATTCGAATGCTTATTGTGATTGTTGTACTTTTCTTTTTCTGTTGGACACCTTCATATATTTGGTGGATATTTTTGTGTGCGCAAGACACATTTGGGGTTTATTAAGATTTATATTTGTATTTAAATCACTTCAACGTTCAGACCTTTAATATTTGGAATTCTGAAGTTAATACGATAATAACAGTTCTGACTTATCTCTCGTCATGTACAAATCCCATAACCTATTGTTTTTTGAACAATAAATTTCGCAATGCTCTGATACTTACATTTGGATGGAAACGTAAACTTAAGAAATTAAATTAGCCAGAATAAATTTTTTAAAGGCTCGAGTGCGCGAAAGAGCAAAAGTGAGGGTCATTACAATTATACACAAAACACATCTCCTATGGAATATAGAAGGCGTTCTTATGATCCGAATGATGAAAATTAAAAATAATTTAAATTAAATTAATATTTTAAATGTAATATAAGATGAATTATAAATATTTATTTGATTGTTTTTTGGGTTTAAATTCAAAATTTTAACACAATAAATTTAAATATTTTGTTAGAAGTAAGCTATTCTGCCTCGGAGCACAAATAAATAATTATATACGGGCTATAGCAAGCTTCTAGCAGGTCAGCTCAATCTTGATTCGAATGATATATTAATTATCCTTATCAGATTTTTATTCACTGATAAATGAATTTTTAAAATTTTAAATTCCCCAAAAATACATAATAGTGATCAAATATGGTATTATAGACTTACAGAAAGTTAATGAAAAAATCTCGGCCGGTAATTTTTAAATACAGTTTTTAATGCTGATTCGAATGATATATTATTTATCCTTATCAGATTTTTATTCACTGATAAATGAATTTTTAAAATTTCAAATTCCCCAAAAATACATAATAGTGCTCAAATATGGTATTATAAACTTACAGTATGTTAATGAAAAAATCTCGGCCGGTAATTTTTAAATACAGTTTTTAATGCTGATTCGAATGATATATTATTTATCCTTATCAGATTTTTATTCATTGATAAATGAATTTTTAAATTTTCAAATTCCCCAAAAATACATAATAGTGCTCAAATATGGTATTATAGACTTACAGTATGTTAATGAAAAAATCTTAACCGGTAATTTTTAAATACAGTTTTTAATGCTGATTCGAATGATATATTATTTATCCTTATCAGATTTTTATTCACTGATAAATGAATTTTTAAAATTTCAAATTCCCCAAAAATACATAATAGTGCTCAAATATGGTATTGTAGACTTACAGTATGTTAATGAAAAAATCTTAACCGGTAATTTTTTAATACAGTTTTTAATGCTGATTCAATTGATATATTATTTATCCTTATCAGATTTTTCTTCACTGATAAATGAATTTTTAAAATTTCAAATTCCCCAAAAATACATAAAAGTGCTCAAATATAGTATTATAGACTTACAGTATGTTAATGAAAAAATCTTTGCCGATAATTTTTAAATACAGTTTTTAATGCTGATTCGAATGATATATTATTTATTTTTATCAGATTTTTATTCACTGATAAATGAATTTTTAAAATTTCAAATTCTCCAAAAATACATAATAGTGCTCAAATATGGTATTATAAATTTACAGTATGTTAATGAAAAAATCTCGGCCGGTAATTTTTAAATACAGTTTTTAATGCTGATTCGAATGATATATTATTTATCCTTATCAGATTTTTATTCACTGATAAATGAATTTTTAAAATTTCAAATTCCCCAAAAATACATAATAGTGCTCAAATATGGTATTGTAGACTTACAGTATGTTAATGAAAAAATCTTAACCGGTAATTTTTTAATACAGTTTTTAATGCTGATTCAATTGATATATTATTTATCCTTATCAGATTTTTCTTCACTGATAAATGAATTTTTAAAATTTCAAATTCCCCAAAAATACATAATAGTGCTCAAATACAGTATTATAGACTTATAGTATGTTAATGAAAAAATCTCGGCCGGTAATTTTTAAATACAGTTTTTAATGCTGATTCGAATGATATATTATTTATCCTTATCAGATTTTTATTCACTGATAAATAAATTTTTAAAATTTCAAATTCTCCAAAAATACATAATAGTGCTCAAATATGGTATTATAAATTTACAGTATGTTAATGAAAAAATCTCGGCCGGTAATTTTTTAATACAGTTTTTAATGCTGATTCGAATGATATATTATTTATCCTTATCAGATTTTTATTCACTGATAAATAAATTTTTAAATTTTCAAATTCCCCAAAAATACATAATAGTGCTCAAATATGGTATTATAAACTTACAGTATGTTAATGAAAAAATCTTAACCGGTAATTTTTTAATACAGTTTTTAATGCTGATTCAATTGATATATTATTTATCCTTATCAGATTTTTCTTCACTGATAAATGAATTTTTAAAATTTCAAATTCCCCAAAAATACATAATAGTGCTCAAATACAGTATTATAGACTTATAGTATGTTAATGAAAAAATCTCGGCCGGTAATTTTTAAATACAGTTTTTAATGCTGATTCGAATGATATATTATTTATCCTTATCAGATTTTTATTCACTGATAAATGAATTTTTAAAATTTCAAATTCCCCAAAAATACATAATAGTGCTCAAATATGGTATTATAAACTTACAGTATGTTAATCAAAAAATCTTAACCGGTAATTTTTTAATACAGTTTTTAATGCTGATTCGAATGATATATTATTTATCCTTAACAGATTTTTATTCACTGATAAATGAATTTTTAAAATTTTAAATTCCCCAAAAATACATAATAGTGCTCAAATATGGTATTATAGACTTACAGTATGTTAATGAAAAAATCTCGACCTGTAATTTTTAAATACAGTTTTTAATGCTGATTCGAATGATATATTATTTATCCTTATCAGATTTTTATTCACTGATAAATGAATTTTTAAAATTTCAAATTCCCCAAAAATACATAATAGTGCTCAAATATGGTATTATAGACTAACAGTATGTTAATGAAAAAATCTTAACCGGTAATTTTTAGATACAGTTTTTAATGCTGTTTCGAATGATATACTAATTATCCTTATCAGATCAGTATTCAGTGATAAACGAATTTTTAGTCATTTTTAAAGACTCTAGTTAACTTAATTTCAAAAATCTGACTTAAAATTTTTAAAATTATTTCACAATTAATAACATAATAAAAGACATTATGAAACAGCTTTAAGGAAATGTTTCATTAATTTGCACTTATCACTTGTTTATTATTGCTTCTTCACATGCAAATCCCTTTTTCTTTCATATTTCCTCATTGCGCAATCTTAAAAGGATTTAACAGCCTCGCTAGACATTTTAAAAGGGCTATTTTTTATAAAAATAATTCATAAACAGTCTTGACAAGGAAAAAGCTCCGGCCTAAATATGAATTGTTTTGTATTCCCCTTACTTTTGTTATTCTTCCTCAAACTTTTTCAACAAGTTGAATTGACTAACTATTATGAAATTTTGAATATCGACAGATCAGCAACTAAGGAGGAGATAGAAGCAGCTTACCATAATTCGGTTCATGAAATGGTTAATGAAAATAATAGTTTGGATGAGCAAAGCAAGGAGATAAAACTGAAGGATTTAAAGAAATCTTTTAAAGTTTTAAGCAATGAAACTAGCCGAGCTAGATATGACTATTATTTGGGTATTCTAGATAACTTTAAAGCAATTTTTAGTCATGGAGACTGTAATATATGGTTTCAGTTCGAAACATCCCAAAAAATTCGATCACGATAATCGAGAGCTCTTGTCTCTATTCAGTCTCCATGCCTGCTTTTAATAATAACTTAATCAGGTAAAGGCAAAGCAATTGTCAAGTTTAATCGGAAAACTGAAAGGGCCTCAGCTTCAGCACACCGTCGTGAACTTCAAAAACATGGAGGATCAAGCAGTGGACGACAAAGACAGCCCAAATGTAAGTAAATAGTTTTGGAAATTTAGATTATTTTTTTCGACTTGTAGGATTTTAGCAGGCTAATCCTTAAGAGAGCAACTTTTGAAGCACTCTGACACACTTATAGCTACACAAAATACTGGATATTGAATCTCCCAAGCGATACCCCCTATTTAATAACAACTCATCAGATGCTCAATTGCTTCAGCCCTTTTAAACTCTAAAAAAAGCTCGACCGTCTTACATGCCTTTTAAACTTGTTAATGCATTTTCAGATAATGCTGAATCATCGCCACAACCTAGTGTTATTAGAATCATTGTATATCAGGATCGAATAGCAGTACAGGACGAAAATGGAAAGACATTCAATGACAATATTAAAAATATTGAAATCACTGGAGAATATGCCTTTTTGAACATTTTTGGAAATAATTTGGAAATTAAAAATTATCTGATTGGACCAAAAATTAAGTCAAACTCCGTTAAAATTGAAATCAACGGCTTACTGAATGAGAGAATTAAAAAATATACAGCTGATTATGAATTTAATTTTGAGTTAAATGTGGGTCAAACGCCACAGAACGAATTTTGTGAAAAATTTTCAATTGTCGGCAACTATTATATAGAAGTAAAATAGAATTTCGATTAGGGATTGGACGGTTTTACTCGACGGTTTACTCGACTACTGGGGTAGGGGAAGGGGAGTTGATCAAGCGAAACCCCCAGTATTAACCGTCTGAGTCGTCAGTCAAGCATGGATTTATAGTGAGCTTAAACTGTACCCTATTATATTCAGATTCATATTGAAGACAATAATTACAATGGAAGCGACCTTAAATTAATTTCGGTTAATTCGTCTTCAATTATAGCTAAAATAGTAGGCCATGGTAATAAAGATGTGATGAAATTTAGCAAGACTGAGGAAGTTCAGGATTCGATTGAACCTGCCTCAAAATGGTGCAGTTTAATGTGAAAATGAAGCAAATGGAATACGGAAAATAAAGAATTTTTAATATTTTTAGAAAATGTTATGTTATTGGATACAATTTTGAATTAGCATTAGCATAATAAAAAATTTTTTAATCTTAAATATTTTGTTCCCCATTTTTCTTATTTTTACCCATCTTTTTATGTCTCAAACTCATCACTTTGAAGGAATGCGTGCCTCATCGTTGAAGAGCTAAAGAATATATAATTTTGATAAAATAAATTCTTTTTTTTATTAAAATTACATACACCATAACATTTGTCACCCGTATCAAGATCTTTAGGATTGCTGCAACTAGATGTTATAGGGCAACAGCCTAAGCCTTTGTCACATGATTTAAAATCACTAGACGGGCAGCACCTTAAATTGTTTGAATATATAATCTTGCCGAATGTTTAAAAAAATTTTACTTTGTAGTCGTACTTCCTTTGCAGGTTACATCTTTAGAACCTGATGGGCATGCGCCTTCAGTACACTTTGGTTTGTTTCCAAAGAAGTTAAAGAAGGAACATTCAGAATTGTTTAATAAATTCAATCCAACAACAAATAAGAAAATTAAAGCTTTACTCTCAAGAAGCTTCATTGATTAAATTAATAATTATTTTATTGAATTATAATATAAAAATATTAAATATAATTGCTAAAAATAATTCTTTTTTAAATGAATTTAGCCAAACGAGAGATTTTTCTGTTTGAACAGCTTTAATTTCTTTCGCTTTGTGCCTGCAACTATTCTCTATACTTGGGTATATTTTATTAAAATTTATTTGGTAAATTTCCAATTACGCGTAGATAAAATAAAATTTTATTTAAATTTTAATACGTGGTAATCTTTGGTTGATAAATTTAAATTGATTGATAAATTAATAAATTAAATTATTAAATTAAATAAATTAATTAAATTAATAAATTTCAAGTTAAACATTTTTGAAAAACCTCTAAATGGATTGGCGCGAGTCCTTCTATCTCAATCTGAGATTGATGTAAAAGATACAAATCATGAACGTGCCCTGAATGATAGATGATAAGTAACTATGAAAAATAAAAGCTAAAGCAGAAGGGGAAAGCTTGAGACGAAAAAGCGAAATTTTGGAGAAGGCAAAAACACTAAGGCAGAACATAGCAAATCCCTTGTATATATGAATATTATATGTATCTCCTTATCTCCGGGAATTTGGACAGTAAATATTTAGGTAGTAAGAGACAATTACACAATTGGCTAGTTAACTGTACTTTAAAACCAATTAAACTCATACAAATCCCTTAATCTTTTATTCGATTGGAAAAAATTGTCAACAAATGTAGTTATTACATAAATATGTATCATCATCATGAAAAGAATCATTCATTAATTGTTTTCATTTAGGTGTACTTTTGTAGAAGTGAACGACCTCTACCTCCTAAATTTTATGTATTAATTTAAACATAAAACTTAAATGATGCCTTGTCTTTGCCTTTAGGTTCACAAGCGTTTTGCCCACATTTATGTGTTCCTGGACAACAACCTTTTGCTTCGCCATGTGATCCGACACAGTAAATTGGATTTTGATAAACGCAACAGCTTAAAATACATATAAATATAATACACATGCTTTGGATTTGATCAAATTAAAAGATCTAACTTAGATATAGTACATAATCATCATTAATTGAATAGATCTAAAACTAATTATCAATCCGATATACTAATTAATCAATCCGCCATTCCGCACTCACCCCTGCCCGGCATCGTCTCTTGGGACCCTTAACATCACAACCCTTCCAACAACACCAACACCATCCTGGCCCATTACAAACTTTGCTATATTAATACTTACTAATAGCCAACGACTTGTGATTTGTAACAGCTTTCTCCTTGACCACGACACGCCAGCTTATTATTCGGGTTACATATATTATTTGGTACTGCAATCAAATAATTCAATATAACGGCAAAAATTGCAAGAATCAGGAACGTTGATTTATTTAGAAACATTTCAGTCGATTAACAATTAAAATATAACTGAAAATTATTCTTAAATATTACCCATATTAGTAAAAAGTGGTTAAAAAACAAAATGAGACAGCACGAAACTATGCTAAATAACTGTAATAAAGTAAAAATGTTTTGGCCTTTGACTAGTGCAGGATACCGTATTCTCTCTAATAGAATGCTATAATATTCTTTTTATTAGAATGCCACCCTCTAATAGAATGCCACTTTGGAAGATTTTGAAAAATAGAATGCCATGGCATTCTATTAAAGAGAATACGGTAATTTAGCCGGCCTCCAGTTGACCAGACTGTCAAGAATTAAATAGCAATAAATAATAATTTACAATAAATAAAGCATAATTAAAAAATTATGTGAATTTTATTATTAAAATTTTTAGAGATAACTTTTATTTGAAGAGAATTAATTATTGAACTTCTCCGTCAGCTTAAGTACTTACTCTAATAACACTTCATTTAAGCTTTGATATTTATTATTATCATTCTAAAACACACATATTTGTTTTTGTTAGCAGCATTAAACCACGGAATAATAATAACTCAAGATAGATTTTTATGAAAAATTATAAAAATATTTATCCAACTTTCGAATGTGTCTATTTTTCTTTGATGTTTGGATATTAACTTGGCTTTAGCTAAGAATTAATACACATTATTCTTGTTATGTTTTGCGTAAGTAAAAATATTTTTTTATTCATACCAAAAATAAAAATTAAGGAAAGAATTCTCAAAGACCTGCTAAACTTTTCTCAACTCCAAATACTTAAGAAAATTAAAAAAATATTCTGCTTCAATTCCTCGAAATAGCTAGAGAATCGCAACTTAACAAATTCTCTAATATTTTAATTAACATTCTTCAACTAATTCATATTATTCACCTACTTAAAATTAGCTTGAGATTGGTGTAAGAATAATTTTAATGAAACAAAAATTTAGCAACACCTAAATTAACATCATATACATACATATACCAACTTATGCAAGACTGTATTAATTACACTCCCTCAAATAAAGTCCGTTAAGAAATTATAAGAACAAGCATTTTTTTGGTGTTTCTCATCTTTCCTATGTTCAATCGTAACAAAATTTTTTTTAAAAATAGATGTTCTGAAAATATTAGGATTTTGAGAGTTTAAGAGAGTTTTGGTGAAAAATAAAATTTTTATGATTTTTTTTCTAAAAATGGTGTGTTAAGAAAATATAAGAACAAGATTACAATCCTTATTTTCTATGCTATAATTTTTTCAAAAATTCTGAAAAAATTCTTGTGAACATTTCCATCAATATGGAGTAGAAAAGCAAAAAGAACGAAGTTTAAAACTCCTTTCTTCATTGAGATATAAAAACCCCAAAATCAACGGAAAACCGGGTTACAGTACTTCAAAAAATATTTTGACCCCCTTAGGGGTTATATAAAAAAATTTTTTTAGGCCCTCCAGAAAGCCGACAAAATTTGCTACAAAAAATATTTGGTCCCATCCTTGAGAAAAATCATATCATTGAGAAGCTACCTGTTAAAAGAGCAGATAAATAAATTCTCTCAAATTACCCCATAAATTGTCATTATTTCTAACATTTAAATTTAACCGATGAGTCCTCAATTGGAGAATTTTTCTCAAGGATGGGACCAAATATTTTTTGTAGCAAATTTTGTCGGCTTTCTGGAGGGCCTAAAAAAATTTTTTTATATAACCCCTAAGGGGGTCAAAATATTTTTTGAAGTACTGTAACCCGGTTTTCCGTTGATTTTGGGGTTTTTATATCTCAATGAAGAAAGGAGTTTTAAACTTCGTTCTTTTTGCTTTTCTACTCCATATTGATGGAAATGTTCACAAGAATTTTTTCAGAATTTTTGAAAAAATTATAGCATAGAAAATAAGGATTGTAATCTTGTTCTTATATTTTCTTAACACACCATTTTTAGAAAAAAAATCATAAAAATTTTATTTTTCACCAAAACTCTCTTAAACTCTCAAAATCCTAATATTTTCAGAACATCTATTTTTAAAAAAAATTTTGTTACGATTGAACATAGGAAAGATGAGAAACACCAAAAAAATGCTTGTTCTTATAATTTCTTAACGGACTTTAATTACCCCACTCATAGTATTAATTACCCCATCCATCGATAGATTTAAACAATAATTACGCCCATCAAATGCCCTAAAACACGTTCCAAATTTCAACCCTCGTATAATTACCCTCCCTCGATTAACTACTCCCTTCAGCGGAAAGTCAACACAATAATTACTCAAGGTAGTTATAAAAGTTTTACGGTATTTATAAATTTACAATCCAGTATCCAAAATTCATTTCTAATATTTTAGTATTTGGTTTTAACATCAAGCTACATATAATGAATTAAATACATATATCAATAGAATTTAATAAGAATTATCATATAATATTTTACAAAGCATCCCGATAAATAATAAATTTTGTGTTTTTAAAAAGTTTCGAATATGAAGAAACACTAGGAATAAAGGGAAAAAATCATAAATGTTTATTTTTATCATTTTACTGTTCAGTTTTTTAATCAAGCTGACCCAGTATCACTCGGAATCAAAAGTCGCCCAAATGCTTTAATCTTTCTATCACCTTTACCTTCTGGCAGTGGATCTGAATTTATAAATATTTTTATTGCTTTTTTCGTTGTTTTGTGTGCTTTAGTAGATTTATGTGTAGTTGGTTTTGGTGTTGTAGTTGTTGGAACTGGAGTTGTTGTTGTTGATAAAATTGTTGTTGGCATTAAAGTTGAGGTTATTGGCTCTTCTGTAGATAGATCCTGTGCTTTTGGAGGAGGAGGAGGTAGAGGCGGATCTCGTGAAGATGGCGAGGAAGAATCGGGTTCATCAGAACTAATAATTCCAAAAGCATCATAAGCATATCCTGGTTTTGTTGTTCCCTGGGGTTCTAATGTAGAATCCAAATTTTCGGGTTGTTGTTCGCGCTTTTCTCTTTTCTGTTGAAAAAATTTAAATTTTATTTTTAAATTTGTTAATCAAAAAATAAATTTAAGCAAGTAGAGAGATTCAGAGTAAAACTCGGGTTGTCGGATTTCAAAACGAACCGAACTGAAAACCCGAAGGCATATTTAAAACGCTTACTAGGCGGAGGCTTATGATCTATTAAAAGTTGGGCTCCGGAAAATTGGGGTCAGGGATTTTCCGAAAAGTTGGAGCTCAGTAGTCGGAGACCCGTACGTCTTGAGTGAAAGTTCATAGCAATAACTGCCAGTAGGTTAACTGCCAATAAGCCCTTCCTTAAAATTTTAAAAATAAATTTCTACCAATATCAATCCATTAATGCCCGTTGCAAGATAGGCAAGATAGATTATACCCATAAAAGCTAAAATAGTTGTAGAAATCATTTTATTTATTAAATAAATTTTTAAATATGTTACTCAATTGCTTATAGAAGCTTGCTTAATTTTTAAATGTTGGAAAATAATTAAATGATTTAACTGGTAATAATTTAACTGAATTAAATCTTTGGCCAAAATTTTCTTTTTCATGTGTATTTTGTTTATTCAGTCAGTTTCATGGCAAAATTTGGCAAAATAATTTTTATTAGAAAGCATTTAATATGCTTGAATAAATTATTTTAATACCTAAAATAAATTTCTATTAGCGTTTCTCTCAATTTTCTATCAGGATTGACGTAAATGGATGTCGGATTTTTATTTTTTATTTTTTAAATTTGTTGGATGGAAAATTTAAAAGATTTTTTTAGAATTAAATGCTTGCTGTGTAAATCTAGAATCTAACTCCGCTAATATACTAACGTCATTGCTCACGAGGATATCATCAGCAGAGTGATGATGGAAATAATTGTAAACGTGGGTTTCTTTTCTATACCCATTTGAAAAGTTGGAAGCAGAAACTTGTAAAAATTTAATGAAGAATCCACGTGTTTGTGAGATCGTCCGGTTTGGTATCGGGGCAGTTGTATTGTAAGGATGATTCACCTAGAGCATTTAGAACGTTTAGACGGGGTAGAACGATCTAAAAAGAAAATGAACAAGCATTAGTCGATGCTCCAGTAGTGAGCAAAGCCGAGTCGCAGGTGCAACCCTGCCCTGTGGCTAAACTTTTGCTAAACTCTTTTAATCTAGTCTGGAATAAAAGTTAGTTTAAATTAGGGTTGGTCCCCGAGCCTTCGGGGTTGGAAAAGTCGGGGGTCGGGGTTTTCGGGGTTGACAAAGTCGGGGTCGGGGTCGGGGTTGCTCAAATTGTTCGGGGTCGGGGTCGGGGCTGAAAATAATGTCGGGGTTCGGGGTCGGGGGTCGGGGTTGAAGTGAAAATTTACAAAATCCAGCATTTTATCCAAAATTACTGTTCAAAATCAACATTTTTATTAAAAAATCAACTTAATCTTCATTATCTTCACTTTCTGTATCTAATTCGTGATTAGTTGAAGGCGCAAGAAGTACTTTATCCAAGTTATCCTTCATAATCCCCAAAATCCCCAAACCCACAAGGTAACTCTTACTCCACCTCTTATGTAAAGGGATTGAGGGGCGGGATATCGGGGAGTTGCAAGGATAACGGGAGAAATCCATCTATCCATCAATTTCTCCTAAAGCCTCTGTATCCCTTCATTGTGTCTAGCGCCGCAGGCAAAAATTTTGAGAATTTTGGAAGGTCAAGAGCCAGATTTCTTCCATTTTCGGCGCCGCTGGCAAAAATTTTTAGAATTTTGGAAGGTCAAGAGCCAGATTTCTTCCATTTTCGGCGCCGCAGGCAAAAATTTTTAGAATTTTGGAAGGTCAAGAGCCAGATTTCTTCCATTTTCGGCGCCGCAGGCAAAAATTTTTGGAATTTTGGAAGGCCAAGAGACAGATTTCTTCAATTTTCTGCGCCGCAGGCTAAAATTTTGGAAAATTCATGACTAGTTTAAAATTTCTAATATTGTTTCAAGTTTAAAATATTTAAAAAAATAAATTTACAAATTTAAAATCAAGATCATAGTTTAAAAATATTTATTTTTGAGAAGAAAAATTTTCTCAGCCTTATTTCCAGCCTGGATTCGAACAACATTAAAATGGCTGAAGTCAGTTAACCTAACCACTCAACCATCGACCAACAAAGGGAAACAGGAGAAAATATAAATATTCCTTTCCCTTTTCCTTCATATATTTAGCATCAAAGTCCCGATCCCGTTCCGATCTCTAGTTAATTAATGCAGTTTGAGTCGGGGTCATAAAAATTTTTCGGGGTTCGGGGTCGTCGGGGTCGAACTTTCGGGGGTCGGGGTTTTCGGGGTTGGGAATGTCGGGGTCGGGGTTTTAGGTCAAAAAATGTCGGGGTTCGGGGTCGGGGTCGGGGTTAGTCGGGGTCGGGGACCAACCCTAGTTTAAATTAAGCTACCTATTTCATACTAACAAGTAAAATTAACCGGTCACCTATAACCCTATGTTTGAATTTATCTATGCGTGTTAACGCTACTTATTATGTTTTTATGGTGGATTTATATGATAATACGATATGATAATTCTTTAAAATTACAAAAAATTTTTTACTATATTTATTTATTTCACCGACAAAATTTACACAATTGTTGCAAATTTGAAAAATATTTAAAGCAACAAAAGGAGATATAAAGGTCGGTAAGTGGTACGGCTATTAAGCGCGTTAATAAAATTAATACACGCTTTTTAGTGCATTGTTTGCCGTTTTAATGATTTTAGGATACATTTTGTATATATGGGCACAATTCCACGATTGAATTAATTGACTGGCAGATACACAATAAAAGGCTTTAGGGTTTACTTATAACAGGACTTTTTTAAAAAAAATTTTCAATGTCCAAAATTTTGGTAAACCAATTTATTTCATAAAGTAGTAGTACCCATAAAAGTCCTGTTAATTAAAAATTTAAAAGATGATGATTGATCAATTGAATCCGGTTCTGGGCCAATAAAACAATTGTTCAGTTTGCAGCAATTCCCATATACGTGGAAATGTTTGTGTGGTGTGGTAAAAAGAAGAAAACAAAAAATGAAAATAAATTCTAAAGCAAAATGAGTTCTTAAAAATGTTTCTTAAAAATTTAAAAAGTTTCCTCAAAATCTTATATTTTGCTTCAAAAAAAAGTAAAAACAATGATCAAAAACTGAAAAATGACCAGAAAAAAGTAGTTGAATTAGGTTACTACAAAGCACGTCAAAAATTAATTTAAAGAGCATTTCTACTAAGGCTAAAATTGTGAGACATAAAATAAACAATAATTACAGATTAAAAAAATTTTTTTTGAATATTGCTTTGAGAAAAGGCACTGATTTGATTGTTTCGCGGATCAGTAGCAAAAAATTTTTGAAACTAAAACATGAATTAATTAACCTTTTCCTTACATTTTTGCTACTGATTTATGTGGTAAATATTTATTGAAAGGCATTCAAAAACAAATGCTTTGCTGGTCGGTCGACTAATGCTTGAGCTTCTGTCCTCCATTTAAATTGAAATTCAAAGCTTATTGCTCGTCCTCGAGAACATAAACCTTGGGCGAGTTACTCTTGTTGGTTACGACGCTGCTGCGATGCTTGGCACGGATTAGATGAAGACTATAATTTTTAATATTTAAAGGAAGATTCTAGCCCTATTTAACCTGCTTTCAGCCTGATCAGCACGTCCTTCAGCGTCTTCCAACTCACGCTGATACCGCCGCACACGTTGCAGATTTTGCATGGTTACTGCCTCCTATAGAGAATCTTTAAGAGAGAAAAAAGGATAAGATGTACCGCTTCTCCAAGCTGACGTTTCTGTATGTTCAGCTTTTCACAGAGACGATCAGCAGTATCTTGTGCCATGATAAAGTTTTTGTGTTCTTCATCGATCTGCATTTGCATCTCCCTTAATCAAAAAGGATACTCGAGGCGATAGTTCTACATACTTGATACGGCGATCCTTTTTCCTCAAAGCATTTTGAGTTTCTTTGTGGCGGCGCGTCTCCTCGTCTAAGGCAGTTTCAAGGTCACGAATGCGAGTTTCCAACTTGGCAATTACCCTCTTGCCTCCCTAGAAGGAGTATATGATTAATGTTTGAAGAATGAAATTATAAGTAGTTTCAATACCAAAAGCGCAGCAGCTTCTGCTTCCTGGATTTGGACTTGCAACTGCTTAACTTGCTCCTCGAGGGATTTACGAAGGGCATCAATTTTCATTGAGTGCTCCTGCTCCTCATGCAATTGCTCAACAGCACGAGCAGCATCCGCCAATGCGCGATTGGCTCTGAAAGTAAAAGTTGGGAATTACTTTTTGAGAAAAGCTAGAATTTTTAAAATGTTTTCAACCTCTCGTCCGCAGCGTGCAACTAAAAGTTAAAAAATTAATCCGTCACAATGAATTTATTATTAAAAATCACCTCCTTGGTAGCCTCATCCAAGTCAGCTTGAGCAGTTGAAAGCTCAGTCTCAAGCTTGTTCTTGATTGCAGTCAAATTGTTGTTAATGGACTGGAGATCGTTGATACTATAATATTACCAGTAATAATACATACAAAAATTAAAATTAAATTTTACCGTCCATGGGCTTCTTCAAGATCCATTTCTGCTTGTTTGCGTGCGCGAACTGCGTTGTCGAGTGCCGTCTTACACTCTTCCAATTCAGCAGCTAGCGCAGAAACTTTACGTTGAGCAAGGGCATACTGTAATTTTTGATAAATTAAAGTTAGAGTTTGATAAATGCCTGATCAAGAGTTTGTTGCAACTGGCGTTGAGTGTCTTCAAGGCTGGCCTGGAGTACTTTAAGTTGTTCACTCTGCTTCTTGATGGTCTTTTGTGCCTCAATATTAGCACGGTTGAGGTTATCTAATTATTTTTAACAAGTTAATCATAAAGAGTATTAAATAGCTATGTGCACCCCCCACCCTCTAAGCGTAAGGTATGTTTTCTTATTAAGCCCCTTCAAATTACCAATTGTCATTTCCAATTCAGCAATTTCAGCCTGATATTTCTTCTTGAGCCGTGAAATTTCTGCTCGCATACGTGCTTCAGCATCGGCCAAAGCTGCTGTTAGTCTATCAATCTCAAATTGCATATTCTTTCGGAGATTTTCAAGTTCCTCTTCCTTTTCTTGTAAACGACGTTCCATTTCAATTCTCAATGCCTGGAGTTCAGCCAATGCGCGGTGAGCACGATTTTCAGCATCGCGTCTGGCAGCATCTGCTTCTTTAAGAGCGGTTTGGAGTTCACGGATTTCACCAGCCAGACGAGCATTCTCGAGGTCAAGTTCATGAAGCTTACGGTTAGCATCGGCCAATGCTTCCTTTGCCTCATGTAAGTCATCTAAAAATTTTACTTCAATTATAATTTACATAATATTAACCTTGTAATTTCTTATTCTCTCGTGCAAGTGCTTCCTTTTGTTCAACAGCCTTCTCATAAAGATGCTTCATCTTTTGCAATTCAGCGAGAGCACCGCGCAACTCGCGTTGACTAAATAATTTTAATAAATCGAGTATAACTTTATTGTTTTTACGTGTTCTCAAGTTCAACTGTCAACTCATCAATACGTTGTTTCAATTCGGCAACAGTACGCTCAAGTTGTTCCTGAAAGGGAACAATACTTATGGGTGTCTAGGAATAGGACAAACCTTAGCGCGTTCTAAAATGGCAATGGTATTTTGCGCCTTCTCCAAGTCAACAATGAGAACCTCAACCTCCGATTGTAAACGAGATTTTGCCTTTTCTAACTGGGAGATCTTTTGGAGGGAAATCTCGATCTGTTCCTCATATTCAGCTTGTTTCTGCATCATTTTCTTGCGCAAATCTTCGACCTGTCATTAATTGATAATGTAATTGAGGATTATTTTTTCCTAATTAAGGAATTTTTAGCCAAGGAGACTTGGCTTCCAAAAAATTAAACCGCAAATTTCGAATAGACAACAGTTAAATTACAAACTGATTAAATAATTAGCTGTATAATTAATAATAATTATTGAGTAAACCCAAGGTTTAATAGAATAATTTAAAAACCTCTTCATGGTGCAATGCAACTTCTGCATCGAATTTGCTCTTCCATTGTGAGATTTCCGTGTTTGCGAGGGATAATTTGTGTTCAGCCTCCTTTAATAACAGACAAATTATTTCTTACTTCCTCGGCTTATGAACAAACCGAACGAGCGGCAGATTCCTCATCCAAAGCAGTTCGAACAGCATCAAGTTCAAGTTGAACTTGGTGAAGTTGTGCTTGCATTTGGGAGCGTTCCTAATTTTCAATTTAAAGTATTATTCAAAAATTTATATTTAAATTACTCGTTCAGCATCCTCCAAACGACGACGAGCTTCTTCAAGTTGTTGAGCGAGTTGGTATTTGACGTGTTGAAGGTTATCGAGTTGTACTTTCTGGTCGTGAACTTCCTTAAGCAAGTCTGGAATAAGAAATACAAAATATTTTGTCTGTAAACATTAGTATAAACCGTTATTCTCAGCTTGAAGTCGTTGACGTTGTTGGGCCAAATCATTAACGTGCTTGTTCAAGTCCTCGACTTTGTTGGCCAAATCAATGGCTTGGGCTTCGAAGCGTTCGGCAGCTTTCTCAGCAGCATGCTACATAAATTTTAGGGAAATATTTTAAGGGTTATTCGATCATTTCAAAAGTTTACCTTTTCCTTCTGGACTTGGTCAATGGTAGCAGTCAACTCGATCACTTCATGCTGCAAGCGTTGACGCTCACGGTCGATCCTTTATTAATAATTTCGATTCTAACCCTAATAAAATTAAGCAAACTTTGCATTCTTTTTTTGTAATCCTTCAATCTGTTCGTTGTAATCGAGGCAGGCATCCTAAAAATTTTAAATAAAAATTTTTGCCTAAATCTAAGGAATTTTTAATAATATTCTAGTTTTCATCCAAATAAATAATTAAAAAAATGTAATTACGTTATGTTTCTTGCGAAGAACATTTAGGGCATCCTCAGCCTCCAATTGAGACTCTTCGAGCAATTTGCGCAACTTTTGAAGTTCAGCTTCGCGTTTGCGGTTTGCCTCGATCTGGGCCCTATTTCAATTGTCCACAGATTCTGCGGTCTGCGTTCTGTGCACAGACCACAGAACCACAGAAATTCTGTTTCAATTATTCCACAGATTCTGCGGAAAAAGAAGTCCGCAGATTCTGTGGAAACATGCACAGAATCTGTGGAAACATCCACAGATTCTGCAAAACATCCAAAAACATGCAAAAACCACAGAATTCTATTTCAATTATTTTTCTGTGCACAGAAAAAAATCCACAGATCTGTGGCTTTTTTAGTCGATTCTGTGCATTTCTGTTTCAATTATTTCTGTGGTCTGCGGAAAATACACAGAATTCTTTAAAAAATCCACCCTAAAATTTTTTCTGCGAACTTTCTGTGGAAAAACTTTAACAATTTTTTTCTAGGCCTAGGCTTAACCAAATTTCAAAATTTTTAAAGATTATTAAAGTTTGAATCATTCTCTATTTTTTGATATAAAAATTATAATTTTATTACCTAAAATTATTGCTTAAAATTAATTTTGAAAAAGGTACATCTTTTTTACGCAGTTTTTGTTATATTCAAGCAATAAAAAAATAAAAAACGTGAGAGATTCTGAAATTTAGAGCTATGATGTTCTAATCATCATGGATATCTCTAATGAGGGGATGTTTACCAGGATCTATAGAATATATCTGTATAGCGTATACTGGGATATCTCCCATGATCTCTCATTGATATCCGTCATAATCTCTCCTCCTATTTAATGATAGATTTCCTCCTTAATCACTCCAATATATTAAACCTCAAAATCAATGGATATCCCACTTAATCACTCCTCTACGATTTTAAAGTTCCGATTTGACTATAATTTTGGATTCCAGGCATTTTCGATTTCCAGGAACCTCAATTTCTGACTAAACAATCCCCAAACATTTCCCTCCCTTGCAACAACTTCTATCGTAGTTTGAAAAAGCCACATGTCGGATCGACATCTCCTGATTTTTCCGATCCGAACCCTGCTTTAGGACATTAATTTAATTGGAGATTTAAGGATATTGGATGAACAAGAAAATTAAGCGGTATATCAGCGGTTTTAAAGTGATATCAAAGAGATTTAAAGGGATGTTATGTGATTTGGAGGGAAAATTTTTAAATCTTTACAATATTTTTCAGTTTAATTTAAGAATTTTTAAAGTTTTACTTCAAAAAATCAGGTACCATTAATACTGCGGTAGTACCGAACTGTCCAAACCATTTTTCGTTTCAATAAAACTGTTATTTTCAAAAACGCGGAAATAAAAAATTTGAATTTAGAAGAAAAAATACACAGAACCACAGAAAAATAATTGAAATACAAATTCTGTGGATCAGTGGAAAAAATCCACAGATTTTTATATTTTCCACAGAAATTTTCATCCACAGAATCTGCGGAATGTTTCCACAGAATCATTGGATGTTTCCGCAGAATCTGCGGGCACCACAGATTCTGTGCACACAGAATTTAATTGAAACAGAATTTCCACAGAATCTGTGTTCTGTGCACAGAATGCAGAATCTGTGGACAATTGAAATAGGCCCCTGAGCGTCAGTCGTTCCTTCGGCATCCTCTAAAATTTATAGATTAAATGATCAAATATAGAACTAATTTATATTAAAACAAACCAAGTCGGTCAGTTAAAGCAATAAGCTGTACGCTAAGATCTGCGCGTTCACGTTCGATCTACAATAAAGAAACAGTTTCCAAAAATGATAAAGTTTTTTGTAACATACGCGATTTCGGAGTTCACGTTCAGATTCGAGGTCTTCTTGAAGGAGTCTAATCTTATCCTCAAGGCGAGTGAGGCTTCCCAAATCAGCTACAGACATTGCACCAAAAGGTGCTCCACCAGCAAAAGCGCTCATTGAGGGCGACTTGTATAATGCGCCTCCATGTGCCATGCTTGGACTACGATACAAGGAGTTTGACATATTCTACAAACTTTGTTGTTTTTGTGTTTTTGATTTTTTAATGTTAACGAATACTAATTATTTTTTAAGCGACCGCCAGCTATGTTTGAGGAATCTGACAATAAGGGAATAAATTTCAATAATAATAGAAACGCGATATGAAGGAGCAAATCTTATAATTATCAGTTTTCTTCTGCCTACCGAACTAACAATATTTAAAAAGGAATGATTACTAATCTAATTTTATATAATTTCTCGCAACTATTTGATCCAAATAAAATAAACAATTTGAAGATTATTGTTGCTAGAATTATATAATCTAGATCAGTAAATATTGAAAGAATTAAAATAGTATTAAATCGGGTTTTCTAACATTTGCTTCAAATAAATAAATGATCTGAAAGACAACAATTGTTACGGCATATCCAAGAAATTTCCGGAAGGAAAAATACTAAGATAGATGAGGCAAAGATAAAAAGCAGCATAAAAGCAGCTGTCATATGGATAATGGGATTGACTGGAAGCAGGAAATATTTAGCTGGTCAGGCTTTCTATAAAGTATTTAGGGACTTTACTGATCAAGTTTAACAAAAAGAATTCTTTTTATCCAATATCTCTATAACACATGTGTTTTCCCGCCTGATAAACAACAATAAAATGCTTAAATCGAATGCTTCCATTACTAAATGGCCAAGGAATGTAGTAAGACGAAGGAAATAAAAATAAATAAATAAAAATGAGAGAACGAGAAGCTTACTAAGCGGGGGCGTTGTATTTCTCAGCAAATGTGTAAGCAAACATAAATTGTCTGCCTTGTGTTTTTATAAAATTACGGCTTGATCTTTATCTCTGCTTCTCTTGCTTAGTTTATTAGCTTTAAGAGAGCCTTGGATTTATAATTAGGTGAGGGATAAAGCTTTGTTTATTATACAATTCTCGATAGCTAGGGTCGATTTTTACAATAGATTAATTACAAAGGAATCTACAGGTTTTAAAGAATGCCTTGGAAAATTTAGAAATTTGTGTTTGAGTAGTATAGGGAATTTATATATTAGGGGATTTAGGGAATTTATTAAAATTTTAATTTATAAAATTTAAATTTTATGAAAGCTTGAGGAACGAAGCATTAGAAATAGGGTTGCCGTTTTCGAGTCGGGCCGGTACGAGTCACTTTCGGGCCAAATATCTTAGGCCCGACTCGATCTTTCGGTCTGAGTTGGTGCAACCCTAATTAGATACTAGCTCATAAGTATGACGTAATAAGCGATATTGTCTAAAATAATCCTGAAAAAGTTATACATCTCAAACATATTCTAAAATTCATTTACTTACGATTTATTGACTTAAAATTTTACTAATTTTCGGAAATATTTGCACTTTTAATATTAACGTTTATCCTAACGCTTTTTCTCGCCAATCTTTTAAAACTTTTTTTCTGGTTCCGGCTTTTTTCACTCTCTTCCAACATTAGTCAACTTAACAAACATTCCACCAACTTTCCAAGTGTTTTATGTAAGCAGTTGTTTTAAAAAGGCCGGAAAAAGTGGCTGGATGATGAAATGCTGGGAAGCTATAAAGGATTAGACCGGAAAAGATCACTTTTTTAAAAAAATCAAGAGAATGTGTAAATCTTTACTTCATTTGAGAGGCTGAAAATAGTAATAAATGAAGTTTATGGAGGTGGATTTATTTATGAGTGAAATGAAAAATAGGGATCAAGATTAAAAAGACATTTAAAATAAATAAATAATCTATTAATAATTAATTTTTTCAATAAATTAATTATCATATTTGGTACTGATCAATGGCAGGAACTGGATTAACGTATGAGTTTATCTGACCACCTCATTTATCTGACCACCTCATTGTAAATATTATTGTAGATATGAATTACAAGACAACGCGGCAGCAGTGGTGGGTCGGAACTGTCAAAGTTGTCGGCAATCGGAACTGGCTCAAAATTCGGAACTCGGAAATCAGAATTCCGCCCCACCTTTGTGCGGCGGTCACAATTTATTTTTGTATTCTTTTGTTTCTATTAGAGCGGTACTTTTTAATCAAACATAACTCTTGAATAAAGCAGCTCCCTTTGTGCGCATTGATCAACTATTTGATTAACTAAAAATAATTAAAAATATAATATAGATTTATTTTCTATTTTTACTTTTCCATTTTTTATTTTTCTATTTTTGTTTTCACTTAATATTTTATTATATTATTTGCCAAATTTTTATTATAAATATTATTATATTTGCTTATCTGTTTTTATAATAATAATTTTAAGTATTCCATAATATCAACCTCAATATACTGGATTTTACCAGTATTGACCCTTGTTGACGAACTTCTATTTTATTTTTACTCCTCTTTGGTACAAATTTTAAATAAATAATTTTAGAAATTTATATTTTGGCAATATTTCAATTAATGAATTAATTTAAAAAAAGTTTTGCTGGCAATTGTTTATTCAAAATTATGTGGCAAACATTAAAGCGATAAACTATGAAAATTGAACCTTCACGTGTACAGGAAGCGTTTTAATACGTGGAAAACGAGTTAAATTTATTAAATACCTTAGAATTAAAATCATTTTATGGGTATACTAAAATTCCAATAAATCCAAAAATAATTAAAAATGCTTTCTTACCCAAAATTTATTTTTATCTTTTATCTTTCTGCTACAATAGTTCTAGCCGCTGTCCCTCCTTACGGGCGTCTTTCAGTAAATAATGGAAAATTAGTTGGTTCTGATGGAAACCCTGCTCCGGCTAGTTTTTTAAAAATTTTATGTTGTTAAAAATTCTATTTTAGTTACGCGGTGGTTCTTTATGGTTCAGTCAATGGTTAACTGAATTTTATAGTCCTAATGTAGTGCGAGCAGTAAAATGTACATTTAACTCCAACGTTGTAATAAATTATCACTTAAATTATTTTTGACAATTTCAAAAATTTTTTTAAAGATTCGTGCAGCTATAGGACCCGAAGCTAATGGATATTTTGACAATCTTGATCAAGCTGTAAATGCAGCAACTGTAATAGGAAATGCCGCAATAGATGTACTTGAATAAATTTTTAATTATTTTATTTTTATTAAGAATGGAATTTATTTTGTGGTTGATCTTCACTACGGCTTTCAAAATTGCGATAAACAAGATGAATTTGAAGGATTTACCAATAAAGCAATAGAATTTTTCACAAGAATTTTGGGTAAATTCAAGGGAAGTCCTAACTTGTTATTAGAGCTATGGAATGAACCTCAATGCACTTGGGATAAAATAAGTGAATATCACTCGAAAGTTCTTAAGGTAACGGATTTTATTTTTTAATTAAATTTGATGAAAAATCAAAATCCATATAGGCAATTAGAAATATTGATTCAAATGTTGTATGTATCCTTGGAACACCTAACGCTTCATCTGGTCCAAGTTCTGAAGTTGTGAGCAACCCTCTTCGTGTCAGTAACACGCTGTATGGTTCTTTTAAATACATATGTATAAGCTTAATTTTCCAGTTATACAATGCATTGGTATGCAGTTAAAGATCAAGCTCATATTAATAGTCAATATCACCTTATTGATAATGCAATTAAAAATAATATTGGAGTTTTTGTTTCTGAATATGGTGATGCTGATGTTACCCCAGGGGCTACAGTGAATATAGCTGCGACAACAAAAATGTTTGTTAAATTTTAAAAATAGTGTTGTCGAACTCAGCAGATTCCTTGCATAACTGAAACCGAACCGAAAACCTTCGGCTTTTGATTTGGTCTTTGGCTTTTCGACCCTATTTTAATATTGACAAATAACTAAATGATTTTATAAATATGTATTATTTTTCCAGTCTACACTTTTTGGATGTACGGAAAATTTCCTATATGAAATGGTCATTTTGCAATAGGGATGAAGTTTGGTCAGTAATTAAACCTGAATGTGGAGCAGGTCAAATCAATCAACCCGAGTGTTTGAGCCCTTCAGGACAAGCCTTTCTTAAAAGGTTCAAAAATCTGAAAAATGGTAGGCTTAAATCATTTTTTTGTAAAATTTGCCTTTCCTCAAAATTTTATGAAAGCATTTATTTAATTAATTTCAGGAGTATCGTGCTAAATATGTATTTCATATCAATTGAGAATTTTCTAAAATATAAATAATGCTTTTGAATGATAAAAATAATAAAATATAGTATTTATAAAAATGAGTAAACTTAGGTAGATTAAAAAAATTAAACTTATATGTAATAATCAGCATAGAATATTTTCAAAAGTTTACTTCAAGAAATTATTTAACATACATACTATCAATTAAAAATAACACAAATTCAAAAATAAATTTTCTAGAGCTACTATCTCTCATAATATTTTTTCATCATTGATTCTTTTTCCAGAATTTGATTTTGCTAATGACACGAGTATACCACTTCAATGGCATATTCTGAAAAATTAAATTATATATGAGATTAAGGCCTTCGATTGTATTTTAAGTCCCCAAATACTTCTTTCTATTTTCTTAGACTCCGATGTTTCATTGTATTTTTTTCAAAAATTATCACCTACTCTGTTCAGTAATATCCATTTCCCGATGTTTTTTTCTTAATTCTATATGGCTAAAAACTACCTTTTCATGTTCAGAAACCGTAACTGGAAAATCATCACCATTGACTGACTCGTTGTCTTGAATCTCCGCTTGCAAAGGCGTCGGAATGTCGCTATTGCTAACTCCATTGTCTACATGTATCTCGGGTTCAATTTCATGTATTTCAGCTTCCTTGCTAATTTCACCTTCCTGATGAATTGAATGAATCGAATTTTCCAAGATTGGCTGATTAAACATTTTCTAAAATGTAAAATCTTCATTTTATTCTATATAATAGACTTATTACGATTTACCATAAACCGATTCGGATAAAGTGTAATTTGTTCAAAACCTACCTCTTTTCCATGATCATTATCATCAAAGTCTGTTTTTTAGCTCAGATTAATTATATATTCATTAAATTCAACCTTTTTTCTTGTCTTCAATCTCCGAAGATGCATTCTGGCCAATTTCAAAATTAGATTTAATTTCCTCGTTTGTAATTCTAATTGAGGATGATGCTTCTGCGTCCTTCTCCTATCAAAATAATATTTTAATTCATATTAATCCTTACCATTTTCGTAAATTCATCGTTTATTATAGTCTCACTCAACCTTCCAATATCTCCAAAACTAATTATATCGATAAAAGGACTTAAATATTTCTGTATAAGTTTGTCTACTACTGCTTGAAATATTTCAATTTTATCATGAAACATTTTATCGTCTTCAGAGATTTTCACTTTTTGTATTATCAGTTCATCTTTAAAATCATTCAACTTCTTTTTAAAATCTACAATTTCTTTTCCAATAAACTCGATCATTTTCTTCGTTCTTTTAAATATATCAACCTCCTTTTTATGTTCAAGTTTTCTATATCCGTTAGCTTCTTTCAATATGTTTTCCTTTTCTTCTTCACTAACCAAATTTGTTCTTAACTCGCTAAAAAGACCTCGAAAATTCAGGTCCGATAAATTTACATTATACAAATATTTTTCGATCAAACTTCTAATTAAGTCTCCAAGTTCTGCTTCTTTATTTGGTGTTACCACCTCCTCTCTTAAATCGAGTTCTTCGCTATCCTCTACCGGAATTTCAGGAAAATTTCCATTGTATTTTTTCAATATTGTATTGATCAATTCTAGCAGCAATTTATATATCCGGGAGTATTTTGCTAGAAACAAAGTGTTACATTGTTAGGAGCATTTAAAACGCTTAGGCAGGGAGGGTTAACGATTTAAAAAGGAAAAATAGAAAGCATTAGTCGATGCCCCGGGAGCTCAGTGGTCGTGTTCCTGTATATGGTGAGCGAAAGCGTCTAGCAATAACTGTCAGGAGGTTTATCAGAAAATTTCCTAAACTATCAGAAAATTACATAAACCTATTTTCTTACCATCATCTTTCAATTCCAAAGTTTCCAATTCGCTCAACAATTTATGCTCCTTTTCAGTTACAGTATAGCAGTTTTTGCTTTCATCTTGAATTTGACTCAAAATTTGCTTGTAAGCCATAAGAAAATTATTAACTCCATAGAAACGATTTTCAAACATTTTCAAATCTTTTTCTAACTCATCTTTTTTATAAAGCTCCATAATTTTGCCCATATCCTTATCAATATGGAGGAATAGAAATTTGATAACTCCTTAAAATGAAGGATTTAGATCCTGATATTATTCTTAACTTACCAGTAATATTTCCTTTTTTATGTACTGCTTGAAGTTCTTTTTGTAACCAATAAGAATATTCATGTTCCCCCTCCATAAGCATAGCAATTTCCATTATCTCCCTCAATTTTTTAAAATAACCCTGCTTAGTTAACATTATTTTTAGCCGTGCATCTTGATTTGCTCTAAATTTTAAAGCATAAGATAAATATTTGATTGAATTGTTACGGCATTTCTTCACCATCATTTGAGCGCAGAGTAGAGTTCAATCCTTTATATGTTCGTCCTTCATTCTCCAATTTCAAATTTATCAGATTTTTCAAACATTTTTGCGTTTTAGTATCCGTTTCGCGCAATTTTTGTCCAAATTCAACCGCATAAGCTGATTTAAATTCAAAAAGTATCAGAAGATTCTCAATAATTGTAATCAATCTATCGAAATTTTCTTCATTGAGAACTGGTTGTTTAGTCAAATCGCATACTGTTTTGAAATACTGGAAATTTATGAAAGTTTATTAATTTAGATAAGATTTCCGGAAGTTCCGGCCAACCGGATCCGGAACTTCCGGTGAATCACTATCATACGCTATAATAATCATCATTTAGAAGACGTCTGCCACTGAATGCATCAATCCTCTTCAAAAGTAAATCATAGACTTGTTTCATGCTATCATCCACTTTCATCTTTTTTAGGTTAATATGGTTTAATAAAATTTTGGTTGAGTTACTCATAATCTCCTCGTATTTCTTCAGTTCAGTTTCCTTTTTAGACTTTTTGTTCAAATACAAATTTTTAAGCTTTTCTTCAAATGGATAGAATTCGTCTTGTTTCTCAATAATTGGTAGGATTTCATGACGCGGATGAGCAAAAAATATTTTGAAGAGGGTCTTCATATCTAAAAAATAGTTATTGGTGAAATCGTGCCCCTTTCGTGTGTATCAGGTTTCCAAACAAAACTACCCACCGTTTGATTCAAGCGCTTTAAAGAGAATTTCACCCAAAATATAAGATTTTTCGAGTATCATCATTTCATATAAAGCTGAAGCTTCATTGTACATTTTACCCTTCCTCATTCCGGCAAATCCCCTATCATTTATATCAAATAAATTATTAAAACAAGTTTTGAGTTGTTTTCCACGATGGTTATGCTAAAAATTATAAAATAATATACCAGCAATCTTACCACAGGTTCGTATGAAACAACACGACAAAATTTCAGCAAAATCTCGCCCCGATCCCATCTTGGTAATGGCACAAGCAGTTTAGCCAACAAAATCCAAATAGTTTCCCGACTTGATTTCCCATCAAGATTCAACATTTTGTAGAGTTTGTAAAAATTAATTCTATAAAATATGTCACTAAATGAAGGGTTTGTTGTTTCACCATACAGACGAGAACAACTTATTTCAAAAGTATCATGTTGAAAAGAAGGAAGACCTAAATTCGAGATTTTATAAAATATCTTAGGAGATTAAAAATAATAAAGCACCATTAATAAATCCTTGATTGACAAATATTATTAGAAATATTCTCAACAAAACATAGCAAGTTAAATTCATTTTCTAGCTTTTAATTTTTTGAATTTTTAAAGAATTTTTTTGCCTATTTATTTTGTTTATTTATGAAAGCGGAAAGAAATAAGATGCCAAAAATTGCCGGCAAAACTTCAAAAAGCCTTTGATAATTACGTTGGCAAGCGCAAACGATCAATGTAAAATGCACTTTAAAAGGACTAGAATGCACTTTAAAAGGACTTCTTGAGAGATAGACAAATAGGGAAAAGGGCATGTGATTGCATGTTGTTGATTTGTTTTTAAATAAAAGTGCAAAAAAAATTAAAAAATCCAAATTAAAAAATAACTACATATTATTGTATGTAAACTCATTGTAAATCAACTTCAAGTTAACCGATAATCACAAAAGAAAAGTAGTAATTCTAGACATGGGTGATGTATGGCTGGAAAGCTGGAGGAACCTCATAATAATACTAGGTCTTATTGATGTTAATTATAATTATTATTTTACTTTTTTCAGATTCAAAGCCAGGATGATCCCACATTGTTGAAAAATTAAAAAAACCGGAAACTCAATATAACCGGAAACTCAATATATCCGGAAACTCAATATAACCGGAAACTCAATATAACCGGAAATACAATAAACCGGAAGCACGATAAAACCGCAAACTCAATATAACCGGAATGAACCGCAAACAATGAACCGTAAACTCAATATAACCGGAAAAACAATATAACTGGAAATAATAAACCGGAAACTCGTATAACCGGAAAAAATTAAACCGGAAACACAATAAACTGGAAACTCGATATAACCGGAAACAAATAAACCGCAAACTAGATATAACCTGAAACTTGATATAACCGGAAACACAATAAACCAGAAACTCTATATAACTGGAAATAAATACACCGGAAATACAATAAGCCGGAAACTCGAAAAACTTAAAAAATCTTTTTTCTAGTTTCCGGTTTCCTCGAGTTTCCAGTCTTGACTTGTTTCCGGTTTTATCTATTTCCGGCCTTATTGCGTTTCCGGTCTTCTCTCTAAAGCAGACACATCATATGAATTTTATCGCGCGGACAATAGATTTAATTTACACAGGAAATAGATTCAATTTAGACAGGAAATTTTAATTAATCAATGTTTAATTTCAATTTCATATAGTCAATAATTTTTAAATTATTAAAAGGGCATATTAGTCATTTATTAATTTAAAATTTATTAAAATATGGAGTCTATTTAAATTTATTTCCCTAGGAAATTTAAATTCCTAGACATTTAGAGTGAGAAAAGTTATTATTACGGTAGTAATAACATTGATAACCGGCAAAACTTATCGCCGACAAAACATAGTAAACCGACAAACCTTATTGCTCAACCTAATTATTAAAAATATGTGTTCCTGTTTTTTCTATGCTGTTTAAACTTGCTATGTATAATCGAGAAATCCCTTAGCAAATTTTTACAGTATTATTTAATATCTAATTAAAGCATAATACTTTGATATTCATAATTAAACTTTTTCCTAAATTAATTGTTTCAGAAAATGAGATTCCTAGGCGGGAATTCTACAATCTTTATTCTTTTTTACCCGATCATCATTTTAAGTTTTGAAATCACAGGTGATCAAATTAAGCCTGTGCATGGTTTGAAACCATTAAACCTTCAACCTAAAACTTTAATGGAGCAACCACATCTAAATTTAACTTTTCCGGAAGATTTACCAGATCAAAAATATTTGGACCCTGTTAAAGGTAAATAATAGATTAAATTTTAAATAATTTGAAATTTTCGATATTAATAATTTTTAAATTAAAATTAATTTTTAATTTTAATATATACAAAAAAATTTTTTAATTTGTACATTTTATTATAGAAAAAATAACTCAAAAATCACCAAAAAAGAATTACAGCTCAACAAATAATATATCCAAATCTCAACAAACAGACGGATTGGGTGATATACATTTGCAGAGGATTAATACTTCATTTAAAGGCTCTGATGAAGAATTGCCGTCATTACGGGCTAAGATTAAATCTGTAAAAGATAAAAGCGGTTATTCATCTAGAGATCAGCATAGACAAGTGTAATGATCCTTTAATATTTTTATTTAACAAAATTTTATTATAATATAGGTTCCCAAAATCTGACATTTTTGAAGCATCACAAACAACTGCAAAACATAAACCAATAAAACATATCAAAAGCAATTTAACAAAGCAAACATCGTGTCCGGAGTCTCTTTTGACAAAAAATGGGTATCTTGTTAGAAATTTTTATTATGATATTATTACTAAGTGAAAATTAAGGTATCACCCGAAATTTGTTTTTTTGCCAAAAAGTCCAACCCCACCCGACCAGACAATCCCTAACCCAATGGCTCGTTGGCTACACTAATACCTAATACTGTACTTATCCACCATTATTATGAAATAATGCAAAAGAATACCAGATTCCACCATTTAAAATGTTAAAAAATTTAGCTAATCTAAATTTCTAGGGATCAAACAGAATCACATTCTAATTATGACAAATTATATCACACTACGGATGATATATTTTTACATGGATTGAAACCAGTACGTACAAAACAAGGAGGGAATTATGAAAATGAATCGCTCTTTGATGGTTCCGAACGTACCTCTATTATAGAGTTAAAAAGGAGATTAAAAAATTCAAAACGGAATGTAATAGATTCAAAACACATGATAACCCGACGAGATAAAATGAGTCATGAATACGACAGACTTGGATCAAATGTTAGCAAAAAATCTTCGACCTCTTCAAGGTGGATATGTCTAAAATTTAAATATTTTTTGATATGTTTGACAATAATATTTATTATCGAGCTTTTAAAATTTAAATTAGGCGATATTCAAAAGTTGAATCTTCATTTAAAAGATAAGATCACAATAAATATAAAGCCGATAAATTATCGCTATTAAAATACAATAATAAACTGATAAAAAATTGCAGATCTCCTGTAATCTCTTCACAACATCTGAATGAAACTCATTTGGATTTGACTCAACAATTTTCAAAAAATGAGGAAAATCTGAATGAAACTCATTTGGATTTGACTCAACAATATTCAAAAAACGATGAAAATATAACAAACGGAGAATTTGCATTAATAGAATTTAAATCTGAAATCACAAAGAAACATAGTAGATTTGTAAAGGTGGCGTTAAAAGAAATGATCGGAAAAGGCGGAGTTGCTGAGGTAAATGAGAGATTTACTGATAAATTTTTTCGAAGTCTAATACACAAATATATTTTACAGGTTTATAAAGGACTTTGTTGTGATAATCGCAATGAAATTGAAGTTGCTGTTAAATTAGTTGGATACAATACAATTAATACTGGAACGAGTAAGGGTCCAGAAACTTTGGAAGACTTACTTTATGATCCGAAAAATGAGATGAGAGTATTCAAAGCATTTCATGATAAATATCATGGATATTCAGAAGAAAGTGGTATTATTGAAATGATTGATGGGTAAATATTTTTCATGTTTAGATAGGATATATAAAATTTTTGCTAATTTACGCGATTTTTCATATTGATACAAGACCCAGAAGATTTTTTTAATATCCATGCAATTATATTCATGAGGGTATTTGTTAGTGTTTCGCCGTAAGTTCCGGTTTCCAGCCAAATTTTCAGTTACAGTTCCGGTTCCGGCCAAATTTGCGGTTCTGGCGAAACACTAGTATATAGTCTTAAGGGTATACGTTCATTTTACTGTATGTCATTTTTGAAGATAGGTACATATATTCATTGAACTATAATATTGCTTTCTAGGGATTTTATTAGGGTATATTCAAAATCTAAATTTTATTACTTTTTACAGCGGTGAAATTATAAATATCGAGTATTCTGAATATGAACAATCCAAGCATGATTTTAAATACGTTATTATAACCGAATTAGGAACAAAAAACTTTTTAAAATATATCGGAGATAAAATCTATGAGAAAAATGGACTTTCAGAATCGGAACTAATGGAGGAATTAGTGAAACCAGCAACAGTTCTTTTTCAAATGCATGCTGGTTATTTATTAGCATATGTTTATTTAAATATTTTAAATAATTTTTAGTTGCCATCCATATGGATTTTAAACCACAAAATATTGTATTCAATTCTAAAAACAAGCTAAAAGCTATAGACCTTGGAGGAAGTCTTTTATTTGCTGATATTGAAATCGAAAATGAAGTTCCTGCAATTCTTGTCGGAAGAAGAACAACCTCACTATATTTTTTGCCACCCGAGCTACATTCATTATTGAAATCTGAGCTTGACAAACATTACAATGCAAAAGTATTATTATCTATTTTAATGAATTGTAAAAAGCAATTGAATCTTTACCTAATCATTCATTCAAAACCTTAACCTATTCAGTTTGTCCATAACTTAGCTTACTCATTTTTAGGATTATGCTTCAACAAAAACTGACACATGGGAATTTGGAATTCTTATTTTTCAAATGATTTTGTTGAATGATAACCGATATTCGACTATAGATCTTGACAAATGGCTTAATGACGTAAAAACTTATTAAAACATGAATTTAAATACGGTATTACATACTGTCTCCCTTGAATAATTGCTCTCCTCGAGTAATACCTGTTCAATAAGGTTGTCGGATCCGGATACGAAATGTGGTGGAATATCCGGAAATTTTCGGTTAGGAGATCTGATTCTGATATACGAAGATTTCCAACTATCCGACAACCTTACTTTTCAAGCTCGTTTAAAAAATTATTAACAAATTTATAGAAAAATTATTAACAAATAACAAATTTTTTTTACAAAATTTAATAATTTATTAAAATGCTTATTAATTTTTCATACATTAGGTTTCTAATCTTGCGGAAATCAACAAGTTTTTTACTTATTTATCGAAAGCAAAAGATTGGATTATTATGGATGTAAATAAATTTAGAAAAATTATAACATTGCTTCTAAAAATTATGAATAATTATCCATCATTGTTTTTACTTGCTACGGTATTCTTATATTCTAATTACTATCATACTTAATTTTTTAGCATTTGTTGGATGGCGAAGAAGCTAACCGATTGTCTGCTCAAGGAATTCTAGATTTTCTAACTTCAAAATGTCGTATTATAAACAAAAATAGAACATTTGAAAATTTTTTGGAATTTGGATTTAAGACAAAAAGTGGGATTTTGCTTATATTTTTTAGAATATGAAAACCTGCTACATAGACTAGCCCGAGAAGCGGGCTAGTAAAGCAGACTAGTCAAGCAGTTCAACACGAAATTCCTGACTTTGGTGGTGTTAGAACCTAAGTGTTACCGTTAGGACCTCTAGCCCAAACTCGTCCGCTCTGCAACCGAATGGCCATAGAGCTTGCACCTTAACAGTTAGTCGCTTGTTACTTAGTCGCTTGCCAGCTAAAGGATTAAGAGATTTTTAACCTCAAATTTTCTTATTATAAACAAGAATAAAAATTTAAAAAAATTTTAGAGGTTGAACCTATGACAGAAGAACCTGAGATAAAGCTTAAGAGTTTATTAGAATATGAAGGTATGACTGAAAAATATAAGAGTTTGCTTAGAGAAGGTCAACAAAAATTATTAAATCTTGAAGTGGATCAAAATGAAAATCTGGAAGACTGTGATCGACATTTCTAATTGTTTTGAAATACAAAATTTTGTTTTGTTATGTACATATTTTACCTTATGTATTTTTAACATGGTTACCATAAAAAACGGTATTCTTGTCTTAAGACAGAATACGGAAGCTTTTAAAAAACATAAATCCTGGGACCCGGTTTCAGCTAAATTTGATCATCAGTTATTCAATTCACGTTTTCCTTGTCACCCTTTTGATTTAATGTTTGTATTGTATATTTTTATGAAATTTTTTAATTTTAAAATTTTGCCGTTCATTTTATAAATTCTGTATAAAGTTATTTTGCCGTTTTTTAGTAAATTTTAATTTTAACTATTATCATTAAACTACTAATAATTAACCTAAAACAGTTGTCCAATTTAACAATATCCGTTTGAACATTATCATCAACATCCCATTCATCTCTTACGGAATTAATTTATAAAGTTCTCATTTGAATTTGAATATATTGTCACATGCTTGCACTTTTAACTTTTATCAATTGTTGAATGCGATGTCGAGGAATTACACGTTTGTAAATTGATTTATTGACAGATTTCCTTAATAATATTTCACGTGAAAAGAATTCACGTGAATAGAAAAAGGTTGTTAATGTTTAAAGCATGTGGAATTCATAGTGATGCCTTAATAAGGAATTAAATTTCCTTTGCCCAATGTCGAATATTATTCATTAACCTGCTTTAATTATGTTATTTTTTAATTAAAAATTATTATTTCAGATGTTAAAATGCTTTACTATTATTATGTTTACATCTGTTTTATTATTTCTTTTAACTTATCTTCCAACAGATGTGGAAACAATGAAAAATAATAGCGCAAGTGGTGAAAAGAATCAGGATAAAGTGGATAGTAAAAAAGAGGATCGCGCTTCGAAAAGAAGACCGCTCGGGCTTTCTTTACCAAATAGTATTAGGTGTTTACTTAAATTTTATTTTACCGATTTTTTAAAAACCGATTTTTTTTGATTATTACTTTGATTTATTCTGCTGATACATTAGTATCAAATTATTATAGTATACTTAAAAGCAGAGCTGTTTCGAAACAGAAAAATCGAACAAAATTAAAAAATTGGAGAAGAATTTGCATGTAGTCGTTGTTGACATTATTACTATTTGTGCTGTATAGGTGCTTAGTAGTAGACTATGAAATCCCCGGATATATCCTGATCCGTACCTAGATCCAACCCAAGTAGCGAGTATTAAAGATTGTCCGTGCTTAAATAACAATAAAAGTGGAGGATTTTGAGGGATAAAAAGGATATATATGGAGAATTCTGGTGAATTAGGGGATTTTGAGATTTCTCGGCCCCAAATCCTTCGACACCTCCTCAGAATTCTTTTTAGCAAGTTCAAAATTTTCCTCAATGATTACATTGGCAACCCCAACTGAAAATACAAGGAACGATTCTTCTTTTTTAGCGCCGCTGCTTAAAATTTAAAAGTATCTAATTTTAAAACTTAATTACAGTCGCCTAATTACCCTTGGACGTTCATCAACCTTTGGACGTACATCAACCACTCCATCACCGTCATCTTCATCTCCTTCATTGCTTAAAAGTTTATGTAAGTTTGAGGATATACTACCATTTTCTCCTAAAAGTACGAAATGCAGCTGTAAAAAGTATAATATGAGGGGAATGACCAAAATCAGTTTTTATTCTGCCTTAGGAAATAGAATAAGAAAAGTAAAAGTATCGCTTCAAGAGCTTATTAGTGAAGGCGTACAAGCTCAGGTAATTTTTTCAATTAGGTAATTACAAAGATAATTAATATTCAGGTTTATCACGGCTGCTATTATGACACTAAATCTAAGAATGAAAAATGTGTAGCGGTTAAGTTGATTGGTACTGGAACACAACAAACTCAGAACAACGCATTACTGAGTGGATACGAGAAAAAGCTTAGAGAGTTAGTCTACTTTATTCTAACTTTTATAATTTATAATTATGAACTCTTAGAACAACGCATTAGACTCTTAGGAGTTGAAGACTCTTAGGAGTTGTACTATAAATTAAATTCAGATTGAACAACAAAGATAAGAATGAGTTAACGAAATTGGATGAAAAACGCAAAGAAATGCTTGAAGAAAATATCAGGGTAGCAAAAGAGAATAAATCAAAATCGCTAAAGACAATTGTTGAAGACTCGATGAATGAAATTAAAGTGCTTAAATTGTTTCAAGAAAGGTTTTCGAACGAAAATAAACCGCTTGATCATATCATCAATATGTATGATGGGTATGATAATTGAATATATTACATAGATTAATTTTTAATTTTAGAGGGTCGATTATAAAAATACATGGTGATAAAGATAAAGAACAAATGTTTGATTATATCATTATCCTGGAACTAGGAAATGAAACATTTCTGGAAAAAATATTATCAACAGCAGAAAATCATGTCGAGAAAGATGAATCAATGCTTATGAATGTTTTGAGTGAGCCAGCAAAAGTTTTAATTCAAATCCATGAAGGTTGTTACATCTTATGTGGGTCTATGATAGAGAAACACATCACGTCGATTGGAGCGTGCTGGCAAGGGCCTTTCCATCTGTGATATTTAATAAGACTTAAGTCCGGGATACCTTTCTCTCTCTCTGAGGAAATATTACAACAGTGAAGAAATAAAATAAGTGTTAGGCTCTCTTTAATGGGAAGAATAGGAAAACTTCCTTTTTAGTTCCAGAGATGCTTTAATTATTGTTTGTAATTTCAGTTGCTATTCATATGGACTTCAAACCACAAAATTTGGTATATGTTTCTGTTGATACAAACAAAAATCAAAAAGAGCAACGTTTGAAGGCTGTTGATGTTTCTCGTGAAACTATCAATGTTCAAGAAGAAAAACATTTGAAAGCTATTGACTTTGGCGGGAGCATGTTTCTAAATCCAACAGTGTGGAACAATAAAAGTAGCACTAAATCAAACATAAGCAATTTAACAAAGTTCGCGCGCTCATTTTCTCTTCCTGCTAATTTTGATGGTAAAACTAATCTCGAAAAAAGTCAATCAAACAATAAAACGAATAATGTTGAAAAGATGATAGGTACTCGTCGATATTTGCCGCCGGAGCTTGATACAAACTTCCGGATTGAACAAGCCAAATTGCTGCCAAGTCAATCCAATTCAAAAACTCGAAACGTATTCTTAGAAATCATTTTTCCGATAATGTTTTTAATATCATGTAGGCATCAGCATCAACCAAATCTGACGTTTGGATGTTTGGCATGATATGCTATGAACTTTTGCTTTATATAAAATATTATCCATCACTAAATAAGGACAAAGAAAACTTTATAAAAACGGTTCATTTACTTAATATATTTTATCATAATTATAATTTTATTTAAGATAAATAATAAGCTGCTTAATATAAATACAATCTATAAATGGAAAAATATATTATTGGACAAAAATTATATTGCATCTACTAGGCAACAAGAAATTAATCCTGAACACCCAACTATTGAGGATATGAAAGGCGAGCTTATGGACATAATAGAGATAAAATCAGATTACCCGAAAATTTTTCAACTTGTTTCGGTTAGCAAAGTTTAATACACGTATTGTCGATTGTAAATTTTTCAGAATTTATTGCAACTCGAACCAAAGCATCGACTTTCTGCAACTGGGATTTCAGACTTTTTAACCAACAAATGCCGAATAGAGTCAAAGAATTATACTCAATTTTCTACTGATCAGTTTATAAGGGAAGATACTAATGAAAATACATCTTTATTAAAACAAGCATTTTCTGTTGCTAAGGATAATGATCCTGAAAATGATGTTCATAGAAATCTTGATGATCTCTTTGGCCTTGAAAATAAAGAAAATTTACAGATGAAGCTTCCTATTTGTGACCAGTCTTTCCGTCCGGATGAGACTGATGATCTAAGTTTGGGGAAACTTAATCCAATTAAAGAGATTGAACAAAAGTCATTTGAAAAAATAGAATCCATAAAGAAGAGGATAAAGTTTTAAATTTTGTTTCAAGTAAATCTTGTTATGTAATGCTGTGCTTTTTGAATCTATTTTGAATAGATTCAATTTGAATTTATTTATTGTGATTATTCAATTTGATTTATTCAATTTGATTCAATTTTTATCAACTCCATAAGTGATCCATGTGGATCCAGGAGTCTTTATTTTATTGTTTCACGTTTATTTATTTGTGTCGATAAAGGAAAAAAACTCAAAATGGATATTCACATAAAAACATCAAAATGAATTTTTGATTTTATGTGCATTAACTTTAAGTTAAGATTTAAATAAAGGCGTATTACATAGATTTAAAATGCTTCTACTACATTCAAATGAAAACTCATAGTTTCGGGATTTACCTATAAAAATGCTTTTATTTCTAAAATTATGCAAAAATTTTATTTGTTAAAAACGCATTAGAAATTTTACAAAAAAATTTTATAATTTAAAAATTAAATATTTATATAATTTACTATATGTTTACTAGGTATATTTATAAATTTCTGTCATATAAGGTATCAGAGTCAGAATATTTCATCCCCGAGAAAATGAAATAGTGGGTGTAGAATGGTGTATTTTGAAGTTTAATCAGGTATATAGGTGAAGAATCCAAATAAATCTATCATATTCTAATAAAATATCCGTTTTTCTTCCACAGCCCTTCAAACAATTCAATCTTCCATTGTTTTCAAAATATACATTTGATAGAAAATAGCACCATTTCCAGTAGGCGTCTGATCGACCTAAAAGGATTTAGCTAAATTTAATGTGAAATTTTTGGAGAACTTTTAGAATTTTTATCAAAACGCGTTATGGTTTCCATAAAAATTTTAGGAAGTTTAATACTAGAATAAAGACACTAATAAAAACCCATAAGACCCTACCCTAATAAATACCCCTTATAAAGACCATAATAAAGACCAAAACTAAAAGAAAATTTCACTTACATGTGGAAGTTCCATTGTCTTTAACAATACAACATCGTGTGTAAACGTGCCTAACATATTGTTTACCTTTTCCTGAATTTTATACCGTTTGTTTAATTCCCAAAATACGTGGAGTGTTTGTGATAGCAAATGTTGAATATCCTCTTGTCCTTGATTATCTTCAAAAGTTTTCAATCCTGAATTCCCGTTTATGCGTTCAATATAAGGAACGATAACGTCACTTCTTAATACCCAAGCATACAACATCTCGCCTGCATCTGGAAAGTTATCATCCTCGAGTATTTTTGCTGATACGAGTTTGTTGAGGATATAATGAAACTTCAAAAGAACTTGTGCAAATTTCATGTATAAATAGTTTTGTTCAAATTGTTTTACACTATTCGTTAGATTCTGTAATTTTAGATTTTAGTAATTTTAGACTAATAATTAGGGTTGGCGGCTCGGTTTGGTTCGGAAGATAGAATGGGAAAAAGACTCCATTGAGCCATTGACCTCGAAAACGATTCGATTGGCAAGGTCCGATAAAAATAAGGACGAAAAAGATGATCGAACATAAGCCTGATTCGAAACTGCCAACCCTTCGAATATTTCTTAAAATTTTTTAAATTTATTTTCATTAAAATCTAACATAATCTTTCAGCACATATCCTAATCCTTTGTTTGATGAACCCTAAAATTTTCACAAAATAATTTATATTAGAAAATTATTAACTGGTGATTTCATTGCAGTCTCAATGCCCGCTTCAATTAGCGAAATAGCATCATTTATTTGCTTGAAAAATTTTAATAAAATTTTTATTCGATCGGAATATCTTCCTTTATCTTCTTTAGCCCTTGCACGCCATATGTTCATTTCATCATTACTCAGTTTTATCAATTGAACTTCATCGATATTGTTGCTTTTTAGTATTTGGTCCAAATAGCCTCGCTTAAACCAAAAAACTATTTTATTTGTCCATATTTTAAAAGTATACCCTGAAACGCAGAGGCAAGGCCTCCATTCTTTTAGATTTAATCTCTTTATATCTTGACGACAAATTTAACCGAGCTTCAGTGATGTTTCTGCCAATTAAACCCAATATCCCTTTAATATTTTTTTCATTTATTATTTTCTTAGATTTATCTTTAAGATCTGAAATTGCTTTTTCAAGTTTTTTATTAATTCCTTCAAATTCTTTTATAGTGATTGACTGGCCAATTATAAGTTGCATTTTTATATCACTTACCAACGGGTTAATAATTGCTCTAAAATTATCCAATGTTCGTGATTTGATGCCCTCACCATTTTTACCCAATCTGTTCAATCCGAATTCATCGAGTTGACCGAGCTCAATACGGATATTTTTATAGTGTGGCGGACTTTTCCGTAAGTTCTCCTTCAATTTAAGCAAATCCATCATCATTGCATCCAAAATTTTCTTCAAATTAGTTCCACCGAAGAACTCTCTCACATAGTTTTTGAAAATAAACCAGAAGCCAGTCTTACGCTTGATATCCAGAAGAAGATCATCAATGCGTCCTAGTATACCTCCCATAACAAAAAAATTCTGTTTATTTGAAATTACGCGTATTTCAGCATTTTTAGTTGAAATAATTGTTACTTCTCTAGGCTGGTCAAATAATTGTTTTAAGGAATCAGCATAAATTAACACAAATATTTTAAACAATATTATAAAAGTTAATCTCATAAAGATTTTATCAGAAGGTTAGTCTAAATAGAAAATTATTAACAGACAATCTCCCGAAGTAAATAAAAAATAAGAAAGCTATTAGAGTAATATTGGCAATAATTGATCAAGCGGCAAAAAATAAAGGCAAAAAGGGGTAGTGAGAGTAGCGCTGCGCGAAAAGCGTGATGTGGCACTTTGATTAGCCGATGCTGCGTTTTTATCTTTTCCGAGCTGCCGCCTGTTTTTTTATTATATTTCCTCAACATTTTTCTCTCTATTTTACATTAAGCTGCTCAGCTTTTGCCTATACAAAACATAATAAACTCACCGAGGGCGTCTGTAGATGTACTTATTTTGCACTTTTTACAGTACTTTTTAAGGGTTGATTTTTTATCAATAAATAATCCCTAAACTGGAACTCCTAATTCTGTTAAAAAATAATTAGTGAAGTCGATGTAATCCTATCGAATCCCTTTTCCAATGCATTAACTTTAGCTTACATTGGAAAGAATATCTTTATGAAAAAATGCCATAGGAGATGGTTAGACTGACAAAATTTATCATAAATCAAACTTTTAATATACAAACTTAAAAGCAAATGTTAGCTTCATTCCAAATAAATTACTTTCATTTCGAATCTCAAAATGAATTCTTCCATCAGATACTTGAATAGGTATTTCACCTTCTTCCGATAACAACGTGGTGTTCATATGTAGATATGGTAGTAGATAATCACCTTTTTCTAAATTTTAAGATATGATTCACTGGCCTTGGTACATTCAAATAAATTCTACCGTTTGTAAGTTTAACTTTAAAAGCTCTAGTTGCATGGAATTCGTAAAGAAGAACGCCTTTTCCTTTTGTATCCAACTCACGAATAAATGATTGCCTCGAGTGTACAAACACATGTTCATATGGAATGTTGTTGATATTATGCCTTTCCCAAACCTGGCCATTCTTCTGTTTATAAATAATGAATTAGAAATAAAATTTAAAATTATTGCAACCAAAAATTCATTCGTATTAAGTCTCTTAGGTTTAATACATCCGTTTGGCATGAATGATCCATCGAAATGCTTAATTATATAATTACATTTCAGACAAATTATTTTTTAACGATCACCATTTTACCACCAAGTCCTTCAGGTATGGCATCAATTGAAATGTATTTTGATGCTTCTTCTGCGTTTTTAACAAAATGAAATCTTCCAATTATCTTTTTGGGGAGCAAAAAGGAAATTATCTGTGAAATGGTTTAATTCAGATATAATATAAACCTAAACATACACTAAATAGAAGCCCTAGCATACGAGGTGGGTTAATTATGACAACAGTTGACAACAGTTCCTCGTAGTACGATACGGCAAGTTTTACTCTAGACTTTAAATAATAAAATCATTAACGGCTGTGATTTGAACATAATAATCCTGCCTCAAAAAGTCTGTTTATTGGCCCCATAGGGTTTGCATATTGCCAGATCCCTGCTCCAGTCATATCAAAAATACAAACAGCATATGATTGCTGACCAGTCTCACGCTCTCGTTTCAGTATTAATCTAAGCAAATATTCTGACCACGCAAAAAATGCGAAGAGAAACTGTCCTGTTCGAATTTGTTGAGCTGTTGTTGATGCAGATTTAGGGCATCCTTCTACAAAAACAATCCCATTGTCCAATGAGTTAATCCATTCATATTGCAATCTAATTAGATAATACAGATTATAATATTTCATACCCAGTAGGGGACCAAGCGTGCTTTATATCCATTGTTTTAGGAAATATGACCAATCGGGATATCCTTGTGTATTTTATCGCTTATGCTAATAATCAGGTTCAGTTATTAACCTCGACTGTTGGAATACATCACAATAATGCTTGATTTCCTGGTGATCATAAAAATCATTGTAAAAATCATCATCTATTTAAAAAAAACTTTCTGGTTTTATTTAAGGCTAAATACCATTAAGGCCTAAACAGTCACGATTTTTTACATATTCTTCTATAACTTCAGTGCAATGATCAACATCCTATAAAATTCATAAATCCATTTTATCAAAAAATCTATCTCAACAAAATAATCACCCAATTATAGCTTTTTAACCACCGCATTAAATTAATGGATGTAAGTTCCTCAGGTCGCAATAGATGCGCGACTTTTTGATGCAAAATTTCGCTTCCATTAAATTTGGTCATAGTATAAAATTCAATTTAATTATTTTTATTTTTTCTGAAAGTTTTGTTGATTGCGTTGAAATTATTAAAATTATCTAACAACCAGTAATGTTATTTTTGATAAACGTTAATATTGATCTTATCGTTGGGAATAATATTTATTAATTAATGTAACTAATAATAATTGGAGTAATTTATAACTGACATCATCATTAAAGTATTTTTTGCCTTTCCTTATATTCATTCAAATACTATGTGCCAGTCAGAATTTTCCCATCTTTATTAAATTCTTTCTTTTATCAATTACCGCCTAATCCCCAACCATAATAAACATGATTTTTCTCAGTATACCTATTCACTTTTCTGACCTTAGACTTATATCTGACGTTTATTTAAATAAACAATGGCATTATCCTAAAACATTAATCCGCTTTAATCTTGTACTTAGTATGTGACGCAAAACTTTTCGTTTAATTAAATGAAGACCTACATGGTATTTACTAACCTAAACGAAATTATTGTTCATATTCTTACTCTTATCTCATTTCAAAATTTTATATTAACTGAGCTAAAACAGGACAAGGGATATAATGCCTTCTGAAAATGAGGTAATAATTTATTTCCTTTTAAATAAAATTAGCATTAAAATCAAGCAACTCTCAAATCAATTGGAGGGCTGGAATGCATTGCCTGCCGAAACTTTAAGCAAGATAAAAATGATAAAATCAGATTCTGCACTTTTGCCATCACAAAAGCAAGAACAAATTAATGCATTAATTGATGGATTGCCTGACAAAGTGATTGATATGATTCCTGATCCCCCAGAATTTAACAAGATACCTAAGGTAGACCTTATTAAGCAAGCCTATTTTTCAATTAAAGATTTTTTTAAATTATTATAAATAGGAATTGAAAGAATGTTTCAAACAAATATTCCGACGAAAAGAAAAATTGTCGCTTAAATGTAAGAAAGCGGATGAAATGATAAATACACTTCCAGATGATCAGAAAGCTATATTTACTGCGTTTAAAAATTCAATCATTGTATTCATGGGTTATACTTGATTGTGTTCAGAACAAACATGACTTCATGTGTTGATAAACTATAATAAACTAGTCAGAACTTTACGAAACATGTGTTAAATGTAGTTTATTCTTATCATTTTTAACAATAAATTTTAAAATTTCATATTAAAGTTATCTTCCATCCATTATTGAACAAGGGGCGCCAAATTTGCCGCGAATGTTTTTCGTGTCTATTATAAATTTTGATTGATAAGGGTTCCTTCTCAATGTTGTCTAGCGAATAATAAGTATTAGTTGCCTCCTTAAATTTAGAAAATTATTTTCATATGTATTTATTATTTTACGTCTCTGGTCATTTAGTTTTAAATCATTATTTTTTAAAACCGTCTGTGTATAATAAAGCTTCGTATTATAAAATTTCAAATGACCATCACTTATGATGAACTAAATAATTTGATTAAAAATGAAAAAATAGACACGGTTGTTGTGGGTATGTTTTTAAAGATGCTTTATGATTTTGTTGAGATAAATGGATATACTTTAGCCGGTGGCCCACTCAGAAACCCCTCGATATATATACCATTCGATTCGTCTCGGCGAGCTGAGTCGAATGGTACCATTCTTTTTTTGCGGAAACGCCTACAAGCCGAGATATAGGTACCTGAAAATCGAAAAACCATAGGGGGGAGTAAGCTCAATTTTGGGGTGAAAAATTCGATTTTTCGAATGATAGCTCATTCGAAAGAGCTCCTCGAACTGAGTCGAATGACACCAAAATCAACGAAATCCGGCTTGATTGGACCGAGATATAGACCCCTAAAAACCGAAGATCCAAAGGGGCGATTATTGGAATTAAAAATTTTTTAACCATATTATAGCTCTTTCGAAAGAGCTCCACGAGATGAGTCGAATGACACCAAGATCACAGTGATTGAACAAATTTAGACAAAGTTACAACACAAAATACAAGCAACATAAACCTATGGAGCGTCGGCGAGGCGCTTGTGCAAAACCCCGCGCTTCGCGCGGGGTTTTGCGGCACGCGCCTCGCGGGGAGTCTACGGGCGCTGCGTCTGGGCTCGTAACATAAACTTATGCCTATTTTAGCTGAGGTCGGCATATCTGGTTTCCTCCCCAACAAGAAAACCCTGCACGTAGACCAAAGGTAAGGAGCTAAAACAAATGCTCATAACTTTGTCAAATGAAGTCGGATTTTGTTGATTTTGGTGTCATTCGACTCAGCTCGATGAGCTCTTTCGAATGAGCTATTATTTGCATATTCGAATTTTTCACCCCAAAAAAGTGCTTGGTCCCCCCTATGGTTTTTCGGTTTTTAAGGACCTATATCTCGGCTCGTAGGAATTTCCGCAAAAAAAGAGTGGTACCTTTCGACTCAACTCACCGAGACGAATCGAATGGTATATAATTTGACCCGTTTCTGAGTGGGCCACCGGCTAAAGTACAGCCAGATAAATTATTATGGGTCTATCGGGATTTGACTGTAATTAAATTGATTAATCCTCTCATTCAGCATGCATCGACATGCAAGGCCGACTGATGGGCAAGAGGTTAACTGGCCGGCATTTTTTAGGATTGAATCAAAAGAAGATTAGCATTAGCACATTTGTATATGCGGTAACCATAGAAGGTAAACAATATTATCAAGAATTAAAATTAGGCTTTAGCTCTAACAATAACAGATTGTAATTACAGAGATCAAGTGAATAATAATTTACTCAATCTTTATCTTGTTTTCAGGCATCGCTGGCGGAGGTTATGAGATTTCAAGTGTAGACACAGGTTATAGTGACTGCCATCTCTGTGCAGATTTGAAATCCCTTCATTTGCTCCCATGGTCAGAAGGCGCTGTATTGGCAATTTCCAATCCTCATGTAGGCAAATAAATTTCAAAGCTTATATTAACTCTAACTTTAAAGAATTTCGTTACTTCCGAGCCGTTGTTCTGTTCACCTCGAGTAATACTCATGCAGCAAATTGAGCGCCTGGCTAATCTAAAGCTTAAAGGCCTTTTTGCTTCTGAACTAGAATTCAATCTTTTCAATGAAACATATGAAAGTGCCAGCCAAAAGCATTGGAAAAATTTAAAAACCGCGCAGCCGCATCACCAATGGATGAATATTAGTGCAAGTAGTGGGATCGAAACTTTCATGCGTTCAGTGCGTAATAGATTAGAACAAGCCGGTAGGATCACACAAAATACTCTAATATTTTGAATTAGGTATTTTGATGGAAGCAACACATCCCGAATTTTTACCTAGTCAGCATGAACTTAATTTTGTACCAGCAGATCCTCTAACAATGGCTGATCGTCATATTATTGCAAAACATGGAATTCGCAATATGGCGGAACAGTCTGGAATGATTGCATCCTTTATGGCTAAATTAAGTTCAACTGCGCTTGGTAATGCTTGCCATATTCATAGTGATAAATCATTAAATTCTAATTTGATTTACTAAATATCAATTCCTAGTGTCACTTCAAGATTCTGAAACAGGAAAAAATGCATTTTATGATCAAAATGATGAATATGGAATGTCAACATTAGCCCGTAATTGGATTGCTGGATTATTGAAATACGTGCCTGAAGCGACTTATTTCTTTGCTCCTTACATCAACTCCTACAAAAGACTTCAACCGCTTACGTAATAATTCACGTATTCTGATAAAAATAATTTATCGATACAATTAATTTTTTAGTTTTGCACCAACAAAATGTTGTTGGGCAATTGACAACCGAACAAGCGCCTTTCGACTTTGTAATTCAAAATCTGAGGGAATTAATGTTGAACTGCGTATCGGAGGCGCCGATTTAAACCCTTATTTAGCTTTTTCCGCAATCATAGCTGCAGGAATTAGCGGTATAGAAGAAAGTGAGTGTTAGGCGTTTGCATGGAAATTAATTTCAGTTTCTTTAAATTTTAGAGCTTGAACTTCCCCCTCCTGCATCTGGCAATGTTTACAATGATAAGGAATTACCTGAATTTCCTAATTCCTTACAAAAAGCTACACAACTTCTAAAAGAATCGAAAATGCTGAATAAAACATTTGGTAATTCAAAAATTATCAGATTACAATTTGATTTAAATTAAGGGGAAAAGTTGATTCGACATTATGTAAACGCTGCTTATGTTGAAATTAATGAATTTTCAAAACAAGTTACTGACTGGGAACTTAATCAAGGATTTAATAGATATTAATATTTTACTGCTCATGTAGATAACAATCAAAAATATTATCTTTAAATAATTATGTAATTGTTTTAAATTACTTTTCTTAGTCCATTTGCTTATTTTCACCCCAAAATGTTGATATTGTTTTATATCCTCAAATAATTACCCTGTGTAATTATTGTTTACACCTATCGCTGGAGGGGGTAATTAATCGGGAAGAGGTGCTCTATTTGACTGTATCTCAATAAATCGAGGATAAGATAGATAAATTTTTTGATATAGATTCTTAAAATGTTCCAACAATTAAAATTGACAAAGATATGTATGTAGTTTAAACAGTTTTAAAATTGTTTAAACTACATTTTTTAAAAAGGACAAATTATTTGAAATAGGCTAATAATTTGCATAAATTATGTACGTATTAAATATTAATACACCGAATGCTATTATCGAATGTATTAATTTTTATGCTACATAACTATAAGCCTTCTCCCTCAAACATAGCCTTACCTCGAACACCTTATTTCCTCAAACATGGCCTCAAACGACTTATTGATTCCATTAGCTTTAAATGCTGCCTTTTATTGCAAAGCTATTTATTTAAAATTTTAATTTAATTTATTTGTTTAGCTTAATTTGTTAGCTTATAAATCTGAAAATTTTATAATAATTTTACATTCTTGGTGAAATAAAACAAAATTTTTCCCAAACTCTGAAATACATAAATTATTCATTCAATAAATATTTTTTACGTTTATTTTACACGTTGAGGCCCATCAAATATAAATAAATTTAAGTTTCCAATACAGATTCAATGGAAAAAAATAATTGTTCTGCGAAATCCGAACAACAACACGGTCCAACTACTAGCTCTATTAAACCCACTAAAAAATGCATGGTTTGTGATACTGCGTGCTCATATCATTATTATGGCGTACAGAGTTGTGAAGGTTTCTTTTTGCTAAAAATTTAAGTATTAAATTTATGTTAAGGATGTAAGCAGTTCTTCCGTAGATCAGTCGTAAAACAAAAAATTTTCCATTGCTGGAAAGATAAACAATGTGATATAACCAAAGGTTTATTTACATTGTTTAATATAATGCCTTAGTATGTTTTAAGCTAATCGCTGCAGAGGATGCCGGCTTGATAGATGCCTTTTAGTTGGCATGGATCCTTTACTAATTAATGCTGAAAGCACCCAATCGCTCGATTTATTTATTGAAACGCTAGAAAATCGTCGTACTAAGTTGTTGAACATGCACGGCGTCTGTCAATCAACGGTATAATTCGATATAAAATTAAATTAAACTTAGTTATTCAGCCTAGCTCTGATGATATAATCCCCGAACCCGATCTTCACAATAAATGTCCGGATGTTGCGATTCAGGTGAGGAAGTTGAACTTACAATTAGATATAAAATCCGCATGTGCGCATAAAGTCCACTGCGCCCAGTATTTTTAGATACTTTAAATTAATTTATACGTTATTTTTACTAACTTTAGAGCAATTTAACCTCGGAAGGTGCTTCTGATAGTGGATTAATGAATACACTTCACTTTCTCGGAAAATGCCATTATAGAATATGGGCATCTAACACTCCATTTGACTTTGCTAGTTTAAATTCATCATCAAATATTCAAAACTATCTAGAAGATCCCAATCATATTTTAGCAAAAGCCGACGAATTTTCGGTATCTTATTAATATTTAAGCAAATTTTCACAATTAATTATACTATGATTTAACCACATACTTATGTATCACTTCAGGATAATATGCCATCGTTTTGGAATTCGGAAAGGTTTCGTGCTGAAGTAGAAGTGTTTGGGTTCTCTTCTCCAAAACATATAAAAATTATTACCAAAGACCATTTTCTGGCTATGGAATTTGCTAAAGTGGTGCTAAGTTTCAATAAACTCGATATTGACGACCAGGTTTTTAAATTTTGCAATAATAATATCAGAAAATAAAATTTCAGGCATTAATAATAAAAGATTTAATTGAGCCAATCTTTATGTTTTTCAATAGTTATTACGCTAGCTGCATGAATGCAGATCAGTGGACAACTTCGGAGGGGTTAACGTTGGGAACGATGTTAACAACTAAATCTTTAATTAATGATGAAAAGTATGTTAATTATTAGACATTCTATATTAGAGATCGGACCAAGCAAATCCTTGTATGGTTAAATTTTTGGCGCCAGTAATTTACCTTGACCCCATACTTTAAGATTTTCTATCTCGGTCCCAAAGCAGATTTGAGTGTTATTCAGCTTAGCTGAAAACATTTTCCAAAAATTAAAAAATTATATGATAAACTTTTCCTGGATACGTTTCTTCATTAATTATCTTATTTTTTACAGAATTCAAAGGTTTCGTCAACAATTGGTTTTTCAATCTGTTCAAGCTTTTGCAGATTTAGATCTTGCCCCAGAAGAATTTCTCTTATTGCTTGCTATTCTTATCTCAAGCTCAAGTATGACTTTAAATGCTTTGATCATATCCTACTCACGCTTTTATTTCACTATCTCAAATATTGTTTGATTTAGAATCCCTATGGATTCCATTTTCCATTATTTTTAGTTAATATCCCATGGTCCAAACCTAAAAATAGAGCTTTGAGCTTTCAATTTTAGTTCAATTTTAGCTTTAAATTCTAATCTTATTTTAAATTTAGCGGTAGATGGGCTGTCGGCAAAATCGCGTGACATAATATATAATAATTCTGTACACTATTCCAAACTACTTTTTACAATATTGCAAACAAAATATGGTGCCAATGCAATTAAGAGATATGTACCTGTAATGCAACTTGTAGCTAAGGCACACAAACTAAAGTTTATATCAAAGACTCTTGGCACTTATATTGAAGTATTTATTTTACATGGAAGAGATGCTATATGTCAAACTATACCAAAAACCGTCTTGATGTTTATGGAATAGCTAATTTGTATCGAGTATCTATTTCAAATCTGTAAACCTCTGTTTAGTCATGGCATCTATGACTTATTATTAATGATATCAAGAACATGAAGTGCCCATTCCTTCATGAGTTATTGTGTCGGTACTGAAATGAGCCGGAACTGAACTGCTCCGATTTCAATACGGTGCCTTCTAAAACTTCGACTGTCAATTTACCGCCAATTTACCCATTTACTATCAATTTACTCATAACAGATATTTAAACCCGGGTGGTCCTTATTTTTTAAAAACATTTTCGTTTTAATATTTTAGCTATCTTTAATTACATATTTTATTAACAAATCATTGTCAATTAAATAATAATACAGATAAGGAAAGTGCAACTCTATCATTTCACAACAACCAAAACATTTAACCTTTTATAAATTTTTATGTGAATTAAAACAATAAAATTTTATTCTGCTTAGCTACGTTTTAAATGTTTACTTCCATATCTTCTTTTCTTCTATTATCATTAATATTCCTCAAAATTTTATCTTTCTTTCTTATCATTAAAACTTCAAAACTTACTTCCGCACCTATAAATTATGAAAAAATTGTTTCTAAAGATACGGCAGAAATTTCGGCTGTGGAAAATCAAGTTTACGATGATATCTTAAGAAAAATCGAGTTGATTGAATTAAGAATGAAACGTATTGAAAAAGAAAAGCGTTACTCAGATGCTAACTGTTCCTTAGTTTTTAACAATCTTATAGATGAATATGCGCTTGATATTTCGAAGTTGCTTAAAAAGTTGGATGTTTTAAAAAATAAAATACAACAAAAATATCCAAATATTTATCTCCTATATTATTTAAAAGATTTGTTATTGAGTGGTGATGATTATGATAAATTAAAAGCATTTGAAAAATCTCTAAATTCCATAGATTATCAAGAATCAATCAAATCAACAATTAAAGAATTGATCAAAATTCGTTTTGAGATAAACAGATTTATACAGGAAATTGATCTAGCTATTATAAGTAAAAGAACAATTGGTGAATTTAACCTCCTTTCTGATAGTTTCGAAAGGGATTCTCAAATCCTGGAATCTATTTTGGAAGATAACTTGAAGGAATTCTTTGATTTATGCAAAAGATATGGAATAGTGTCTGATGTTTTTCTAAGGAAAAAATATGAAATATTAAAAATAATAAAGAAATATCAATTAATGCAGGATCTGCCTGACGAGTTTCAAAATTTTATTTTAAATTCAATTGTAATTAATTTGGATGATATATTGCTACAAAAAGTGCCCCTTAAAGATGTCAATCTAGCAGGAGTAAATCTTATAATAAAGAATGTGATGACATCTGGCATTTTTAATTTTGCTCAAGAGAAGGCGATAAAAGTATTAGCTGATCTAATTAATACCATTGATCGTTTGATATGTAATGAGATAGAACTTGAAGAGTTTACATGTAATGAACAGGTTTAGATTAATTTTTGGATTCTAGACGAATGTAGATTTCAGTTTGTTATAATCGCTCAGAATTATATGAAGATCAATTTACTTCTTTATTCTAATGAAGTTTTCTTTGAATTTTTTAAATTTATACGAAGAATTCACAATTTTTGGATGGTTAGAGGGCAATATGATATAGAATCCAAACAGATCAAGATAAAATGGACGAAATCCGAGATTGCCACAGTATGGTATTTTCGGGAAAAATTAATTCCTGAGTATTTAACACGATTAACTATTAATTTTGAATTTATTGATGATCCTGAATGGCCAAATGAATGGTTTAATCTGAACGAGTCGGAAAGAAAGGAGGCGGTTGAATCAAAGGACTTTATCAAGATGATAGAAAAACAAGTAATTTATCACAAATACTATTATTTAATCTTGATAAATAACCATTCTTAAGGTTGAAGTGAATATGGCTAAACTCCTTATTTATTGGGAACGATTAGAAAAGTGGTTCAACATAACAAAGCAATGGGCAAGCTGACGGAAGATAATAAGTCTCAAGTTGAGGATCAACTTAATTTGCATCACGAGAGCGAAATTCCAAATGATTTAAACAAAATACTCTTCAAAATTTTTGTGGACTTGAAGAAACATGGGTTGAATGAGGCTTCTGAACCTTGATATGTTAAAAATACATAGTTCATGACTATTCAATGAACAAAATTTTTAATTTTTTTCTATTTTTCAATTAATGATAAATTTTTAAACCCAAACACTTTTATGGATTTATCTAATAATTGGTAGACAAATATGTTTACGTACTTCAATTTGTTCAAACAATAAAAAATGTCAGGGATTTCCCTTTCTTGTCGCTGAAAAAAATGAATCACTGAAAAAAATAATAAATATCATATTTTATAGTAGTTTCCCTACAACGCTAAGTGGGCCATTATTTTATTTGTGCATTATAATAAAAATGATAAGAAGTTGATAATAGTAGTAAACACTACGAAAATATTTATCTATACTTCTACTTTAGTTTGCGTAAATAAGCGGCCATAAAATAAAGATTGTGCTGTTGCATGAGTATTGTGTAGATGATCGACGGACTAGCGCTTGCGACCATTTAATTGTCCAATAATTGTACTCTTTTTTTAAATTTGCCAATGATCGTTGTTATTTACTAATATTTATTCAGCATATTTATTTAATAAACAATGGAAAACTTAATAATATCTGAATTGCAAAATGGCAAAACTTACAGTAATAACAATCATGTTATCAACAAACATGTAAATAATCATTGCATCAAAAGTATTGCTAATAATTACGTTGTTGAAGTAATTGAGAACGAGGATATTCTCAACGAATTGACTGAGTAAATTATATTTTTTTATCAAGATATATTTTTGTATCTTTTTACAGATATTCGATTAATTATGCCCAATCTATAGGTATGTCGATTTTAAAAAATTTTGACGTAACAAACAAGGCTATATAAATTTTTTAATGTTTTTCTTCTAGGCTTCGTTGGACTATGGTCCGAGCAAAAAAAGTTTACAGACATTTCTGTTGTACCACCAATGACTTTGCTTCCATCACCATTTCCCATGGAACTCTTTCAAAAGGCCACATCTGTTCAGTCTACTCTAAACGAGCTTTATTATCGTATATCATTGGATTATGACTTTTTAATTGAGGCATATCGTGAAGTTGTTAAAGCTGACAAATGGGTTGGACGACAGGTAGAGATGATGAAGCTGGTTCATGCTGAAGGTATACGCCAGAAATTTGTGCTTCAAGTTCAGCGAGCTGACTATATGACGCATTGTGAGGATGGTCAGAAGATTGAGTTGAAGCAGGTATTTATACTATCTCCGTTTTTTATACCAAATTATACTTAAATAGCTTACCTAATTTGAATGAAATTCCTAGATCGAAGTAAACTTTGGACCCGGCGGAGTAGGATTTGCTCCCAAAGTGGCAAAATTACATAAGAAAATGATCGAGAAGGTTGAGAATTTACATGGGTGTACTCCTAACTCAATGAGCGAAGCGGCACTTCCAAAAGCGAAAAAAATCGCTGAAGCTCTTTTCCAAGCATGGAAAGTATTTGGGGATGCTAAAGCAATTGTTGTACTGGTGTTTGATTCGGTATTATCTTTCTTACATTTAAATATTTAAAAGTATTCAATTAAATTTTTAGAATTTATACCCGATCCAGCATCATGAACAGTTGCAATTCGTACAATTCGAATTAGAAAAAATAGCAAGAAATGCCGGATCTATTTTAAATACATCGAAAATGACACTTGAAGAATGTGCCGAAAGGTGAATAATTAAAAATCAAGTGAATCATCTGATTAAAATTTTATAGAATGCATCTTAATGAGTCTGATTACTCTTTAATGGTCGGAGAGAATAAACGAGTTGCAGTGGTCTACATGGTATACGGCTACTTACCCGAGCATTATACTAGTGTAATAATTTAAAATTAATTGTATGATCAAGATAGTAAATTCATTTAATAATTTAAAGGAGAAAGAATGGAATTGTCAATTGAACATGGAACGCTCAACTGCCATAATTTCCCCGAACATTAGAAGCCAGCTGAGCGGAACAAAAAAAGTTCAGCAGTTACTTGCAAAGCCAGGCATGCTTGAACGGTTCTTGGCAGATAGGCCTAAAAAGATTGCTGAACTTAGAGTAGTTTAAGTCGAATAATTTACATACTTAATAATTATAGAGTACATTCACCGGAATATGGAGCCTTGAAGGAAATGATTCGTTTACTCAAGCACTTGTCACTGATGCAATTAACAGTCCTCAAAACTACGTACTTAAAGCACTACGTGACGACGGCGTGGGAAATTTTTTCGATGAGAAACTTGCTGAAATGCTACAAACTATGTCAGTTCAAGACAGGAGTGCGTTCATTTTGCAGCAAAAAATTCGCCCAATTGCTGTTAAGGCAGGGAAACTTTAACAAAATTATAAAAATTATTTGAATATGTATATTAAATCACTAAATAGGCTCCAAAAATTATATATTGAAAATTGCAATTCTTCAACAAGAAAGCGCTCTAAAAACAGTGTATCAGAAATCGATTCTTCTGATAGACTGGCTGAAATTCAGACAAAATTGACAACAGCTGGTATTTCTATTTCCCCATCGAATTCTAATCCTGATTTAATTTCGACAATTAATCTATTAGTAACTCTTGTGATACAACAGACAAAGCAAATTTCGACCCTACAAGAATCACTTATTAAAATTGAGCAACATCTAAGCACCAAAAATTCCGATTCACCGCCCGAGGATAAGGAAAAAAGCCGCTCGATTGTGGTTGTAGGCGTTCCTGAGTCTGAGGGTCGGAATGATAGGGAAAAATTTGTTAATGATAAAAAAACCATAAACAACATTATTGATTCGTTGGGAATTCCTGCTGACCCTGTAACAATTTATCGAATGGGAAAACAACGGACTGACAACAAGGGCCGACCACTTAAAGTTATTATGCCGTCCTCTTTCCATCAACGACTAGTTCTCGCTCGTGCAAAATCTCTTCGGTCATCACCTTCCCTTTCTAATATTTTTATTCGCCCATCACAAACTAGAGAGGAACGACAAAAAGAATTTGAACTGAGAAAAGAATGCCGTGAGAGAAATAATGCTCTTAAAGAAGGTGAACCACCTTGGAAAATCTATAAAGGGAAAATAGTTAGGGCTTTTAACCACGATTCTTTTTAAAATTATCACATGGACCACTAGCAAAATGTTTATATTTCAATGCAAGATCTATTAAAAATAAACTTACAGATTTACATTTCATATTAGCCTCATTTAAATATCAAATAATTTTAATAACAGAAACGTGGTTAACCTCAGAATTTTCCGACACTTTATTAATTAACGACTTACCATATAAAATTTTTAGAACTGATAGACCAAAAAGGGGTGGAGGTGTGGCCATAATTCTATCTAATATTTTTTCAGTCAGTAACATAAAGTTACAAAAAAATCGATTTAATTTTGACATTTTATGTATTGATCTTACAGACTGTTTAGGAGAAAAAATCCGGCTGATTAACATTTACGTACCCCCCAAAACTTCAGATAAACAATTTACAGATTTAATATATATTCTTGGAAATCTAATATCTGTTCCCTATTCTGTTGTTATATCTGGGGATTTTAATCTCCCAAATATTAACTGGTCTGAAAATCAATCGGAAAATAACCATACTTTTAAAGAATTCCTTACACATTCTAATCTAGTTCAACATATTGATTTCCCAACTAGATCTTCTAACATTCTTGACTTATTAATAACTGACAATTTAAATCACATTTCTAACTTATCCTCACTTCCTCCCTTTTCAACCTCTGATCATAATCAATTCTCATTCGATATAAATTTAAAGAATGAAAAGATAAATAAAAATAAAATATTAAATTTTTCTCTAGGTGACTATAATTCCTTAAACCTACATATATCTCAAATAAACTGGAATTTTCTTTTTGTATATGCAGTTCCTTATAATATAAATACAATCTATGAAATCTTTACTAATACTATAAACGATTTAATCAATAAATTTATTCCTGTTACTAATATTTCATTCTTAAAACTCCCTCCGCATTTAACAAAAATAAACGAGTATCGATCTCTTCTCTGGAAAGATATTCATGATCCCAAAATAAAATTTAAATTCAATTATGTTAACAAAAGATTTGAAAAAGAACTTAAAAAATTCTATAAATATAGGGAAAACAAATTAATAAGTGATAAGAATCCAAAAAAAGTTTTTAACTATATCTCATCACAACTTAAGGTAAAAAATCTTAGTATTCCCGCAATAAAGGATAACTCCAGAAACATTTTAGTAAATACTGATAATGAAAAAGCTAATCTTTTTGGAAATTATTTTCACACCATATTTAACAAAGACATACCCACGAGTTCAAATTCAGACTATGAAAATTCATCTATTACTAAATTAAGTTATGTAGATATTTCGGAAATTGATGTTTATGAAACCCTAATAAAACTTCAATCTAAACAAAACACATCACCCGATGGTATAAACAATTATTTTCTTAAAAAATGTGCAGGAACTTTAACCCATCCGATTACTCAAATTTTCAGATATTCTATGATGACTGGAACATTACCTTCTGTTTGGACCCATAGTACTATTGTTCCTTTGCTTAAGAGTGGGGATAGCTCAAATTTAGCAAATTATAGACCAATATCTTTGACTTGTTCTCTAGTAAAAGTACTCGAAAAAGTTATAAAAGACCATTTATTAATTGCTTTACAAAATATAATACCTTCTTCCCAACACGGTTTTATGAAAAATAAATCAGTAGTTTCTCAATTAATAGAAGCTCATAATGATTGGACCAATGCTCTAAATGAAAATCTTTGCGTAGATATAATTTATTTCGATTTCATTAAGGCATTTGATTCGGTATCTCACAAAAAATTATTAGAAAAACTATCAAAAAATGGAATAGGTAATCCCTTATTATTATGGCTAAAAAATTTTTTGGAATTCCGCACTTACTCTGTAAAAATAAATAATAAATTTTCAGACATATCATATGCAAAATCCGGTGTGCCTCAGGGCTCCGTATTAGGCCCCATCCTTTTCATATTCTATATTCATGATATTGTTAAAAATTGTTTTACACAAGATGTTAGTTTTAAATTTTTTGCGGATGATTTCAAAGCATATATAATCCATTCAAATACAAATAAAAGATTACTCCTACAAGAATGTATTTCTAAAATAAAAAATTGGGCTGATATAAATGAGTTAAATATATCAATAGAAAAATGTAGAGTTCTATATCTAGGAAAAAGAAACTCTAAATTTCCTTATCATCTCTCCAATCAATTAATCGAATCTGTAAATAGTTTTCATAGAGATTTAGGTATCTTAACATCACCTAGTCTAAAATGGTCTTCTCATATTGACTTTATTAGAAAAAGGGCCTATATTAGGCTTTTCTCTCTATTCAAATCTATCAAAACTAATAATCCTTCATTTCTTACAAAAGCTTATACTATATATGTTCGACCTTTATTAGAAAATTTCTCACAAATTTTCAAGCCTTATCTTAAATCAGAATTAATTAAACTTGAAAATGTTCAGAAAATGGCAGTAAAAATAATTTATTATAGAACTCTTCAAAAATTATATCCTAACAAACCTTGTTATGATGATCTGCTTATTATCTTAAACTTAAAATCTATTGAAATCAGACTCTTAATCAATGATATTATATGCTATCACAAAATTATACACGGTTATATTAAACTAGATCAGCCGCATTATCCAAAAATAAACTCCACAAATCGGAAAAATAAATTTCAGATTCAAATAAATAGTTCAGTTTTAAATGTAAGACATCATTTCTTTTTAGATAGAATGGCCAGACTTTACCCTAAACTACCTCATGATATTTTACTTATCCAAAAAATTCAGACATTTAGAAATGCTTTAAACAAAATTGATCTTTCCAAAATTATTTAAAATAAGCAAAAGACATTTGTAATTCACAAGTCATAAAATTTGTTTAATGCCAGTGATATAAAAAATATTATTCTAACTATAATTATAAATTATACTATAGAATAAACTTTATTATATCCATAGTCACTAAGCATATTTTATACCTATATTTGTTGTCGTATTTTTTATTTTATTTTTTTTGTGTGTTTTTTGTTTAAGGATATACTTATTAGACTTTAAATTTGACAAATTTTTTGTAGTGTTCTTGTTTGTTTTAATTTTGTATTTGACCATATATATGTTTCATTTTTTTTATATTGTGGACGCGTATTTAAAATACGTAAATAAATAAATAAATAAATAAATAAATAAACTTAGAGTAGTTTAAGTCGAATAATTTACATACTTAATAATTATAGAGTACATTCACCGGAATATGGAGCCTTGAAGGAAATGATTCGTTTACTCAAGCACTTGTCACTGATGCAATTAACAGTCCTCAAAACTACGTACTTAAAGCACTACGTGACGACGGCGTGGGAAATTTTTTCGATGAGAAACTTGCTGAAATGCTACAAACTATGTCAGTTCAAGACAGGAGTGCGTTCATTTTGCAGCAAAAAATTCGCCCAATTGCTGTTAAGGCAGGGAAACTTTAACAAAATTATAAAAATTATTTGAATATGTATATTAAATCACTAAATAGGCTCCAAAAATTATATTTGAAATTTGCAGAACTACTTGAAGAGGCCATTTCATCCTGCTAAATTGGAAGTTGTCACAAATGAGCTAGGCGTCTTTGGAACATTCCTGGGCACGTATGATGGACAAGTTCTCTTTAACCATGTAGATGGGCATTTTATTAAAACAAAAGTATATATACCATTAAAATCAAGTAAATAAACTACTCTTATTTCAGTCACATAATTCAAACCAAGGAGGTATATGCGAAGGAAGTGGTGTAATTGACTCGGCTTTACTCTTTCCTGAAGCGCAGTTTCAAAAGGGCATAGCCAAATAAAAATAGTTTTAAGATCATTTCTGGATTATCAAATCATGTCAATTTAATTTCATAAAATTTAAAATATATTAATTTGAATTGCAATTTTTAAATCGAATTTTTAATCCTTGTCTTATTCCTACTCCAGGATACACATTTATGCCGATTTTTTGATAGTAATTATTCCAATATAAAACTCTATTTGTATTTTTACCATTTAACTATCTTATGTAATCCTCGATAGACCTCTATAAGATTTCACATACTACTACTAAAAACTGCAGTTGCGTAACGCAGTTTCCGCGGAGAGATAGTCGGATAATATGATTTGCAATATGCACTTTATAAAGAGCGTCTATAATGAAAGACACTTCGAAATCCAATCAATTTAATTATTATGAAATATTTATTATTAAAGCATTAATGCCGTCGCAATCGGCGGCGGCAGTCATGACTGTTAAATGAATTAGGCGGACATTGCAACATGTGATTTTCCACAGGATATTTCAAAAATATTTGCCGCCCCGTCTATTTTATGTGCGAGAATCAAGGCATTCTTGAGAGGATAGACAGTTAAAAAATTTATTTCACTTAAAAAGGACATAGCCGACAAAAGTGCGTCTGTATTTTTAAATGGCTGCGTCCGTTAATTGACTTGCGATTGAAATCTAAAAAAAATCACAAAGGGTTATTTACGACACCGACTGACTGGGTTGGCCAAATAAAATAACGTATTCAACTCTTAGTCTGGTCAAAAGCTGTTAATCCATTAATTATTATTCGTCGAATTAATAAGTAAAAGGGAGCTCAGAATTTAAAAAAATTTCCCTCCATTCTAATATTAAAGGAATTTTATTTTCAAAAACTTTATTTTTAGCGATGTTACCGATGGGCAGGTACCTTCGCATCACTGGATTAATATTCGTTTGGAATTCTATTTCAATTGCCTATGGTCGTCATCATTATATGAACCCTGATATGCCGCCACTAGCGCATCAAAACCAACATATGTTTGCTAACAAGCATACTCACGCTGAAGCGGACCACCAAATGATTGGTAACAAACGTCCTCGCAGTGAGTTGGAAAATCCTGCGCAACTGGATGGACCCCACAGTTTTGTTCGGAAGACAAACAAAAAACGGAAAATTGTTGAAAATCCAAAGATAATGCTTGTGATCTGGGGCGCAAATAATGAAATAATTGATGATCCCCACATCATGTTGCGACACATGGAAAAGAGTGAAGGCTTAGTCTCAAATGCTGAACATCTACCGAGAACAGAATGTAATAATAATTAGTTCACAAAAATATATTTATCTTTCCTTAAGTAACGCCATTGATTGACTGTTCTGAAGATCCACCCGAAAATGGAATACCAACAGAACATTGTCACTACGATTTGCATGTTGGAAATGGCATTACCAATATCACATTTAGAAATCCTGAAATTAAAGGCAAGGTTGAAATATCATACGTATGTTTATGACTGATTATTTTTGATATTAGTCGTTTAATTTTAGGCGTTAAATGAGGAATCTAAACGAATCAGTTATATTGAGGATATTGAAAACCTCAATGTTGCAAAAGATCAAAGTAGATTTTTTGTCTACTCATTGAAATCATCAAATTTAATTATTTTAGATCATAGTGCACAAAAAGATTTGCATCAGAAGCACGATCCCAATTCTGAGGATGTTGATCATCGTAACATTCTTCATTTATCCTACCACAATTTCAAACCTTATACCTACAGTATGAACTTTATTTTAAGATAATCGTCATTTGTATATTTAGTTTATCACATTCACGGAATAATCTTCTGGCGAGGTCCTGACAAGGAAAATCCAAGTCCTGTGCCATTGGTTGCAAACGAGGGATGTGCACATGTTGAATATGATATTGATCATGGTGGCTTTATGTTTAAAATTTGTTACTATTATTAAATTTACTTTTATAATTCAGATCATTCTTTTGGTAATATGCCATATGAATTTTATTATGACAAAGTAACCGGAAATTTCCGAATCACCATCAAAAATGGTTATGGATTGGATCCATTACGAAAAAATGAGCAAAATTACGGTAGCATCCGCATAGCCGTGGTTCGATTTTTAAAAGTTTAATTCGCATAAGAAACTTATTCAAGGCATACAACAAAGAATCATTCCGCATAAAAGAACGACGCGTCTATACATTTAAAATTGCGGACTATTTACGTGACAGTCATGATAATTTCGAGAAAGCAGCGAATCATGCACATACTGAAAAGAAACCTTCAAGGATTCTTTATCTTTGGGCGGATAAGGAAAAAATGAAGTACGGACCATTTCCTCTGCACCAACGTGAATATTCTCTTGAATTCAAAATAAAAAATAATATGAATGGCAATGCGTGCGATAAGCCATTCTCAAGCGCCCCGATGAATTGGAACAAGTGGCTAAAAATTAGGGACGAGGATGATGGTACGTTCAATCTAAAAGATAATTTTATTATCTACATAATAAAATTTTCAGAGGAGATTTTAAGCATTGACAGCACAAAAATAGAACATCAGTCTGATGGTGTACTAATAGCACAAGTCAAATTGCGCAAGACGATTGCTGAAGGATTTCAACTTCACATTGTTCTATTTTTAAATATAAATAGAATTTTATTTTCTACTTTTTAGGATTGCGGTGAATTCAAAGCAGATTATGTTATGAAATTTAACAAAGTTGTTGATAAATCCGACTGGACTACTTTAGAATCGAAAGTAGAGACAAATCCTGAGGTAGTTATTATGGGAGGGTTTGAATTAATTATACGAACCATATTTTCAATGTCTGCTTCAATTTATGATTTTTTTAGATTCAGCTTCGTGTCAAGTATGTGGATCAGTCTGATCAGCCGCAAAAATCTCAATTTGAACTTCGATATAAGTATTCTGGGCGTGGTGAACATCCGCTTATGGAGGAAGAATTTGGTGTAAACAATCAATTGCCAAATAATCAATTGGCTTATCCTCAAGATTTTGGCAAAAACAATAAGATGTCGAACAATTCCCCAGCTTATCCGCAAGGAGAAAACCCATCACATTCCTTCATGAAAGGAAAAACTGGTAGGTTTCATAAATATATTGACTGGTTATATAGTCAGCGCATCTTGAGTAAATAAAAGCCTGACTTCCAATTACTTTTATTTGTTTGTGCAAGTAATTTTAAATGATTCTTAGTACAAATAAAAAATAATATCCCAAATCCGGGATGCTTTCGGATATTATTTCTCATTATTTCAGCGGACAATTACCAACATTCTCAATCGTCGCGACCAAACTCTTATCAAAATCCGATTGACTTTCAACAACATCAAGATATGGATGTCCCCAATTCGCCCTCAATGCATTCACGCAGCTCTCCTCCTTCGCATTATGATTCCGATGATGACTTTTATTCTCCTCCATATTCCCCTGATCCTTACTCTTCTCCACCATATGCACCGCAGCGTCCTGAATTCGAGTCACAAAACTCAACCGAAGACGCGGAAGGATATCAAGGTTGGACAGACTTAATAAAATTTTTACCGAAAATAACCCCACTAAAAGATACATTAACGTAAATCTGGAAATAAGAAATAATTCTTTTATTCATAGTAGAATATTGTAAAGCAAATAGCTATTTAATTCCTAAGGCTGTGCTTTTGGCGGCGGGGACATCAGTCCGTTCTACTGAAAATGCTGGTCGCTCCCAGCCGCAGAATAACATTGTGCACTACTTAAAGGAGAGGAATAGCTATAGCCCAGCTGCTTTACTATATTCAATTTCATGGTTTTAACTTCTAATAATATATAATCTGCAGATTATGGAGATCAATATCGCCATACTGCACCTGCAAACATGCATGGTCCGTACAATGCACATGCCCCACATTACGGTCGCGCACCTGGCCATTTTAACAATGGAATAATGGCATAAATGATGAGACTAATTTGAATTTAAAAAGTAATTTTGGAGGCGTTAATACAAACAATGGTGCGCCATCTTTCATTTTCTTTATTTAAATTAAAGATTCTTAGCAATAAGCATCTTCTTTGATTTTGGCATAATCTAAATCCTAATTAGTTGCTTTCAATGAATTTAAACCGCAATATAGCAATTATAAAATAGTAGAAAAATATTTTAAATTATCAATATATGTATATGTAACTAAAAAAGCAACTCAATTTATCTTTCAAGCTTTTCTTTCCTATTACTAATTGATAACTTTATAAATTTTCTTTATTTATATAGTAGATGATTTGTAAAATTAAAGTAGTTGCTTAAAAACTTTACTAAACTAGATATTAAAGTAATAAATTAATAATAAATTAATAATTAATAAAGATTTTTATTCACACAATTAAATTGGTTTGCACATTTTCTCGAGTACTACCTAGTAAAACAAAAATTTTAGGAGTACTGATACTTAATCATTATAAATTTCTGAAAAAGCATGATCAAAGTTTTCTTCTCCGTCGTCCATGATATCTATATTATTCTGTTGTCTTGTCCAATCGGCATCAATCTCTACACTTTCATCGGGCGCTGGCAAATATGTATGCGGCAAATCATCTCCTTCCTCCTATAAAACATTAATGTAATTGTTTAATATAAAGGTTGCAAACCATTCCTGCGGTTGATTTTTTCCATTCAATCAGGTTTCTAGTTACATAGTCAAGTATACGTTTAGAAGTTATTTTTCGATCATTTCCAGTTAGCGTTTCTGATAATATCTTATTTATCCCAAGTATCTCGCTTGCCTCACGGATATACATATCTAGTTCATTTTCAGCGCCTAAACGATTAAAATCTCAAACTTAAAACATTATATTGGGAAGTAAAAAAATATTCTGTTCTCCAACTGAAGATTTTAGTAAAAATTAAATAGCTAACATCGATTTGTAAGTTGCGCAAGTTGAACTTCGTGCGTAGCTGTAAAATTATATTCATTAATTTAAATCAATTATAAAGTTTATAATTTTCCTTAGGGTTTATATATTCATAAAATATTACAAAATGCATCATCAAGTTCAAAAAGTTCGAGCTGCGGCTGAGGAAGTTCACGGAATTGTGGAGGGAAAACCTTAATAATTTATAGGCATTTATAAAATTCGATAAAAATGTTACCGCGGGCTGATATGGAGGCATTGGGACCTTTATAAAGTTTAGCATATTAAGATCGCAGATTAATTCTTACTTGAAAAGTCGGTGTCACTAAAGTTAGTGATTCATATCTCAAGCCAATTTTCTCATAAATCCTGATAAGCATAGATTTAATGAATTTTATATGAATTTAAATGAATTTTATATCACTCTAAAGCACTTGATAAGCGGTATTTTTTTCAACTTGTTGGATCAGATCTGAACACTTAGGGACTTATAGGGTAATAACTGTTTAACTAGTGAACAGACTTGATATATAAAATTGGAAAAAATACCGGTTTTCGAGGGCCTTCAAATGATATTAGCTTCATTAGAATTGGATCAAGCCCAAAGAAGTTATAGTAGATCAAAATTGGTGGCACTCAATTTTCGGGCGAATAAAAGATAAGTACCACCTAATCTATGTTTTCTATGTGGCAAATAAAAAAAGAAATTTTTATTATAAACCTTTTGGCTTCTGGCCAATGATCCAGACCGACTGAAGTAAGTGATTGATCAAAAAGTTTAATGAAATCACCGAAGTATGCATGATCAAATTCGCTTTCATGTAAACACAATTTGAGCTTGCCTTAAAATTGAAATATTCTTAAAAATTTGAATCTAAATGTATAATATTCATTGCTTAGTCTTCATTTGGGTTGCGGCCCGGATATATAAAAATGACGCCCGAAAAAATGACTTGAACGACGGCCCGGTTCGAAAACAACAACCCTAATCTTCACATCAAATATAGATGATCTCTCAAGAATTGATGGTCTTAATTTTCAGAGAATTTATAGACTGGACTTAATCATAACCTAAACAGTAACTGAAAGAATTATGAAAACGGGAATAGGCTTCAACTAGTCCGATCCCACTTCCATATCATCCTAATCCATCAGATTTATATTTCAAATTTTTAGATTATGTATTACATGAAAGTTGCATATTATCAGGAATGGGCTGCTCATCGAAGATATTAGGTTCATTCGCATCGATTTGATTTAATTCCAAGGAACCAGACAAAAATTTTAGAATTACGTCCTAGATGTACAACTAATATACATAGCTGTACAACTATCAATTAACATACAAAAATTTTTGAATTATCCTCTTTATTGAAATATTCGTCCACAAACATTCGTACAGAACCTCAAATGTAAAAATATCGATTTTATTTAGAAGAAAAAGCATACCACAAACAGCAAGTCGGCCATTGCCATTTTCCTTTTAAAAAGAAAATAAAGGAGCCAGGAAAATTTTAAGTTAAAAATAAAGGATAAATTTTATTTTCTAGAGAATTTATAACTAGATTTATCTAAAAAAAAGTCTGATACCGTTTTTAATTGATGGAAGGCACAGACGGGCCTCAAAACTGGGTAACAAACAGTTCCTGTTGAGAGAACACTGACAGACTCCCGATTCACGCTTAGAGTACAGCCATATGGAAAAACAAAATTCAGTAAAGCACTTAAAGTTTAAAGCTAAAATTTTATATTTTATTTTAAAAATCAACCTAAAATTGTTTTCATCTTCATTGTCACCCTGTAATTTTGAAAAACCGCCAACTGCATTTTGCCATTCAATATTTGTATTTGATAGGCTTTGTGTCTGTAAAACGCCGGCTCCGATAGGAAGTGACCGATTAAGCACACCGTTTGAAATTAAAGCCTCTTTTGGATCGAAGTACTTATGGAAAATTGTGCGGATAACGGAATCTGTTTAACAAGCTTACTTTATAAGATTAGGGATATGCCCAGAATTTAAATGACAATTAACTACCGTTATTGAATGAAATTCCAAACTCCTCAAGTAGAAAGTTCACATTTGTACTATTTTTTTCTTCACCTCCTTCACTAGATAAAACTAGAAGAGATCCACCAGATTTTACGAATTTTCGTAAGGCTGAGAACTAGTGATTTGTTAACCATGAATGTTCAATTATAAGGATATACAAAACTTACTTCTTCATCAGTAAATTTTACTCTTGGGCAAGGAAGAACAAAAATTCGACACTTCCCAAGAATACTTTCAGTTATCTCATCGTTCTGATGTCTAAATATAATTTGTGAATATTTTCAAGTAAAAAATGTCAGCCCCTATCCCAATCAATATCAAGTCCTTATCTGATTTAATCATTACATTTCAACTTCCCATCCGCTCCGTATGTGTCTATGTAAGTGCCGAAAATTGTTATAAATGTTATACTCTTCGTCCTTTGTTTGATTAAATATAATAAGATTGGAAGTCATGGTCAGTTTTAGTTTAAAATTGCTTAAATTTTACATATTAATAAGAGTTGCCATGGAGATAAATATAATTTTTAATTTTTATTTAAGTATTTTTATAACAAAGTCCTTATACATAACAGTTTGTAGTTAAGTAAGATTGGATTTAAATTAAAGGAATGATCGAATAACACAAAAAATCTTTTTTACTTTCCTCTCTTCGTTTTAAGTTCAATCTGCAAAAGTTGATTCTGTAAACGTTTTTCCTCTATCTGTTCCTAAAATTCAATAAAAATTTTGTCCACACTAAATAATCAACAAACTTTTAAGAGAATTTTTTGCAACTCGAGTTGTTCCAACTTTGCACGTTTTATAGCCTTGTCTAACTCAGTGTCAGAATCATATGAAGGCACAAATACAGGTGACTCTGAAGGTTTTAGAAAAATTGATTGCTGATCTAAGGCTTTTCTTTTATGAGGATTTTGTGGATATTGCTCCTTAAATAAAATATTTATTTGTTTGATCAATCAAGATAATGACACAAGCTAATTTATATAAAATACCTCAGTGAATTGACTCTTTGACGATGCTGAAATTTGACGCTCTTGATCTCTGTTCTTAAATCCATTTTCATTCTCTTTTCTGTCGAAGCATGTTTTAGAATTCATTGATGCCATGGGCGTTTCACGAATTAATTCAAGCATTTGACTTAAAGAATCACAAGGCTTTCCCTCGATCTCAGTAATATCGTCATCAGAGTTATCCCTATTATCGTTAATACAACCTGAAAAGTCTAAAAATTCGAAACTTATAGAAATGAATTAAACTACCAGAAGAAACTGTATTATCCCGGGAAAACTGTTGCTGGTGAGAGATATTATCATTAAAGCCATTCTCCATAAAGATATCCATCGGAGATCTAACGTCATCTTCAGCACTCCACCCCATAAGCCCTATTGTGCTAATTATTTCAATAACAATTTTGTCGATCTAATGGTAGAATTTTTAAGTTTAAATTGTTTTAATTGTATAAACACCTCAGTAAAAACAACAGAGTCTTCACCAACTGTCTTAGCCTTGTTCAGTTTAGCCATTGTGTCACGTCTAATAGGAGCCCAAACACAATCTCGAATCTATAAAAATATAAAACTTATTGCAAATTCACTGTATTCCCTTATTACACTCAATAACACGTTTTAAGAATGAGTTCATAAATATTTAATAATCAAACACCTCTTTCCACGATTTCCTCGCATATTGGGAAGCTCCTTGATCAACTGCTTGTTGCCTAATATACTCCCAAAGCTCCTGTTTATTTTGACGAGAAACTTGTGACGAATGAGAAAAAAGTGGTTCTTTAAATTCACGAACTAGTTTTGCTATTGCCAGCCGATGAGAACACATTGCCTGAAATTTGGAATCTTATGATGTATTTTAATTGTGTTAATAAGGTCATTCATGTTAAAATTGGGAAGGTTTTGCAAATTATTTTTACAATACATATGTATTTTTTCGTACATAATTTTATTTCAAAGTAACAATCAACTAACTCATAAACAGTTTTATCTTAAAAGATACGAAATAATACATATGTATATACATATTATCTTAAAAAAGATGATCAAAACACCGCCAGAATAGCAGTATGCATGCACATTTATATGAGTAACGACCGAAAGTAGTATGACTACATATTTTCTGTCATGTCTTTTCATCTATCTTTTGCTAGGCCGTCTCATCTATACATAAATGTTTCCGTGTCCGGACAAAATACCGAATCGTTAAAATATGGAATAGGCTAAAAAAGGGTTAAAATCTCGAATCGGGTAAAAATGGGTTAAAATCGCGAATAGGCTAAAAAGGGGTTAAAATGTGGAATCGTTAAAATATGGAATGGTCAAAATATCGAATCGGCTAAAAAAGGGTTAAAATATGGAATCGTTAAAATATGGAATGGTAAAAATGTCGACACGGCCAAAATCAGATTAAATATACCGTCTTCTGCAACTGATTTTACCTCATTAATAGATTTTACCTCTAATTTAGAATTTTATCCGTAAATGGATGTACGAACAACTTTAGCAAAATTACAAAAAACTCGAAAACGACGATTACAAATCAATGATACTTCTGATTTAAATGAACAAGAACCAGAAGCAAATCTTGATGGAGAAAATGAAAAATGCTATGGAGCAAATCTGACAAAATTTGAACAAGGAGTTACACAGAAGGGTGGCGTCAGCCTTTGGCATGCAGGTTTGAGCTAGATATCAAATTATTAAAATGGATTTTTTGAGGGTATCGATATGTCAAGAGTAAAAATATTCATTGGCGTTGTTCAAACTTGGACTGCCAGGCAACTGCAAAAGCTGAAGAGAAAAATGGCCAATTTATTGGCAGTTTAGGAGAAAAAGAGCATAATCATCCTCCAGCAATTCAAAAAAAAGTTTGTGAAGAGCTTAGAAATAGATTGAAGAAGGATAAGAGACCAATTCTGGGAGAAGTACGAGCAAATATCCCAGATGAAGTTTACATTGCTTTGGGTAGTGATGATGCTTTAAATCAGCTTATAAAGAGGTTTATTTTCATTATTTTCTTTCAATAAATTACCCTCATTTTAGGCAAAAAAAGCAAAAGTTTGGGAACGTTAATTGTGTGGATCTTGGAAAAATGGTCATTCCAGCGTTTTTGACAGAAAAATACAACTCATCAACGTTGATTTACGACAGTAGAGATGAGCGTGGAAATGACTACCATTTTGTGGTATTTCTTTTGTATTTTTTACTTTTCCAAATTTTTTATTTAGAAAAAACTTAACCATCATCCTTCAATGAGTGATTTTCTCTTGGCAATTTTGGATGATGTTGATAAGCAAGTAGACATCGCTCGTTCTGCTACTACCTTTACACAGCAACGAAAAAGAAAGTATGTGATCAAGGAGTTCCAAGTTATGCACACACTAAATGAAGCCGAATACGATGATAATAGACAACTTCTGAATGTTCTAACGCTCCTTGGCTTACAAATGAGTGGTTATGTTGAGGGACTGCGAGTTGCTACACGTCAACAGGAAGAACGTGATACTGAAGATGGTGTGGATAGTGCAACTTTGGAAAGTCAAATTATTAGTCAAGATTATTTAGACGCTTCTAGTTCATTATTTATCTATTAATATTTTACTTTATTTTTTATTATTTTTTTATTGACTTTGATTATTATTTTATTGTTCAATGATTCTAGCTTTAATGATTTTTGTTCGGTGATTTTAAATGAAATATAAAATTTTTATTTTGCTTAGTTTTGATTTTACTACGACATACGAAACTTATCAATCAAATTATCAAAAATAAGTTGATAAGTTGTCATCAACAATCAGCGTATTGCACTCATATGACCCTTTTTTAAAAGAATTCGACATTTTGACAGATTTTAGCCGTGTCGACATTTTTACCATTCCATATTTTAACGATTCCATATTTTAACCCTTTTTTACCCGATTCGATATTTTAACGTTTCCATATTTTAACGTTTCGGTATTTTAACCCCTTTTTAGCCTATTCGCGATTTTAACCATTCCATATTTTAACGATTCCATATTTTGTACCGGAGCCAATGTTTCTTATGCTCTGACATGTCTATCTATCGCATCTTTCATCTAGTCAATCTAATGTCTACTAAAATATGCCTCTCATCTCTTATTCGTTCACTTTACTCAACATCAATCAATAGAAGAAAAATAATAGATATGCATACAAATTACTAAATAGTACATAGGCAATTAAACGTCTTATGTATGTCAATAAATTTTTATGCCTTACTCATTAAAAAGTGCTCAATAATATGTATAAGAGATAAAGAAAAGTTCAAATAATTACAATATCTGCTGATAAAAGAAACTGATTTGAACAATTAGATATTCCAAGATAAAATTGTTGGCATTGCTTAAGTTGCCCCTCAACCATTTTCTTTTAATTTTTTTACAAACGCATTAGAAATTGATCCTTCATTCACTCATCTACATATCATTTGATTAGGTCATAGGCAAATTGAGTGAAAGTGAACGAGGAAGGAAAGTCTGAACATTTGTACATTAAGGGCAAGTATGGAAAGTAAAAAAAAAGTAATGGAAAAATTGCGCCAATTTTAGTTGAAACATTTGCTGTTTGTAATTGTAAAAATTCCCTCTTGAGAATTTATTTTTAACAAAGCACAATGATTAAGATCAATAGATAATCTAAAGTTTCTTTTTTAAATTTGTTTTATTTAATTTAATCTGTTTCAGATCATAATTCCAAAGAGTTTGAAAATTTAATAAATCTTGACTTAATATCCCAAATAAAATGTCAGCAGGTTGAGTCACATCAAATCGAGAGTTGTTCATTAAATTTATTTATTGTTTTCCAATTGTTTCTTTTGCTGTGCTTAGTCATTGAAATTTTATATTTAGCTCATCTATTATATCTTTTCATTACATTCTTATAAAACCATCAACATTGATCCAATTAAATAAGCCAATTCATCCAACAAACAAGATTTTTCATTTAATATACATGGCATAAATCAGCTGTTCCTAAGATTTTATTCGTAAACATAAAATATTTTTAATATTTTTTCTTAATTAGGAATACCTTTATTATTTTTTAAAGACAAAAATTTATCGCCTGTTATGCACTATTTTCCTTAAAAACTTATTTTGCACTCTTAATTTGCCCATAATAGCCTAGGGTCAAATATTTTTAAAAAGGATGAAAAGCAAAGCGAGGGATTCCCAAACATGGAACAGACAAAAGATGGTCTATCCATAACCGGAATGGCTAAAACATAAGAGAGGACTTCTTTATGATTTTAAAATATTCTGATCTCAAAAAATGATCATCAAAAAATGATAAATTTTTAAATCAGATTTTAAAATCGAAATATTTTTGAAAATCATAATTTTTTAAAATCACAATTTTCAGATTTTTTTTAAATTCTTATCTAAAATATTCTGATTTAAAAATATCTGATGGGGTCACTTTAGTACGTGGGTCCCGGAGTTAATATACAAATGTTATACCATTCGAAAGAGCTAGTCGAGCTGAGTCGAATGCCACCAGTTTTAGCCCGAGGAAAAATTTTTGGACCGAGATATAGGTCCCTGAAATTTGAAAAAGCATAGGGGGGACCAAGAACTTTTTTGGGGTGAAAAATTCGAAAATGCAAATTATACCTCATTCGAAAGAGCTCCTCGAGCTGAGTCGAATGACACCAAAATCAACGAAATCCGACTTGATTGGACCGAGATATAGGCCCCTAAATACCGAAGATCCAAAGGGTCGATTTTTGGAATAAAAAATTTTTTATACAAATAATACCTCATTCGAAAGAGCTCGACGAGCTGAGTCGAATGACACCAAAATCATCGTGATTGGACAAGATTAGACAAAGTTATGACACCAAAAAACAAAAAACCTAAACCTATGGAGCGTCGGCGAGGCTCTTGTCGCCTCGCGGGGAGTCTACGGGCGCTGGATCTGGGCTCGTAACATAAACCTATTCCTATCTCCATTGCTCTGGACGTATTTGGGGCCTCCGTAGCAGCAAAAATCTCCACAGATGCCATAGGTAAGGAGCTAAAAGAAAAGATCATAACTTTGTTCAATCAAGTCGGATTTCGTTGATTTTGGTGTCATTCGACTCAGCTCGAGGAGCTCTTTCGAATGAGGTATCATTTGCATTTTCGAATTTTTCACCCCAAAAAAGTGCTTGGTCCCCCCTATGCTTTTTCAAATTTCAGGGACCTATATCTCGGTCCAAAAATTTTTCCTCGGGCTAAAACTGGTGGCATTCGACTCAGCTCGACTAGCTCTTTCGAATGGTATAACATTTGTATATTAACTCCGGGACCCACGTACTAAAGTACAGCCTATCTGATTTTAAAAATATTCAGTGTTTTGTCTATTCCGCGTTTTAGACTAACTCGTAGTAGAAAACAGTTTAACCTACACAGACCTTAATTTATTCTACATTTAAAAATTCGAGACAATTAACATACCGTATTTCCTCAAATAGTACTGCCGGCAGTACTATTTTTCAACCCTCCTCTAAAGGGCAGTACTATTAGAGGGGGCAGTACTAATAGAGGGGGCAGTACTATATTTCAACCCTTTTTCGAAATTATCTGAATCTTTTTTTGTTGAACCTGAATCTTTTTGTGGATAGATTTTTTGTATTATCTACAATAGTATGCTCGAAAGCTATCCTAAATCAAAATCGAACTTCTGGGATCACAAGTCGGGGTTTTTTTCTTAACCGATGCCGGGACGGGATCCCGAGGATAAATCCCGAAAAAACCCCGAATTTCAAAAATCCCGAAAATAATTATCCGGGATTCGGGATTTTTTTCAAGATCAGAAATTTAAACTTTTTTATAAATAATGTGCAACAAAATACTGCAATTTATATGTAAATGAAATTAAATTTGTAAGAATATCAATAATTTTTTATAATTTGAATGGCTTTGTTTAAAAAATCAAAATCTCTCCGGTCTTACGAGCAATACTTCATATATCGACGATAGTCGAATAATTCCCCCGTATGAGTCTCCCGATATGATCTGAAAGGTCTAAAGGTCTGTCATATCAAAGCTTTGTTGTAAATCAAAGCCTAAATTGGGTCTTACAATCCCCATTGGGACGGACATCTGGGATATCAAGGGATTTGAGGAGATATCAGACATAAGCGGGGGTCACCCTTTATTTTATATCCTATATTTTAGGATATACAGAAGTCCGTACCTCGTTCCAAGAACATTTTCATCAATTAGAAGTGGCTTTTGGTGGATTTCCGTTTTGGGATTTGGGTGGATTAAGAGGGACATCAGATCCTTATATATGAGGACTTCAATCCTCCGATATATATTGAAATCCCCTTAATCCTCCAAATCTTCTTATATCCCTCTTACTCACCCGATATCTCTTCCGCCTTTCCTTTACCCTCCAAATCCTTTGATATCACTTTAATTCTCCGATATCCATCCAAATCCACCAATTAGGTATTTTTAAATAAATTTTTAAAAAAAAGACTCGAAAATGTCTCGGTGCCCGACTCGATAAAGCAGGCCCGAAAAAGACTCTCGTACCGTCCCGACTCGATAAAAACAAGCTCGAAAAAATGCCTCGCCCGTCGGCCCGACTCGAAAACGGCAACCCTAATTGCGAGGAATAATTACTATGATTAAAAAAATCAAATTTTGTCTATTTTTTATATTTTTAGGTGGGGCAGTACTATTAGGGGGGCAGTACTAATAGAGGGGGCAGTACTATTTTTCAACCCTCCTCTAAAGGGCAGTACTATTAGAGGGGGCAGTACTAATAGAGGGGGCAGTACTATTTGAGGAAATACGGTATGTTTATTTTAAAAGAAAGATTCAGACAAAGAATGACTTTAACTCGTCCTATATACTACATAAGCAAATGATAAATACCTGTTATATTATTTTGACATTAAATTTATTAATAATTCTCGTATCGCCGAATAATTATCCAAAATGTCGAAATTATCAACAGGCATGTGCAGTTGAATTAATGAAATTTCCAGAATTAGTTAATGATGAAAGGGAGGGCATAAAAGAAGGACATAATGAAAGAAATGAAGAAAGTGTGTCTGAAGGATCAGGAGAAAACAATGACGATGAAAAATTACATTTTGTGCCAATGAGTATGTCCTTCCCAATATATGATGAATTTGTACCAACTACACCAACATACGATTACTCCATGGAGCCTGTAGAGAAGGTTCAACATCAAATATGCTCTTGCTTAGGTGATTTTTAAAATGAGTGAAATTTGAATAATAATGAAATACGTATGGTTTGCACTAGGGTAGCAACCCGACTCTGTGGGGTTGGGTATGTCGGAGATCGGGGTTTGCCGGGGTAGAGCCTTCGGGGTCAGGTTTCTACCCTAGTTTCACTTTAAAAAAGAAACTGTACTCTCGACTCAATTTATAGCTCTTAATTAAAGCTTTAATGCATTTAGATGACGAAGAATGTGGTAAATTTGATAGTATCGAACAAACATTGGAACTGAGCAATCATATTAGAATTGCTTTCTGTAGGCCGTTGGATAAAATCTTCAATGTCAAATGTAAAGGAATGCGGTCTATAGCTCGTGTTATAGGAAGATTGGACATGGAAAGTGAGTTATAAATTTAGTAAAGAAAAATATAAAGTAAACAATAGGGAATATGATAATAAAAATTTTAACATTAAAACAGATTACTAGTTATACTTTATTTATGTATTAATTTTAGCCGGTGATAGGCTTGTACATGTTAACGATACACTTATATTTTGCCGATGCGAATCCAACAAATGGATAAGAATGATGATTGAGCCATGGATCAATGATATGTTTTCATTTTCATATATCTGCATTTAATCGAAAGCTGGATAAAAAGTGACTACTATTTTAAAATGGCAAAAATATATATAACTTAATTTGATAATTCTATTAAGATTTGAGGATATTTTTAATGTGACACACCCAATACGGCGCGCGGCCAGAAAGGCGCAGAACCATAACTTGCTTCAATATTTGCTAATTTTGTCACATTTGGTACGCCTTTATGGCTGCGCGCCGTTTTGGTACGTACCCATTTTTAATAGCTATTCATAATTTATTTTCGAAAAAGCAAAAAATATACAGGTTAGAATATAGAAGTACATACATATTTTCAAACTATGAAATAAGTCGAAATATAATATGGCGATGTATTTAATAGAAAAAATATTTGTGGATTTAGGATTTAAGAGTTTAGGATTTAACAACTCAACTAGTTGAGGCTGTAAAATTGAGAGCATAGAAATTTGAGAATTTGCTATTTGCGAATTGTACTACACTTTGAAATTGTACGTCTACATAATTGAACATATTGTATTAATACATATGCGTTCACTAGAAAGATAAAAAAACAATTTAATAAAAAAACTTCAGTTGAGATATAACATATACATATTTATCTATGTATATGTATACTGACAGATATGTACATAAAATTAATGCGAAAAAATCAATTTTAAACAATACAACGGAAAGAGGCAGTTGCAGCAACTCTAACTTGACACTGCGAGTTAAAAAAATAGTACACATTGGAATTAGGAAATGCCCTCAGCATAAATATCTGTCAGCTGAAAAACCGTTAGGCATGCAATAGTGTCTACATATCTGCCAGTTTCTAAAGTTAGAGCAATATTTTTTTATTATTTCTAGAATTATTTTGATGCTAAAAGTATTGCATAAAAATGTCTCATAGTGAAACTTCTTCTGAAAAGATCGATTACGAATTCCGATGGAAGGATCCAAAAGAAATCAAACGAAAGTGAGCCATTATTTAATAACATTAATTATTGAAAATTAGATGGGAATCATTCGCAAAATTCGGCTATACTTCTGCTCAAGCTCCAAAAACAGTGGAGATGACTGGAAAAAATTTTGACAAATGGTAATATTCTAACATAAGAATTAATCATACACTAAAATAGAGACCATTACTAAAATTAAGGCTAAAGGATGCTAATGTTATTGATGGGAAATTGATAACAACGACCATGACTGGAATTGTGAGTTAAGATAAAAATTATACATATTTTCAAGAATTTTATATTTATAAAAATCTAATTCTTGCTTAATTTCAACAGGCATTTTCAAAAGTTACAGGGTATGTTTAATATTGTGTACATGTATAAAATACTCATAATATAATCAATTAAAAGTAATAACTAAATTAAAGGCAAAAAAAGAAGGCAACATTTAATGAGGTATTACAATTTTTATATGGATTTAATATTATCAATAGACACAACAAGTGATCATAAATGTAGCAAAGGATAGATCGAAAAATAGCAAAAATGATGTTCAGGTGATACCTTATTTAATGTAAAATATTTCAAAGTAAAATAAATAGGCAGAAATTGATAGCATCTGCTCAAAGTTGGAGGCCATTGAATTACCTACGTTAAAAACTGCAATAAAAGTATCAACTGAAGGAAATGTCTATGAAAGGTACCATTTCAAAACCTAGTTGCATAGAACAAAATTCCATTTCTATTATAGATTGACAGACCACAACAAATATACAGGTAGGAAAGCTACATAAAAGATTTAATTTAATCATAATCATAGTACATTTGTTAAAAAAATAAAATGTATTATTGAAGGAGCACACAAAGAAAGATTTGATACAGATGGAAAAGGAAAGGGAAAAGCAGGAAGAGGTTCGGATTCTAATAGTAAAATGCATATGTGTAGAAGAAAAAAATTTTAGACAAAAATTGGTACTTATTTAATATCCTACCGGCTCCGCATATTTGGGTCTTGATAAGCAAAAGTTTAAGCACCCACAAAATTTTTGTAAAAATTTTTTGTTAACATTTATAAAAAATGGAATTTGACCGTTCCGAGGCAGAAAGGAATAGGAGGAAAATTAATCTGAGCTCAAATAAGCGTTCGGAGTAGGATATTAAATAAGTACTACGAAATTTAAATAAACAAATATTACTTACAAAAATACTATTACAGAAGATATTGTTGTCAATACAGGATATGTTTCTTCCTACAAAAATGCTGGTAATTAATTATTAATATGCCAAAAACAAAATATTTTAGGAACTTATGACAAAGTACACAAAGATTAAAGAAAAATTTAAAAAATGCCAGGATAATGAAAGAATGATCAAAGAAAAGTTATTTGTCGATTATATGTAGCATACCAGTTCTTGCGTTCCTTTTTAGGCTGAATCATTCCGTGTCGGACTAAAACATGGAACGGACAAGACAAGGAACGACAAAACACGGTCGGACAAAACATGGAAAAGACAAAACAAGGAACAACCAAAATACGGACTATATCAAAACACGGAATAGACAAAACAAGGTTTTACCATAACACGGAACGGACAGAACACGGAATGACCAAAATACGGAATACTTTTAAAATCATATTTTTTTTAAATCACAATTTATTTAAATCAGAATATTGTTAAAAATCAGAATATTTTTAAGAAAAAATTAATTAAAATCAGAATATTTTTTTTAAAAAAATTAATTAAAATCAGAATATTTGAAAAAACAAAATTTAAAAATAATCCTGAAAAATTTTAAAAATATTCTCTAGACCGTGTTTTGGTCGTTCCGTGATTTGGCCATTCCGTGTTTTGGTAAGACCTAGTTTTGTCTTGTCCGTGTTTTGGTATGGTCCGTATTTTGGTCGTTCCTTGTTTTGTCTTTTCCATGTTTTGTGTTCCATGTTCTGTCCGTTCCGTGTTTTGGCATTCCTTGTTCTGCCCCTCACCCGAATCATTCATATGTACAAAATAAAAAACTTAAAACCTCCCTCCTTCATTTTCATTCTGTTTCCTTCTGGCATTATTCAATGAGAGACATTAATAAAAAAAATATTTTTTGCAATGCCACTCGAGCGAAAATAAGGAAGTCTGAACATTCTGTACATACCTACATATGAATAAGTCCGCATAAGTATGACCCCAAGAACTGGCATGAGATAACTCACAAATGACAAATAAAATTTTAATAATTTTGTCGAAATTTTCTGTCTTATACAAGTTTCTAGAATATGTTTGAAAAATTAACCAGAAAATTAACCATTCGATTAGATAGCACGACACGAAATTAGGTGCAAACTTCCAGTGTCTAACATGACCTCGAGTTTATCATTCTGGAAATTTGGGTTTTTATTTAATACCCCCTAAATAATACCGTGAATTCTTTTATGTATTAGCAAAGCATTCCAAACTGAACTGCCAAAACTCAACATAGGATCAGGCTTTCATACCTCCCAGTTATATCCAAAGGCACGGGTTCTTATTCAATAGGTGTAGACAGTAGGGCACTAGACATAGGCTTCCTTAGACGTTGACTAGACTTTGATCTTTGATTTACCCCCCCCCCCCTTCCGGATCAAATGTCCAATGATCAATTGTCCCAATGATCAATTATCCAATGATCAATTGTCCCAATGATCAATTGTCCAGTGATCAATTGTCCCAGTGATCAAATGTCCAATGATCAATTGTCCCAATGATCGATTGTCCCAGTGACCAAATGTCCCAATGATCAATTGTCCCAGTGACCAAATGTCCCAGTGACCAAATGTTCAGTGATCAATTGTACCTGACTGTCCCACACTAAAAATCCCACACTGAAAATCTGGCACCAAAAATGACCGACCCCCCTTTTTTAAAAACCCTCTCCACAGGTTCAGGCTTTCATACCTCCCAGTTATATCCAAAGGCACGGGTTCTTATTCAATAGGTGTAGACAGTAGGGCACTAGACATAGGCTTCCTTAGACGTTGACTAGACTTTGATCTTTGATTTACCCCCCCCCCCCCCCTTCCGGATCAAATGTCCAATGATCAATTGTCCCAATGATCAATTATCCAATGATCAATTGTCCCAATGATCAATTGTCCAGTGATCAATTGTCCCAGTGATCAAATGTCCAATGATCAATTGTCCCAATGATCGATTGTCCCAGTGACCAAATGTCCCAATGATCAATTGTCCCAGTGACCAAATGTCCCAGTGACCAAATGTTCAGTGATCAATTGTACCTGACTGTCCCACACTAAAAATCCCACACTGAAAATCTGGCACCAAAAATGACCGACCCCCCTTTTTTAAAAACCCTCTCCACAGGTTCAGGCTTTCATACCTCCCAGTTATATCCAAAGGCACGGGTTCTTATTCAATAGGTGTAGACAGTAGGGCACTAGGCATAGGCTTCCTTAGACGTTGACCTAGACTTTGACCTTTGAATTCCCCCCCCTTCCTGACCCAAATGTCCAATGATCAATTGTCCCAATGATCAATTGTAAAGTGATCAATTGTCCCAGTGACCAAATGTCCAATGATCAATCGTCCAAATGATCAATTGTCACAATGATCAATTGTCCAGAGATCAATTGTCCCAGTGACCAAATGTCCCAGTGACCAAATGTCCCAGTGACCAAATGTCCCAGTGACCAATTGTCCCTGACTGTCACACACTAAAAATCCCACACTGAAAATCTGGCACCAAAAATGATCGCCTCCCCTTTTTTAAAAGACCTCTCCATAGGATCAGGCTTTCATACCTCCCAGTTATATCCAAAGGCACGGGTTCTTATTCAATAGGTGTAGACAGTAGGGCACTAGGCATAGGCTTCCTTAGACGTTGACCTAGACTTTGACCTTTGAATTCCCCCCCCTTCCTGACCCAAATGTCCAATGATCAATTGTCCCAATGATCAATTGTAAAGTGATCAATTGTCCCAGTGACCAAATGTCCAATGATCAATCGTCCAAATGATCAATTGTCACAATGATCAATTGTCCAGAGATCAATTGTCCCAGTGACCAAATGTCCCAGTGACCAAATGTCCCAGTGACCAAATGTCCCAGTGACCAATTGTCCCTGACTGTCACACACTAAAAATCCCACACTGAAAATCTGGCACCAAAAATGATCGCCTCCCCTTTTTTAAAAGACCTCTCCATAGGATCAGGCTTTCATACCTCCCAGTTATATCCAAAGGCACGGGTTCTTATTCAATAGGTGTAGACAGTAGGGCACTAGGCATAGGCTTCCTTAGACGTTGACCTAGACTTTGACCTTTGAATTCCCCCCCCTTCCTGACCCAAATGTCCAATGATCAATTGTCCCAATGATCAATTGTAAAGTGATCAATTGTCCCAGTGACCAAATGTCCAATGATCAATCGTCCAAATGATCAATTGTCACAATGATCAATTGTCCAGAGATCAATTGTCCCAGTGACCAAATGTCCCAGTGACCAAATGTCCCAGTGACCAAATGTCCCAGTGACCAATTGTCCCTGACTGTCACACACTAAAAATCCCACACTGAAAATCTGGCACCAAAAATGATCGCCTCCCCTTTTTTAAAAGACCTCTCCATAGGATCAGGCTTTCATACCTCCCAGTTATATCCAAAGGCACGGGTTCTTATTCAATAGGTGTAGACAGTAGGGCACTAGGCATAGGCTTCCTTAGACGTTGACCTAGACTTTGACCTTTGAATTCCCCCCCCTTCCTGACCCAAATGTCCAATGATCAATTGTCCCAATGATCAATTGTAAAGTGATCAATTGTCCCAGTGACCAAATGTCCAATGATCAATCGTCCAAATGATCAATTGTCACAATGATCAATTGTCCAGAGATCAATTGTCCCAGTGACCAAATGTCCCAGTGACCAAATGTCCCAGTGACCAAATGTCCCAGTGACCAATTGTCCCTGACTGTCACACACTAAAAATCCCACACTGAAAATCTGGCACCAAAAATGATCGCCTCCCCTTTTTTAAAAGACCTCTCCATAGGATCAGGCTTTCATACCTCCCAGTTATATCCAAAGGCACGGGTTCTTATTCAATAGGTGTAGACAGTAGGGCACTAGGCATAGGCTTCCTTAGACGTTGACCTAGACTTTGACCTTTGAATTCCCCCCCCTTCCTGACCCAAATGTCCAATGATCAATTGTCCCAATGATCAATTGTAAAGTGATCAATTGTCCCAGTGACCAAATGTCCAATGATCAATCGTCCAAATGATCAATTGTCACAATGATCAATTGTCCAGAGATCAATTGTCCCAGTGACCAAATGTCCCAGTGACCAAATGTCCCAGTGACCAAATGTCCCAGTGACCAATTGTCCCTGACTGTCACACACTAAAAATCCCACACTGAAAATCTGGCACCAAAAATGATCGCCTCCCCTTTTTTAAAAGACCTCTCCATAGGATCAGGCTTTCATACCTCCCAGTTATATCCAAAGGCACGGGTTCTTATTCAATAGGTGTAGACAGTAGGGCACTAGGCATAGGCTTCCTTAGACGTTGACCTAGACTTTGACCTTTGAATTCCCCCCCCTTCCTGACCCAAATGTCCAATGATCAATTGTCCCAATGATCAATTGTAAAGTGATCAATTGTCCCAGTGACCAAATGTCCAATGATCAATCGTCCAAATGATCAATTGTCACAATGATCAATTGTCCAGAGATCAATTGTCCCAGTGACCAAATGTCCCAGTGACCAAATGTCCCAGTGACCAAATGTCCCAGTGACCAATTGTCCCTGACTGTCACACACTAAAAATCCCACACTGAAAATCTGGCACCAAAAATGATCGCCTCCCCTTTTTTAAAAGACCTCTCCATAGGATCAGGCTTTCATACCTCCCAGTTATATCCAAAGGCACGGGTTCTTATTCAATAGGTGTAGACAGTAGGGCACTAGGCATAGGCTTCCTTAGACGTTGACCTAGACTTTGACCTTTGAATTCCCCCCCCTTCCTGACCCAAATGTCCAATGATCAATTGTCCCAATGATCAATTGTAAAGTGATCAATTGTCCCAGTGACCAAATGTCCAATGATCAATCGTCCAAATGATCAATTGTCACAATGATCAATTGTCCAGAGATCAATTGTCCCAGTGACCAAATGTCCCAGTGACCAAATGTCCCAGTGACCAATTGTCCCTGACTGTCACACACTAAAAATCCCACACTGAAAATCTGGCACCAAAAATGATCGCCTCCCCTTTTTTAAAAGACCTCTCCATAGGATCAGGCTTTCATACCTCCCAGTTATATCCAAAGGCACGGGTTCTTATTCAATAGGTGTAGACAGTAGGGCACTAGGCATAGGCTTCCTTAGACGTTGACCTAGACTTTGACCTTTGAATTCCCCCCCCTTCCTGACCCAAATGTCCAATGATCAATTGTCCCAATGATCAATTGTAAAGTGATCAATTGTCCCAGTGACCAAATGTCCAATGATCAATCGTCCAAATGATCAATTGTCACAATGATCAATT